TTATTACCATTTTCTTCTAGAAATACTTGACTGAACAGAACATAAAAATTGACAGAGAATTCAATGAATTTGTATCTCAAGATCTGCTGATGAACTTGAAAGAAATCCTAGATAATTACAAAAAGAAGATGAGTACCGTGTATACCCCAGACACATGAAAATATAATCTGTATAGTATAGAAATGCTCTAAAATGTTTGCTTGCTATGGCAGTGTTTTATAATGTTTTGAATCGTACCTTCTGTTCATGTGATCTTATGGCATTTGGAGGCTATTTTTTTTATTGTAATAGTTTTATTGTAATAGTTCAGTTATTAAAACCAATATTCACATACATAAATACACTAGGCCTTAAAACCTGACTGTTTGAGTATTGGTACATAGACAATGATAAATGCTCATGGATTCAAATATTTCATATATACTTGTTTTGTTCTTTGTTCTTTGCCTACCAATTATCAACACGGGGAAACCAGAGTTTTAAATAGTCAATATTTGACAAGATCTCAGGGCAAGATTTGAGGGAAGATAAACCCATGTTATTGAGGAGTGAGGCAATTCACCTCAGGTCAACAGTAGCTGGGACTGAATCAGCAGTAGCTGGGACTGAAGTCCATGCTGAATGCTGCCCTGTTCTGCAAATTGCAGAAAATATGGCCATGAAAACTATTTTTTCAAATCGACAAAATTAATTCTTATAGGAAAAAGTGCAACACAACTCTGTTCTTACCTACTGAAAAATATACTTGGCTTCGTTATACTTTCAAAATAAAATCTCAGCAGAAAATATGTTTTCAGTTACAATACATTCTTTGGATTCTTCAGCCAAAATTAATGGTAATCAGTGAAAGTGTTGACACTGCATTTGCTGTAAAAGAAAAGCTGACAACATGTTGGGAATAATAAACATTGAAAATAGAGGTGTCAATATAATGCCCTTATCCAAAGTGGTGCTAGAATATCTGGAATATTATGTGCACTTTTGGTTGCCCTGCCTCAAAAATCACAAAAGTTGAGCATCAAAAGATTAGGAGGGGCTGGACCAATTTCCTACAAAAAATTGTTATGACATTTGGCCCAGAAAGGAAGGGGATGTGACTGAAGTGTATTTGCCAAAATGCCTGACTTCCTTCCTTCCTCCTGCTCTTCCTCCCCCCCCCCCCCATGCATACAGGGAGGGAAGTTAGTTTACGCAGAACTAAGTCTCACTAAATTCAATGCTAGGATTTAAATCTAGCGAAAGGAGAGGTGTAAAAGAATTTGCCAAAATGCCTGACTTCCTTCCTCCCACGCTTTCTTCCCCCCCTCCCCCACCCAATACAGGGACACTGTTACTGAGCGGGCTTCTTCCCTCCCTCCCTCTCTTCCTTCAACCAGTTCGTTAACCAAGTCTGGAAGGGTCCAATAGCAGAGAATTTTTCCTTTCTTCCTTCTTCCATCCCTCTATCTACCCACCATAACGCATAACATGGCAACTAGCCATGTTTAAGGCTCCTTTAGAGGGGTGGAGTTCCCAAAAACAATGTCCATCTTGCTTTATTTTATTTTATTCCCCCCCTTCCCGCATAGTCTGGTCTCCAGTTCAGAAGAGGAACCAACTGCTCTCTGCAGTGTGATCAAGTGAAATGGCCTTTTATCTCTGCACCTGCCTTCCTTTCCTTTTTCACAGACACACACACAAAACCTTCGCTAAGCTCCACTCCTCTAGAGGAGCCTCAAACATGGCTAGTTGCCATGTTATGCTGTTATGGTGGGTAGATGGATGGATGGATGGATGGATGGGGGGTGGGGGAGAGGAAGGAAGGAAGGCATTTTGGCAAATTCTTTTACACCTCTCTCCTTTGGCTAGATTTCTATTACACCCCCTCTAGCCAATTGTTTGGCCAATTGTCACAGAGGGCAGAACACCTAGGACAAACCCTCTTTCTGCGAATGGGCCATGTCGAAGGGTCTGGGACGAAGAGGCCGGTGGCCCATTCCCCACAGCAAATGACTGGAGGCATGCCAGCTGAGGAGATAAGTCAGGGGGAGAATCGCCCGAGGAGAATGAAAAGTCAGAGACTAAAAGTCCTAGACCCAAGCTAATCAATAGTGGAGCTCTAAGAAAGCCAGATGATCAATGGGCATGTTCTGAGTTTCAAAACGTCTGGCTTTTCTTCCTCCTACCAAAGACCTTCTGGGGGTTCTTCACAAGAAGGGAGAAAGGAGAAAGGGAGGGAGAAAGAAAGAGAGGAGGGAGGGAAGGGTAAACCCTTTTACTCACACTTCATCCTCACTGGGGATATCCCAGGTGCACTGAGCTTGAGTTGAGAGCTTATTGAATAGCTGAGCAAGGATAGCTGAACTAGCTATCCTTGCTCAGGCTAAGCTACAAAACATTTCAAAACGTCTGACTTTTCTTCCTCTTACCAAAGACCTGGGGTTCTTCACAGAAAGGGAGAAAGGAGAAGGAGAAGGAGAAAAAAAGAGAGAAAAGAAAGAGAGAGACAAAGAAAGAAAGAAAAAGAAAAAGGAAGGGAGAAAGAAAACGCAGGTATCTCTTAACAGAGGCTTGAATTTGCCTGAAATTAGATCAAATCCTACATCACTTAACCCAATGTATCAGATTAAATTGTTATTGAATTATTTTTGGGATATATACTATATTCTCTTGTGTAATTTAGTGTAAATCTAGTCCATTATGTCTCAAAAGGGAGATCAAAAATCCAATTAGTGCCATGTAAATTCTGGAATCCCCAAAGACCTTTCCCATTGTATTTATTGAACAAATTTATATAGCTACCCAACTCATATACAGTGACATTCCTGTTCCTTTCATGTAGTTCTCAATGTGCTATTTTCTCCACCAAAATTCGATTATAAATAATATTACCACACATTACAGTTCTAATTTTGTGTATTTGTGCCAGTAATTTTCAGAAAAAGATTTATTCCTCTCTTACATAATTATGTAGCTTCATATGTCAGTTTACTTTTACCATTAAAATTTTTTTGTTGCATTATATGACTGCAAAAGCCTTTTAGCAGTTTCATGTAACAGGAAATATCCAGTAACAATTTTGAAAGTAGTTGTCATAGCCACAAACATCCTCCCCCCCAAAAGAGAGAGAGAGAGAGAGAGAGAGAGAGAGAGAGAGAGAGAGAGAGAAGAAGAAGAAGAAGAAGAAGAAGAAGAAGAAGAAGAAGAAGAAGAAGAAGAAGAAGGAGAAGGAGAAGGAGAAGAAGAAGAAGAAGAAGAAGAAGAAGAAGAAGAAGAAGAAGAAGAAGAAGAAGAAGAAGAAGGAGGAAGGGAGAGAGAAAACTCTGTGCTATTATTTTTAATTGTTTCATTATTTATCATGTGTAAATATTTTACACTGTCCCTACACCTAGAGTGATTTTACTGCCTTTCTTTTGCCCAGGGCTACCACATATTTTTCAGGGATTTACATGCATTCAGTATAGTCCAGAGCATAAATATGTATTTATTTTGTACATCAGGTTGCATAAATCCATCTTAATATGCTATTCCTGGTATGATGTTTTGTATACATACAGAGAAAGAAGCACTCTTGTGATCTTTGACTTTTATGCTTGCTGTCAAACATCAGCCATAATATTAATTACTGTTTCGAACAATATGCACGAATGGCTATTTTATATGTGAAATTATGACTGAAATATTTCTGCACCTATATTGGTTCTCACTGTCAGGAAGTTTCTCCTTAGTTTTAGGAGAAAAACTAACCTCTCTTTGTTCAGTTTCCATCCATTGCTTCTTGTTTTGCCTTCTGGTGCTTTGGAAAATGCATACCTATACATTCTTTCTGACAGCCCCTTAAAAGCCTGATGCCTATCATACTCTTGGGCAAAGCATGTGAGGCATTTCCTCCTTTCAGTGGTACATGAAAGTACATCTATGGTATATAGATAATAAAGTTGAAAAAAGGTGAGCATCATTTTTACAGAACTATAGATACATTGAGGCTGAGTGTAACAAGGAATGGCTGGGGGGGAGGGGCCAGGCGAGGGACCCCTTGATGTGACATTGAGTTGGCCATGCCCACCCAGTCACATAACCATGAAGCTACTCGTCACATGACCAAGCCATGCCCACAAAATAAGCCACGCCCACAGAACCGGTAGTAAAACTTTTTAGAACCTATCCCTGGGCTTAATGGCTTTGTCCTGGTTTGGATCTTGAGTGAGGGCTAATCCTATCATGTCCTGAGGGCCATGTCTTTTGTGTTGTAGATAAACTGGCCCAGCCTTTGTCTTGTAGACAGGTTGGCACCAAAATATCTGCTGGGGGGGGGGCAGGGAGCTGAGGCTCCGAGTTTGCCTTTACAAACAATATTTTTCCTTTGGGGAAAATATAACATTCTACCTTTTTAATATTTCCTAGAATATTTCATTTTCCTAGGAGAGGGGCGGCTGCTAACTTCCTACAAACAGAAGCCAGAATTTAAAAAAAAAAATCCAACTTATTACAGTATTTTAAATTTATAGATAGGCACTGGTTTATTTTACATTATCTGTTTTATTTTGTATTGACTTAATTTTCTTATGTTTAAATTTTTTGTTTCCCCCCCCTCCCTTTTTGAAAAAAAAGTGAACGTTATTCCCTCGCCTCAAACTAAATGCTGTGAGGCACCTAGAGAAAAGATAAGTTTTTTTTCTTCTTCTTCGCCTTTGGCTCCATGGAGAGCTCTTCCCTTTTCTGTGTCTTGCATCGCAGAGCGAGCCGCTTGGCATCTTCAACTTGTTTTGTTCGTTATGGGGCAGTCAAATCACCCCACGAGGGCGTCGTAAACTTCACTCCGTCGGACTGCTTCTTCCTGCAAAAGAAACGAAACTCCTGCGACGGCTTTCGTTCTTCGTTTCCCCGCGGGTCCTTCTTCCTCTTTGCCTCGCCTGTTTAGTTCGGGCTGCCCTCGTTCGCTCCTCCCACTCTCCTCCCTCCCCCCCCAATATTATGCAGGCCACGCCTCTTTCTCCTCAGCCCCTCCGTTCCTTTTCTCTGCTAAAACGAAACAATCTGACTTGCGTTCGGCCAAGACAGCGCCTGGCGGGACGGTCGCCGGTCGGCGCAACATGGCAGAGGCGCAAGGAAACCCCGACGGCACAATCCTAACGCTCTTCGTGTACGACCGGCGTCGGGACCAGTCAGATGACGCCGAAACAGTCCTTCGATGTCCTAAGGAAAACTATAGGAGATTCCTTAACGACGTCCGCTGGGTAACGTAACGGAGGGAGGCGAATTAAAATGCGGCGCCGTTAAGGGAACTGCGGCTCTGCTATCGCCGGCGGCGTCCCGTCACCCCCCCCCCCCCCCCCCCCCCCTTCGTCCCGGTTCCCTTTTTTCGGGTCACGCAGCGCACCGGGAACGAGAATAGGAGCTTTTGGAGACATTGGGAAAGGGACAGCGAACGGTCAAGCTAGATAACGGAGGTCTTCAAACTTGGCAGCTTTAAGACTTGTGGACTTCAACTCCCACAATTCTCCAGCCAGCTATGCTATGCTATGCTATGCTATGCTATGCTATGCTATGCTATGCTGGCTGGAGAATTCTGGGAGTTGAAGTCTACAAGTCTTAAAAGCTGCCAAGTTTGAAGACCCCTGAGCTAGAAGTTCTTTTGACTACCGGAAGGGCGAGAATTTATAGCCGAGAGCAAGACGGCGGTAGCGGAGAGAAAATGAAGCTGCTACGTATTTTTTTCCCCTGTATGCCAGGAATGACTTACGAAACAGTTTAAGAAATGAATTTGAAATACTGTATGCTTTCTGTTTGCTATTAGGCTGCTTAGGTTGCCTTTTAAAAAAAAAAAAAATCGTATCGATTGTGATCATCGTCTATATTTTTCCATCATGTGGTAATAACACTTGTTCTTGTTACATGCTCTTAATGATTAAAAATAATAATTTAGAAAAGTTGGCATGCAAACGTCATTAAAAACCCCGTTTTGTGACAGCCTAGCTCAGCTGTCATAAATGCACTTAAAGATAGACTCGCTCATGGTAAAGCTGTGCGGTTCAGTGAATTCCTAAATGAACGGAAGCAGATTCAATGTCTTATGTTGTAAAAAGCTAAACATGAAATCTTCCTGCAAATTGAGCGTATAGTCTTGTATCTGTGCAGTTGTTCACAGAATAAGATAACAACACTTGGGTTCCTAGTCAGTCTGCCTTTTGTAACATGTCTTTTGGCAGAATTTCTTTGGGCGATGTCTTTGAGTTAGCATTGACTCTTGGTGACTTCCTCCGCAAGTAAGTTGCCCGCAGTTGCTGTTTTCTTTGCAAGACTTCAGAAGTGACTTGTCACTGTCTTCTTCGTAGGTCTGAGAGAGAATGACTGGCCTAAGTTACTGAGCTGGTTTTGTACCTAAGGCAGGAATAAAACTCAAAGTCTCCTGGTTTCTAGCCTGGTTCCTTAACCATTACACCAAACTAGCTCTCTTGGCAGAGATAATAGTTTCCATGTTTCCTATAGTCTAACAATACTTTTTCTTCTGAAATGTTTAGTATAGTTTTATAATCACAATCTGTGTAGAAAATTTTAATGTTCTAATATTTTCCTTATTTTATATTTATTTTATAACTATCCTATATAGCTTGTCAGCAGCCCAGAGTCATCTTATAGGAGAGATGATGGGCGACATAAAAATGACTCTTCTCTCTTGCACATCTGTTTTCTTTATCAGTCTACCAAAATGTCAAGGTCAACTATAGTCAAAATCTTTTTCCCTTCTGCCACTAGATGGCATTGCAGACTAGCTTTCAATAGAACGCAGAAAGCTTTTTAAAATGATCTTCAAAGTTTTGTTTTGTCAGTTACCACCAGGGTGGCTAAAAATCAATGATTTTTTTTAAAAAATCAAAAAAATCAGATTTTTTTTATTTAAATCGGATTTTTTTTAAATCAGATTTTTTTAATTTTTATTGAATTTATTTTAATAAAAAACTTGGGGTAAAAATCTATCGTAAGATAGTTTTCTATTTAAGACATAAATAATTTTGTTTATTCAGCATGAAATGGAGCTTAGTTATGTAGCATGAGGCTGTATATTCTGCAACACTGGGACTATCGGTAAGTCAATAGTGGGTCAAAGGAGTAGCAGAGATGACAGCTGCTGTTTAAAAATTATGATTTAAATCGAGTTGATTTAAATCAAGCCTTTATACTAGTGATTTAAATCATGATTTAAATTGTGATTTAAATCAACTGGAATTAAATCAAATCCACCCTGGTTACCACCATTCCAACATTTCAATAGAAAAAGATTCAATCATTAATTTATTTAGTCCTAATTTCTTATTTTTAAGGAATTACTTTTCTTTTCTCAATCACAAAAAAAAAATAAATAAGAGACAGGGAGTTTGCGATCCCCCTATGCTGACCAGTCAGTGCTCCTCTTGTTTATCATCCCTTCAGGATGACTTCGGTCACTTAGGACCCCCGGACTGCAGAGATATCGACGGGTCTTCAAGAGACCTTAAAGAACCCGTCTTGCCATTGCGACATTGGCCACACACCCCCTCTCAGAAATATCTTTAAAGACATTTCAGAACAAAGAAGTACAGATGGCATACTATACAAGTCCCTGTGTATGGGTCCTGTGTAATTTCTTCTACCTGTCTTGGAGAGGGGAAAATACTTCTCTAATTTGCCACAATAGTTATCCAATCTGGTGCTTTCAGTTAAATTGTATTTATTTCAGTAAAATAAATATCTCACCAGGAGATATTACTTAGTGATAATAATAACTATTAGAGTAGCATCATTAGCATAGCAATTACTATTTATGTTTCTTCCTCAACTTTTAAAATCATACTTATCTTGTAATCCAGCTGTGATAAACAGTTCTAATAGTATATGGAACTACCCGAGACTTTACTTGAAATCAGCAAACAGTTTAATGACATGTTTGCAAACAAGGGAACATGAGAAGTGAACAGCAATTACAGCATAGTCAATCAATTTATCACTCACACAAAACCCCACTTCCTCCCCCCTCCCTTTTTCCTGTTTCTTTCACAGCTCTTAGCCTAGTTACCTTTTGCTCTTCTACTTGCGGTTACAGATGGCATTTTGCGATTTTGACACTTCTAGTTTATTTGTCTGTAAAAGCTTATACTTTTCAAAACAGCTTATAATTCTATTTCTTATATAAAGCATTGCAGAAACAATACCCATTTTAGAAACAATAAAAACCCCATTTTGTTTTACATATAATGATTATATTGATTATGTATTTCTATCACAGCTTTTCTTAATATATATTCAGAATATAGATTGAATAAATAAAGAGAAAGCACGCTTCTTTGCCAGTCTGGAAAGCCTTTGCGGGAAATATTTTTTGGATCAGGATTCCAACAAGATATTCTTTAATGTTTTAAAATACCTGAATCCCATTCTCTCTATTAATCTAGAGATTTATCTTGTACTTATAGGAACTTGATATTTCCCCCACGGAAACTTTTGTTATTACAACAACTGATAGAAAACAAATAACAAGTGAAAATTTTGGTAAGTATACTGTATTTATAGTGACAAATCAATTTTATACCAAGATACTATTAATTAAATATTAAAGTTTTGCTACTATATTTCACCAATGTTTGTCTTGCAACAACTGCCATTTTTCTTTAAAGATTTTTTTTGGTTCTGAATTTAAAAACACCAAGAATATGGATCAAATGATCAGGATTTTAAAAAAAATCATAATAATGATATGAGAATTGAAAATTAGAATTTTTAAAAATAATATCAGTATAAACATTAATAGGAATGGTTTGGGATGCAAGTAAAGCTTTTATGACGTTATTTTATAAAATGTCATACTTAAAAATGAAGTAAAAAGAAAAAAGTGACAAAGAAATTCCCAAAGAAAGTAAATATCTTTTACAACAATTGTTGATGTGAACAGTAAAAGAATGGAAATAAAAATGAATTATGTAAAGCAAAAAATACCTCCTTTGAATTTGCATATAAACTACAGAAATTATTAGCATATCATTTAGAAAAGAAAAAGTTGTTATATCTTCAAGAGGGAGATACTATATTAATGGATAATATGGCAATACAAAAAGCATTTTATCAGTATTGATTTTTACAGTCTGAGACTTAGAAGACACAAATATAGCATTAATATCTAAGAAAGACGAGCTTTGACTCAAGTTGGACCCGTGTCCCTCCTGGTTGGTACTGTCCTCCCGGGAGGTTACATGGCTCCAGGGGATTATAAATGCTTCCGTTTTTTGTTTTTTTTTAAATTTGATTTATATGCCGCCCTTCTCTGGAGACTCAGGGTGGCTTACAATGCGTTAAGCAATAGCCGTCATACTTTTGTATATTTATACAAAGTCATCTTATTGCCCCCACAAACTGGGTCCTCAATTTACCTACCTTAGAAAGGATGGAAGGCTGAGTCAACCTTGAGCCTGGGGAGATTCGAACTTGCAGTAATTGCAGGCAGCTGAATGTTAATAACAGGCTATTAGTCTGCTGCGCCACCAGGCTCTTCCTTGAGTGAGGGTGCCTTTCCCGCCACCTTGAAAGAGGCGGTGGTGAGGGCCCTCCTCAAGAAGCCTTCCCTGGATCAGGCTGAATTAGCTAACTACCGTCCGGTCTCCAACCTTCATTTTGTGGTGAAGGTTGTTGAGAGTGTGGGGGCACAACAGCTTCCCCGGCACCTGGATGAAGCTATCTATCTGGACCCGTACCAGTCGGGCTTCAAGCAGGGGTACAGCACAGAAACGGCTGGTCACGTTACTGGATGATCTGTGGAGGGTTCGGGACAGGGATTGCTCCTCTGTCCTGGTCCTATTAGATCTCTCAGCGGCTTTTGATGCCATCGACCATGGTTATCATGCTGCAGTGTTTGAGGGAGTTAGGAATAGGGGGCACCATCCTGCGGTGGTTCTCCTCCTTCCTCTCAGACCGTTCGCAGTTTGTGTTGGCAGGGGGGCAGAGGTCGACCTCAAGGCACCTCGCATGGGGAGTGCCGCAAGGGTCGGTCCTCTCGCCCCTTCTGTTCAACATTTATGTGAAGCCGCTGGGTGAGATCATCCGTGGTTTTGGGGTGAGAGTCCATCAGTACGCTGATGACACTCAGCTGTACATCTCCACCCCAGACCACCCCAACGATGCCCTTGATGTGATGTCTCGCTGCCTGGAGGCCATGCGGGTCTGGATGGGGAGAAATAGGCTCAGACTCAACCCTTCCAAGACCGAGTGGCTGTGGCTTCCGGCGTCCCAATATAGTCAGCTGGTGCCATCGCTGACTATTGGGGGTAAATCTCTGCCCCCCCCACAGAGAAGGCTCGCAATCTGGGCGTCCTCCTGGACGCACGGCTGTCTTTAGAAGAGCATATGACGGCCATGGCCAGGGGGGGCTTTTTATCAGGTTCGCCTGATTCGCCAGTTGCAGTCCTTTCTGGACCGGGATGCCTTGCGCACGGTCACTCACACCCTTGTCACCTCCCGGCTGGACTATTGTAATGCTCTCTACATGGAGTTCCCTTTGAAAAGCACTTAGAGGCTCCAGCTGGTCCAGAATGCGGCCACGCAGGTGGTTATGGGCACAACCCCTTGTGCCCACGTGACACCCCTCCTGCGCGAGCTGCACTGACTCCCAGTGGTCTTCCGGGTGCGATTCAAGTTGTTGGTTACCACCTTTAAAGCGCTCCATGGCATAGGACTCGGGTACCTTCGAGACCGACTTCTGCCACCAACAGCCTCCCACCGGCCAGTTCGCTCCCACAGAGAGGGTCTCCTCAGGGTGCCATCAGCCAAGTTATGTCGGCTGGCGACACCCAGGGGGAGGGCCTTCTCTGTGGGAGCCCCTGCCCTGTGGAATGAACTACCCCCGGAAATGCGCAAGATCTCCGACCTCTGTATTTCGCTGTGCCCTCAAGACCCTGCTGTTCCGCCAAGCCGGGCTATCAATGTAATGACTTTTAAATTGGGTGTTTTAAATTTTGGGGGTTTTAAATCTGAGCCAAAATTATGTAATAATTTTAATTATTTTTAACTGATGTTTGTCTTTGTGTTTTTAATAGGCTGTACACCGCCCTGAGTCCATCGGGAGAAGGGCGGTATAGAAATAAATTTATTTATTTATTTATTTATTTATTTATTTATTTATTTATTTATTTATTTATATATGTATGTCACAAACTATAGACCAATATCATTAATAATGGTTATAAATTGTACTTTAAATGATTTTAGTTGGTGGATTAAAAATAATTTTACAAGAATTTATTCACAAAGCTCAATGTAAATTTTATTTTAAAGACAATGTTAGAATTATGCTGGTTATTCTAGAATAGCATAGTGAAAATTGCCAGTTAAAACCCAAATAAAAAGGTATTTTTCTCCTGAGTTTTTTTTAAAAATGTAGAAGAATATAAAGATAATCTTGATGAAAGAATGCAATCATTATTAAAAGAAAATAAAAAAACATTTCAGTCTTGGGAAAAGGAGAAAGAAACCAAAAGTAATTCTGTTAAAAATAATAAGGGAAGGCAGACTGATACTATGGTAGGCTTTCACAACTGGATTATACCAAAGAATAGAGTAGCATTCCTTGCTCTGTTTTCTGACCTCGCCTTTCTTGAAGGGATAGCAAAAATTAAATAAAACAATTTATATAAAGCCTTACACTTATTTTTTTAAAAAAACCGCTCAGAAATTACTCAAGAAAAGAATAATTACGGGTATCCCTCACTTACTGACCACAACTGGAACTGTCAACTCCTTCACTGAGCTATGTGGTTATAAAGTGAAACATTACACGACCATTCCTGGTTTATAGCATCAGTTTCTCAGTTCCAGCTGCAATTATTAAATGAATCACCGCTAGTTGTAAGCATGACATCATATGATCGTGACTTGTGACTTCCTGCCAGTTTTTCCCCATTGAGAATGCTTTCTCTGAAGGTCACAAATGGCAATCCCATTAACCTGGGACACTGTAATTCTTGTAAATGTGTACTGGTTGCCATTCACCAAAATCACTATCATATGAGTTATGGGGATGCTGTGACAGCCAAAACTTCAAAGACCAATTGTAAGTCTGTTTTTCTGATGTTGTAACTTGGAACAATCTCTGAATGAATGGTCAGGAATAAGGTTTATCAGCATAATTAAAAATCTGTCATGTTTTGAACTAGCAACCTTCTACATGCTAAGCAAATATCACAGCCACTGTGCTATGCAAACTCTATTATTAATGAGAGGAATAGAATTAGAAAATATCAGAGTGGGTGGTAAGCATTGGCTTAGATCGAAGGGTCAATCCTTCTGCAAAGTAGCAGGTGATTTGCAGAGATCAGCTTAGAAGCTGAAGGGCTCTCTCCCAAGAGCAGGAGTACAGTAGTCCTCTATTTATGACTACATTTGAGACCAGAATTTCCATTCGTAAGCAAGATGGTGCTTCTGTGAGTGCTCAGTTTAGCAACCTTTTTTGCCATAGCTGTTAAGGGATTCACTGCAATTGTTAAGTGAATTGGGGTTGTTAAGGAAATCTGGCATCTCCCATTTGTCTTGCTTGTTGAACACCAACTGGGAAGGTCATGAATGACAATCACATGACTTGGATGCTGCAACTGTTGTAAATCCATGCCAGTTGCCCAGCGCCCGATGGTTTACCATGTGACTGGGGGTGTATGTGCTGTGATGGTCATAAGTGCAAGGACCAGTTGTAAGTCACTTTTTTTTAGTGCCATTGTAACTTTGAATGGTCACTAAATGAATAGCTGTAAGTTGGCGACTACTTGCATTTAAGGTGGAAATAACAGAGAAAATTATTTTGGGAATGGAGGAGAAAAATGTGACTGAGATCACTTTAAATGTGAGTAAGGGAGTAATATGTGGCAATAGGGCAACTAGCAGATTGCAAAGTAGTATTGGAAACAAGCATTCACACTTTAAGAAATTAGTACATTTTAGTAATAAAATTTTCCTTACTTAAAGTTTCATGTGTATCTTGTAGATCAAATTGTTAAAGACAAGATGACTCTCTACTTACTACAAAGAGTTGATCAGTTACTCACTTCATCAACAAAGGAGCGCATTGAGTTTTTGCCACATTATAACACACTTCTGAAAAGTGGAACGTATGAATACTATGCCAGCAAAGGTCAAAATCCACTTCGTAAGTATTTAAAAATTAATAGTATATCTGGAAGTCAATGAGTGGTGCGGTGGACTGGAGATGGAGCTCTCGCCTCACAAGATAGATAGAGGCAGATATTTTTCTCTCTGGACACAATGAGAATATACCAGTATCTGCTGAACAAAACTTGGCGACAGGAAGGGCATCCTTCCTGTAAACACTCTCCTAGCTCCATTCAGTTGCCCAAACTCCACCCCACAAGGTATTATGGGGTAGTTAAAATAGGATTATGCTATCTGGAGGTCAATGCATTGTGTTTTGATTGTTTAATCAAGTGCTGTTGTTATAAATATTATCCTTAAAAGTGGCAGAATGAATGGAAGCTTTTGTTTTTCTTTTTCCGTGAAAGAGCAGATTTCTTTCTTTCTATTCTCTCTTGCTAGACCATCCTTGTCAACTGGGTTACTAAGCTTGACATGCCCTGCAGTTTGTGTTTTTTTATAATTCAGTTTTATTTATTTCAGGTCTGTTTCCCTTATGAAATTTCCATATGAAAGCCAAGAGCAGCGAAAGAACTAGAAGTTTCATATTTTTGTGTGTCTAATACTAAATAAATTATTTTATTTCAGACCTTTTGTCTAGAACCGTACATGTTGTGGCCCGCCGGCAGCCAGCAGAACTGGCAGCAGAGTCAGATAGTGAGGAGTTTGGGAAGGAACTTGGGCCAGTCCTGGGGGCTGGGGAAAACTCGAACAAGGGCTCTGCGTCAGAGGCAGAGAGGGAGCTAGACAGCAGCGAGACAGAGGAACAGCTGGAGCCCATTCCAGTGTGCACATGCGCAGAGCTGCCAGAAGACAAGAGCAATTAAGAAAGCAGGGTAGACTCGGGAGTAAGACCACACCTTGGAGATGATTGGCCCCTCCCATAGGACATAAAAGAGAAGCGAACGGGATGTGGGCATTTGCAGGAAGCAATTAGTTTATCTTGTTTCAAGATTGGAAAGTTCTGTTCGTGACTCTTAACGGACTCGGTGCCAAATTTGGCCTTGCTCTGCATTTGGAAATTGGTTCTCTGGCAGCGTTCCCAGTGAGATAAGGTGGGGGTTGATAAACATTCCTTTGAAAGACTGTTTGCCAAAGCCTTGTTGATTGTGAATGAATGGGATTTTCTGTCGTGTTAATAAAAGAGGTTTTACTGGGATTAAGACTTCGCTTCATGTTTTCTAAGGAAGCCTAGGTCAGAACAGTAGACAAAAGGGAGCATGATAAGTTTGTAAATAAGAGTTATGTTATTGTGTGCTGAATGAATTACAATTTTTTGTTTTTCTCATTTTCATATCATTACTCCCAACAGTAATGATATGAAAAGAAAAGTGAAGAAGAAATTATTCCTGGGACATATTAAACTAAGGATGTAAATCTACTACTACTTTTGTCAGATCATGTTGACTAATATAATCATTTGCCAGAATGAACAGAACCCCCCAAAGGGACTGTAACTATTTGAGTATTTTCTAACTCATAAGTTACAGTTATAAAAAAAAGTGTTGTGATACACTGCAACAATACTAAAATGCAGCATATGCAATGTTTGCAATTTAATTCCAAAAAGGTGATCTATAAGCATGAACTTGGCATTTGTCTATAACTTTTAAAGAATTGTATTTTTTTTCTTGAGATTATATTACTGTTTTTCATTTCCCCTGAAGCATATTTTTATAATCGGATCACAAGCCCTGCACAACCCTACTATGAAAACATGCATACATACATAGATATGAGAGAGAGAGGATATGTATACAACATACAGTTATTCAGGACCTGGGCCTCCGGCTGATGCTGTGCAATGCCAGGTCCGTGGTAAATAAGCCCCCCCTCATTTACGATCTTATTCAAGAGGGGGGAGCGGACCTGGCGGGTATTACGGAGACCTGGTTGGGCCCGGAGGGAGGTGTCCCTCTGGTTGAGATGTGCCCACCAGGCTTCAGAGCATTCCATCAGCCGAGGGCCCAGGGGAGGGGCGGGGGGGTGGCGGTTATTATTAAAGAGGGTCTTGGTCTGAGGGAGACCACTGTGCCACAGATTGCTGGATGTGAGTCCCTCTTTGTGAGATGGGGTCATGGGGTTCAGATGGGCTTGCTGCTTACATACCTGGCTCCCTGCCGCGTGGCAATGGCCCTGCCCAAGCTACTCGACATGATAGCCATGGTGGCAGTTGATACACCGAGGCTTATGGTCATGGGTGATTTCAACCTGCCGTCCGTTGGTGAAACGTCGGAGATGGCTCGGGAGTTCATGGCTTCCATGACAGCCATGGACCTGACCCAGTTAGTTCATGGCCCCACTCACAGGGGGGGACACATGCTGGACCTGATTTTTGTCTCTGGCCAGTGGTTGAGTGGTCTTATTATAGGGGATATAGACATGAAACCCTTGTCATGGTCAGATCACTCACTCCTTCGTCTGGACCTTTGAACCGCTACACCCCGCCGCAGGGAGGCGGACCCAATTAGATGGATCCGCCCCAGACGCCTAATGGATCCTGATAGGTTCCAGACGGAGCTTGGGCCAATTCCTGAAGATCTGGCACACGACTCGGCCGAGAACCTGGTAGCTGCCTGGGATCGGGCGGCTGGTGGGGCCTTGGATCGAATCGTGCCTTTGCGGCCTCTGACCCGGTGTCGATCCCTCGTGGCTCCTTGGTTCACCGAGGAGCTGAGGGAGATGAAACGCCGGAAAAGACGCCTAGAGAGCGGTTGGAGGGCCAGTCTCGCTGAATCTGACCGAACACTGGTAAGGTCGCATATTAAGACCTACCTAGTGGCGATAAAGACGGCAAAGTTTAATTACTTTTCCGCCTCTATTGTGTCATCAGGGAATCGTCCAGCCGCCCTGTTCAGGGTAACCCACTCCCTGCTCCATTTGGGAGCGCGGAAGGATCCCTTGGAAGGCAGGGCGGAGGATTTCGGACAATACCTGTATGACAAAATCGCTCAGATCCGGGGGGATTTGGACTCTGACTGGGTAGATCAGGGCAGGGTGACGAGGAATAGTCTTGAGAATGTTACCTGGGAGGAGTTTGATGCTGTGACTCCCAATGATGTGGACAGGATTTTGGGGAGACTTAGTGCGGCCACATGTTTACTGGACCCGTGTCCCTCCTGGTTGGTACTGGCCTCCCGGGAGGTTACACAAGGCTGGCTCCAGGGTGTTATCAACACTTCGTTGAGTGAGGGTCACTTCCCCGCCGCCTTGAAAGAGGCGGTGGTGAGGCCTCTCCTCAAGAAGCCGTCCCTGGATCCGGCAATATTGGCCAACTACCGTCCTGTCTCCAACCTTCGCTTCATGGCGAAGATTGTTGAGAGTGTGGTCGCGTGACAGTTTCCGCAATTCCTGGAGGAAACATCCTATCTAGATCCGTTCCAGTCGGGTTTCAGGCCCGGGCACAGCACGGAAACGGCATTGGTCGCGTTGGTTGATGATCTCTGGAGGGCTCAGGACAGGGGTTGCTCCTCTGTTCTGGTCCTGTTAGACCTCTCAGCGGCTTTTGATACCATCGACCATGGTATCATGCTGCACTGGTTGGAAGAGTTGGGGATGGGGGGCACCGTGTTACGGTGGTTCTCCTCTTTTCTCTCCGACCAGTCGCAGTTCATGTTGACAAGGGGGCAGAGGTCGACCTCGAGGCCTCTTATATGTGGAGTGCCTCAGGGGTCGGTCCTCTCGCCCCTCCTGTTCAACATTTATGTGAAGCCGCTGGGCGAGATCATCCATGGCTTCGGGGTGAGATACCACCAGTACGCTGATGACACCCAGCTGTACATCTCCACCCCAGGCCACCCCAATGATGCCCTTGAAGTGATGTCCCAGTGCCTGGAGGCTGTGCGGCTCTGGATGGGGAGGAACAGGCTCAAGCTCAACCCTTCCAAGACTGAGTGGCTGTGGCTCCCGGCATCCTGATATAGTCAGTTGACTCCATCACTGACTGTTGCCACGGAGAGGGCTCGCAATCTGGGAGTTCTCCTGGATACGCAGCTGTCCTTGGAGGAACATCTGACGGCTGTAACCAGGGGGACCTTTTGTCAGGTTTGCCTGATTCGCCAGTTGTGGCCCTTTCTTGATCGGGATTCCCTGTGCACAGTCACTCATGCCCTCGTCACCTCTCGCCTTGACTACTGCAACGCTCTCTACATGGGGCTCCCCTTGAAGAGCACCCGGAGGCTCCAACTGGTCCAGAACGCAGCAGCGCGGGTAGTGACGGGAGCAGCATGGCGCTCCCATGTAACACTGCTCCTGCGTGAGCTGCACTGGCTCCCGGTGGTCTTCCAGGTGCGCTTCAAGGTGTTGGTTATCACCTTTAAAGCGCTCCATGGCATAGGGCCTAGCTATCTTCGAGACCGCCTGCTGCCACCGACGACCTCCCATCGACCCGTGCGCTCCCACAGAGGGCCTCCTCGGGGTGCCATCAGCCAAACAGTGCAGGCTGGTGACCCCCAGGGGGAGGGCCTTCTCTGTGGGGGCACCTACCCTCTGGAATCAGTTGCCCCCAGAGATAAGGAGAATCCAAGACCTCAGTGCCTTCCGCCGTGCCCTTAAAACCTTTTTTTTCCAGCAAGCCGGGCTGGCCTAATTTTTTAAGTGTTTTTAATTGTTTTGTTTATCGTTTTTAATTAATGGGGGCAAATTTATATATATATTTTTAACTGTATTTTAATATTTGTACTTGATGTTTTTACTTGGCTGTTCACCGCCCTGAATCCTCAGGGAGAAGGGCGGTATACAAATTCAAAATAAAATAAAAATAAAAATAAATACCCTATTGGATTTCAGTTATAAAAGCACAGATTTCTAATATACCTGTCAATGCTGCTTCTTTTGGAAGCAGAGTAAACATTTGCATTGTAATTTAATTTGTTTTCATAGTGATAATTCTTAGAAAATTTTCTTTTTATTTAGCATTTGCACTTGCAGAATTGATTGATAACTCCTTATCAGCTACTTCTCAAAATTCTGGAGTTCGGTGCATACAGTTAAAACTGGTGAGATATCAAATAATTTTAAAAATATTTTATAGACAGATTTTATTCTTGTATTTTCATATCATCCTGCTTTTTTCTCTAATAGTTATTTGATAATTCCCAAGGAAAACCAGCTATTGCTGTGATTGATAATGGAAGAGGCATGACTTCTAAACAATTAAACAACTGGGCGGTGTATCGAATGTCAAAGTTTATACAAGAAGATGTACAAAGGTTGGAACATTCTAATCTCAATTTATGTTTAAGTATTAAATGTATGCATTGAATCAGTCTAGCAGTTTGGGATAATGAACAAGAAATGTTCATTATCCCAAACAAGACACTTTGAGATAATGAACAAGAAATGTTAAATATTAAATATATAAATGTTAAATACATATATTAAATTAAATATATGTAATGTTATATATGAGTCAATGCACAACATTTCTTATGGCAATTGTAAAAATATCTATTGATGTAGTCTCCAAATATTTTATTGAGGCATAATAAAATCCTTCCTCCCCATCTTTTAGTTATAGTGGATAATTTGTATTTCATAGTGTTTTATTTTTATTATATTATTTTTTTTTCATAGTGTTTTATTCTTTTTAACGTTCTAAGCTGCCCAGAGTTACCTCATGGTGAGATAGGTAGCAAACAAATTTAATGAATAAAATAAAAAAATAAATATCCATGAAACATATCCCCAGCTAATTGTGCATTAGCTTAATTTTTAGTTCAAGTATGGTCTCAGAATGTCAGGTGCAAATAACCAGGTAGGCATGATCCAATTAAACTGATTTATTGCTACACAGTTTATGTGTGGGTATCTTCTCAGGTAATAGTTAGCACCTGCTAGCAGTGGTGGGATTCATTTTTTTTAACAACCGGTTCTGGGGACGTGGCTTGGTGGTCATGTGACTGGGTAGGCGGAGCTAGTTGGTCATGTGACCAGGTGGCCATGGCTATGTGCATAGGGACTACTCAGAGGGCTGGAAAAAGTGATTTCTGACAGGTCCTCGCACTTTTGACCGGTCCTCACACTTATGGCCAGTCATCATTTATGCCCGTTGCAGCATTCTTAACAACCGTGTCACTCATTTCACAACTGCTTCTGTTCACCTCGGTGACAAGATAGGGTGCAAAATGTAAAATGTGAGAACAGTTGTGTTAAGGATATTGTTGAGTTACACCCGAAATTGTGGTTTATAAAGCAGAGTACCGTTAGAGTTTTACGCACGGAAACGTTTTGAGAGTAATTGTGAATAGCATACAGACAAACTGGGTTTTATAGTATTTTACTTTTAGGGAAAAGCAAAATCATAGTCCTTTAACAATCCAAGTCTTAGCCATATAAAGTGCAATATAAAATCAATCCAGGGATATAAAATCTTCTTACCAGTTTGTAGAAAAATACAAGGAACAATCAGGAACAATATAAAAACAGTTCAATAAATATCAGAAAGCAGTAAATAAATAATCATGATCAAACAATTGACCATAGAGAGATCAAAAAGAGTTACAGCGTAGCAGCAGGTAAAAATGGTGTAGTGTCCACACTAACCATAATTTAGCTCTCCTTAAATACATTGGCTACAGAGCTCAGCCAATCAGGATGCAGAATGACTCAGCACAGTTCTTAAAGCTACATAATACATTCACATAATACAAACATACAATGTTGGCTTATATATTTCCTGGCCAACCAATTAGGCAATAACCATTTCCTAACAAGTTGTAAGTGCAAGGACTGGTCAAAAGTGCAAGGACCAGTCAAAAATAACTTTTTCAGCCCTCTGAGTAGTCCCTATGCACATAGGGACTACTCATGACCGCTCATCATTTATGCCTGTTGCAGCATTCTTAACAACTGTGTCACTCATTTCACAACTGCGGTGCTTCATGTGACCGGGTGGGCGTGGCCAGGTGGTCATGTGGCATCGGTTCTTTGCCCTAATGACAGTTTGCTGCAATGGTCATAAGTGTGAAAATCAGTCATAAGTCACTTTTTTCAGTGCCATCGTAACTGTTGTAAATCAAGGATTACCTGTACAAAAATACAAAAAGCTTCTTTGCTTGCAGAAAGCTGCCCTAAATACCAATCATTAGATTAGAAATAACTGCAAACTGGAGTTACAAATCAGGCAGAGTGCCAGAGCACCTTGAGGAATTAAAATAGTTCAAATGCAGTGATAACTATCAGCAGCCAACTCTTGCTGATAAAGTGAAACCCTTTAGCAGAGAAGTCATTTAAGCTCTCCAGAATGAAGCAAAGGAGCAGAGTATCTGTTGCTTGTTAAATCAATTACCAGAACAAATAGACACAGAAACTAGTCAGTTTTCCGAAGCTGCTTCTTTTCAGGAACAGAGATTAACATTTTTCCTTCCAAACAAAGCTGAATAGGGAAAATTATCTCATCACTAAACACAGGATTAAACATCACCAAGCACAGAATTAAACTTCACCAAAAACCAGTTTTAGACCAAAAGTCAGAAAGGATATGTAAACTCACGTTTGAATGTCAATCTTTCTAGCTAGAAAAATAAGCCTTGTTGAATGTCATTCATCTTGGTTCCTTGTCATTAAAAGCTTCTGCTTCGTTATTCAATTATTTCTTCAAAGTGCTGATCATTGTACCCTGGCTGGAAGAACTCCAACAGGGGAGTATTTCCTCCCAACAGCAGTGTAAAAAACTTAAAACAACCCTTCCCCTTTAAGAAAGTCAGGCCCCCCAAAAAAACCAACAACCTGCGAGAAGCTCTGGAACCGGAAGCGACAGTAAGTCTAGGCTATTGCCAAGAATGTAATAAGGGTTAAAGGAGAGGCAGTTTCTGTAAGTAGGGCAATAAAGATTAGACTAGGAAACAACACCAGAAAGTTGTAATTCCTTACAGGATTAACCCTGTAAAGTGGAAAAAAACAAAAGGAGATTTCTTCTAACAACCGGTTCTCCGAATTGCTTAACTACTTAACAACCGATTCTACCGAACCGGTGTGAGCTGGTAGAATCCCATCACTGCCTGCTAGGAATTAGATAAGGGTCCACAGAATTCAAGGGAGGGAGTTGGCCTTGTCCACTTGTGGGTACATAAGGATTCTAGGTTGATTCCCCTTTTAACTTTGCCCCTGGTTCTGCCACTCCTTCGACACAACGTAATACAACAAAGCCTACTAACTCTTTTCTGTGATCCAGCTCTTTCTGTTATTTCTAAATACTCAGAAATCCAAACAAAAGTTCAAATACATTTTGATATTTCAGAGTTTATCTTATACTTTTAATCCATTTGCACGTTGATTTCTGTGCATCTCCTAACTTGCAAATACAGAGATATTTTCATACTCATCGTTGTTTCAATCCTGTGAAATGCTTTAGGACCATAATGGCGAACCTATGGCACGTGTGCTGGAAGTGGCACGGAGAGCTATCTCTCCAGGCATGCCAGCTGTCGCCTGTTGTTCTCCTGGCTGGTCTTCGTGCGCGCAGGAGCGCCGGAAACTGGAAGAGCAGCTCTCTGGTGTACATGTGTGTGGCAGGAAGCTGAGCTCCCGGTTTCTGGCACGCACGTGTGTGCCGGGCAGTTGGTCTTTGCGCGCGCATGCATGCCAGAAACCAGAAGACCAGGTTTCTGGAGCATGCGCTCCAGGGAGCTGCTCTTTTGGTTTCTGGCGCTTGGTGCTGAAAAGGTTTGCCAACACAGCTGTAGGATATAGATGGGTAATCAGTGCATGCAAGATGCATATAGTTCCCTGGGACTGTATTGATGATCCATAGGGGTCCACCAATGAGAAGGGCCAACATTTTTTGCCCAGACTTTTTTCAGGGAAAGGGTTGCAGAGTTTTAAGGGGCAAATGTGTGGTTTAAGTTTTATCCCTACCAAATGAGATTTGGTTACTTTTTCCTATGAGAGGTTTACAGGACAAAATGAAAATGTTAAAGCACCCATTTTGCCAATATACTGTCCCCAAAACACAAAGTCTAAAATTGTCAGCTGACTCCGATTATGTTGTGACATCATCAACCATATCCTTTGTCAACTTTGGGCAGAGCCTATGAACAGAATATATCCTTAGGGTAAAAAAGAAATTTATTTCTCCATTTGTAGTTTCCATAAAGTACTGTGATGCTACTGGACATTTCTATAAATATATGGTATATATATTTTATAATGTAGATATCAAAGGATATATCACAAAATTTATATATAACTATATTTTATCACTCCAAAGCATTGTTATTGATTATTGTTTTTAATTTCATTTAATATCTGTACACTTAACAGTTTCTATTTTTTTCTTCTATTCATTTTTTGTATCAGTGATCATTCAGGATATGTACGTCCTCAAACAGTGGAGCCCAAACCTCTCAGCTTAAACAGTGATATTTCATATTTTGGGGTTGGTGGTAAACAAGCTGTGTTTTTTGTTGGACAGTCTGTTAGAGTAAGTAAAGTCTAATATTGCTTAATTAACCTGGATTAATAATAGTCTGACTTCTGCAAAGAAACAGATTGTAAATACATGGGGAATGAGCCAATTGTCCGTTGGTAGAAGACAAAGTTTGCCAGGCTGTATTTGGGGTGGTAAAGAGATTTCAGTGTCAAAATACAGTACTGAAATAACAGATCTGCAGTATTTGTGTGAGAACTGTGTTGCTGGTATGGGGTAATAAGTCTTTCCCTTGCTATGTTTTTATATTTCATAGAATTATGAAGCCAGGTTTATTTTCCATTGAGTGTTATATTTGAGAAAGTACATAATCTTCATCCAGTGCAGTTTTGGTGATGTAAATTTCCTATATCTGAGTGTTGACTGCTAGAATTGCTTCCAATGTAACTTTGTTTTTGTTTTGTTTTTTTAAAAAAAATATCAGATGATAAGCAAACCTGCAAATTCTCAAGATGTTCACGAACTTGTCCTTTCAAAAAAAGATTTTGAAGAGAAAGAAAAAAACAAAGAACCTATATATTGTAACTATATAAGAAATAGAAAGGTAAGACAATAGTAGTATTTTAATCATTGGATTAATGCTACCTTTGAAACAGTCCTTTCACATTTACAACTTGCTAGGAATTAGGAAACCAAAGTATTTAATGAAACCATAACTTTCATTTTCCTGATTTCAAAATGAATGAAAGCTAATCCGTATCATTGTCTAATTTAATGTATTTTTTTTAAAAAATTCCAATAGCCATCTGATTCTTCCCACATTGTTAATTTCGATGAGCGATTTCTGCACAAGCTTATTTTGGAAGAGAAAGACAGAGACAGTTTTACTGCTGTTGTCATTACTGGAATTCAGCCTGACCATTTAAAATACCTGAAAAATAATTTTGATTATTGCATAAGACAGTTAAAGTAAGTATCTTATGTCTCTAAGCTTTCAAGTAATTTGATCATATCATACTTCGAATTTTTCCCCCTGTACTTCTAAACCTAGAAATTGCATTATATAGTATATAGTATTTTAGAGTATTAAATAATAGACGAAAAGTTTTAGTTTTATTCTATTTTTGTAGTTTTGATTTTAGTTGAAATGTTATGGGGTGGGGATTTTTTATTAACAGCAAGGACTGGAATTTATATATAATCTTTCTGGCTTCTATATATAAGTTGTATTTTGTTTTATATTTTTAAAGTATTCAGTGGCCTATTAAAAAATCCTGCAGTTCTTATTTATGGTTAATGAATTTTATGATTACAGACACATATATCATTACTATATCCATGGACCAAAAGGAAACATAACTAATTTGCCAATGGAAGAAAAAGTTTTCAATAATATGGTTATTGAGGTAGGATCTCTCGATATTGGAAGTAAATCAATGAACATACTTGTTTTACTTGTTCTATATATTACCTTAAGCAGTATTAGCGATGAATGGAGCACTTTCATCCTCTTCCTCCATAGTTTAGCCACCAATATATCCCTCCAAAATCTCCATTGATTTAGGATCCGAGTGGGATAATTAATGTGTAGAATATATTTTCTTTTTATTGTAACCAGGTCTGAGAATTTTGGTTAATGGGTGCCATATAAAAGCAACTAAAAAAGTATGAACTATGTTTTACTGGTCATGATACAAAAGAGAGTTAAAAGGCATTGTATTTATGACCATTCATTTAATGACCATTCAAAGTTACGGCACTGAAAAAAGGGACTTAATAACCACTTGTCACATTTAACAACCATTGTAGTATCTGTTGTGGCTCAGTTACCTGAGCCGGTGTTATCGGAGGGAGAAAGCTCCGAACATGAAGGAGAGGAGTTGGCCAGGCCTCCCTCTCTAGGACCCTCCTCTCTGGCAATGCCTCAGGTGTCTCCTGAAGGAGAAGAGATTGGCCAGGAGCCAGGTATCTCCTCGCAGTCGGACAGTGACGGAGATAAGTCTTGGCTGGATCCACGCCAGCATCGGAGAGGCAGGCGCGCGCAGCAGAAGAGGAGGCATGCAGAGATTAGGCTGAGTCACTGGACCACACCCCACAGGGGATAAAAGGGGGTGAGGTGGCCATTCAGACTCTGTGATGGACAAAACAAACTACTAGCGAGTCACATTGTATCTTTGAAACAACGTTATCTGCCTTGGATTTAATACAGACTGGACTTGACAATTCTTGAACTGTGTGTATCTTGTTTGGGTTTATCTGTTAGAGGAACAACCCCTCCCTCTATGACTAAAGTTCTTGGCAAGCAGCTACTGGGGTTGCTGCCAAGTCTCTTATCGAAAGAATTTGTTGTCTGCCAGTTTTATTTAACCTCTGACTATCTGTTTGTGTGCGTGTGTGAGACGGGGACAGAACAGTATCCTTGTGATCACAGGATCAGAATTCAGGCACTTGGCAACTAGCAGGTATTTAAAACAGTTGCAATGTCCTGGGGTCATGTAATCACCATTTATGATGTTTTCCAGGGGGCTTCCAGCAAGCAAAATAAATGGAAAAGCTGGATTGTCTTAGCAACTGGCAAAAAACATAATAAAATTGGTCACTACTCTCTTAATGACCGTATCGCTTAATAACAGAAGTTCCAGTCCCAATTGTGATTATAAGTTGAGCACTACCTGTAGTACTCTTGTGTTTTAAAAAGTGCCTTTTTTGGATCCAGTTCATTAATAACATGTCATAATTATATGATTTATGTAACGGTTCTTTGAAATATTGGCTATAAAATTCAAATTTTAAAGAATAAATTGAGGCTTTTAATTTAATTTTCCTTGCTTTTTATTATTCATGATACCTTTCATCAAGAAATTCATAGACTAACACTTATTATCTGTTTAGATTTCACTGTTTGAAAGGGGGAAAACACCTCAGATTGTGAACCTTAGAGAAATCCAGGATGATATGCAGACTTTATATATAAACACAGCAGCAGATAGCTTTGAGTTTAAGGCTTTTGTTGGAGTAGATGGGATAGTGGAAGGAATTATACGTTACCATCCTTTCTTATATGACAAAGAAACCCATCCTATCTTTTCTTCAGGTGAGTAATTGCTTGGGATAAATGCTATTTATCATTCACATACTAATATAAATTTGATCAGGTTCCCATGATTTTAAATATTATACTACCTAGCATTAGGGGGCATTGTAAAATGCTTGAATTGAAGAACAACCAGGTTTTCGAATACCAATTCTTGGTATAGTGGAGCTATATTAAATATATATTGTGCCATCCTTACTTCTATAATCCAGTAACCTCCACTCTATTGCCTACCTGCCACTATCTTAGCTATTTCTTTGTTATTTTAATGTATTAGTTGTCTTATTATTTAATCATTTAATTAATTAAAGTTAGTTTTAATTGTTTTGTCAGATTGTAAACTTCCCAAAGTCGCATGACAGCAAGATGAGTGGTAAATAAATTTAATAAATAAATACATAGGGAGTTGGGGGAGTAGGATTGTTTTTAGGTGAAGATTTATTGGTGATAATTAAAATTATGTAACTTTCCATGAATCATTGATTAATAAGCTACATTTCAAACCAATTTTATAGAACGGATTGTGATTCATCTGCTAGCTCACCCATTCTCAATTTAGTTGGGTCGAGATATTTTCTGTCCTTTAAATAGAATAAATACACTTTCAGTCTTAAGTACCCAGACAAGGAAAGGGCAGGCAGATGAAGAAGCAGGGGATGGGAGAAATTTCCAGATCAAGAAAGAATTTGATGATAGTAACAAACTTCTCAGACAGATCTCTTGGCCAGAGAGATTGCAATTTTAAAGAAAAAAAAGAAAAAAAAGACTCCAGGGATAGTAAGGGTGATGGCGTGTGAGAATGAGGAGACAGACTCCCAGCCAGGGTAAAGCAGTTCAGTCCATAGGTGCATGCAAAGCGTTTCAGAAGGAATCCTTTCCAGACACTAAAAAGAAACAAGGAGAGAAATAATTTCAGTCTGCCAAGATTCTGTTCATGTAACTTTATAATAAAGTAAGCTTAGTTCATCTGGTTGTGCTTCTTGTCTAACTTGGCAAGGATGACACAACTATTGGTGGATGTACAGTACATGCTTGATAATACATTGGCCTCTAAAGCAACAGTACCCAACTTTTTCAAGCAAAATGTTGGCTAATATGCACACTTTAATTATAGGAACCAAGCCAAGTTATACAATACTCTCCTTATACATAAACGTCTCATTTGATTGTGTTAGAAATTAATTTCATTAGCAATTTTTAAAGAAAAAATTTAAATAGGCATCTGGTTTGCAGTTCTTTTCCATAATTTGGAAAATATTCTATTTTGCATTTCTACCTATAATGATATGAAAATAACTTTTAAATTTAGGATTGAAAGAGAATGATGGTGATGATGATAATGATAATAATGAAGATGAAGAAGAGGAATGTTATATAAGAGAAAAAACAGCCAGAAGGGAAAAAGCTATTTTTGAATGTTTTTGGAATGGAAGATTAATCCCATATACAACTATAGCAGAGTAAGACTGAATTCGTTCTAAAGTTTATACATATACATTTCTATGTTTCTATGTTTCTAAATGATGTCTTTTCCTCCCAAGTTTTGAATGGTGTACTTTGCCTAAAAAGAGAGGGAACGTTCCAATTGAATGTTACAACCGAATATCTGGTGTATTATTTTCAAATGACAAGTTTGAAGTCACCACAAACAAACTAACTTTCATGGAGTTGGAATCAAAGTTAAAAGATAAAAATACACTTTTTAAAAGAATTATTAATGGACAGGTAATATTGAATTTATTTGTTTGCTAATACTGTTTACAGACCTTTAGAAAATAATTATATCTAGTAAATTTTATTGTGGTTTGTGCTTTTATATGGTAAGAAAATACAATCTATTGCAGTTTCAGGACAGCAATTTGAGATTTGAGGGGACCATGGTAAAGTACCTTTTGTTGGTCCGTAGCATTCTTAAAACTACATGGAAGTGATACATCAACTTATTCTTGCCACAAAACTCAAAGATATTTCATTAATGGCATTGTGAAATTTAAAAAGTTATCTTTATCTAATTTTCTGACTGCTGTGAATATCACATCAGAATAATAAATAAATTACTATTGGATAACATTAAACCTACTGGTCAAGAATACTGAGTGAAGAATGCTCATCCAACAATGTTTTATAAATATGTATAAAAGAGTTGAGTGTAACAAAAAGAGGGTTATAATGATTTCTGAACCCTGGAATACTAAGTACAGGCAATCCTTGACTTACTACCACAATTGAACCCCAAATTTCTGTTACTACGCAAGACAGTTATTAAGTGAATTTTGCCCCATTTTATGACATTTCTTGCCACACTTGTTAAGTGAATCACTGCAGTTAGTGAGTTAGTATCATGGTTGTAAAATGAATCTGACTTCCCCATTGACTTTGCTTGTCAGAAGATCGCAAAAGATGATCACAAGTCCCTGGGACACTGCAACCATCATAAATATAAGTTGCCAAGCATCATGTGACCATGGGAATGCTGCAACAGTCAAGTGTGAAAAACAGTCACAAGTCACTTTTTTCAGTGCCGTTGTAACTCAACAGTCACTAAAGAAATTACCGTATGTCGAGGTCTACCTGTATGGACACGAGGAAATATAAATCAAAATTCCACATCAGACACAATGAACATGTAACTGCCTCTTTAACTTTATTGTCCTGAGCACCTTTTAAAAATAGGATTAGAATTATAAGTATGGTTTTTATATATATACACACTTTCCACAGGAACAGAGAATGAAAACTGGAGAATTTGCATCATGGCTCAAGAATTGCCATGAAAAGCATGATAAACAAATCAAATTTACCAAGTTTAAAGAAAAAGTCATACGTACTGATCAGGCTTCTAAAGGAAAACTGACACCTTGGGCTACATATGAGGAAATTGAATGGGATGGAAAAATATATAAAGCTGGGCAGTTGGTAAGTTAATTACTTTTGAAAAAACAGGCACTTTTGAGAAGATTGCATAATGTATATTTGATGGGCTGCGAATTATATTTTCTTTGTTGATTAAATAAGTTAGTTAAATCATTTCTTAAATTGATAAAGTTTGTTCCCCAGCATGTTTCCCAGTAGCTATCCTTGCAAGATAAGTGCGTATCAGACAACTGAGATGTAGCTATTTCTGCCATATTTAGTTGGGAAATTATCAATGGGGACCTTGGAAGACTTCTTAAAAAAATGCTGGAGGTTGGCCCTATACTTAGCAATTTAACTGTAATATTTTTAATTCATTTTATTTGTTTATTAATTTTTTATGCTGCACATCTCCCCTGCAAGGTGATTCTGGGTGGCTTACAAGTTATAAAACAAGTAAAAAAAAATTAAAATGTTTTTTTAAAAAACTACACAGATTAAAATATTATTAAAAACTACTAAAACCAAAACTTTCGTTTCAGTTTCATTTATTTAACTGAGTTCTTTTTATTTGATTTTAGGATTTGCGTGGAGAACAGATGTTCTTAGTCATTTATGTGCAGAAAACTTTAAAAAAACTTTTTAAAAAATTGTTCACAAACTTTTAAGTCCTGGAAAGAAAATCCCAAGATAATTTTAAATTGAATTTTTTTTAGAAACAATCACCTTTCTAACCATTACAAAAGAATAAACAGAGGAATTAATTATAACTTAAAACTCCCTATTATTGAAGCTAGTTGTTCCCTAGCAAAACTCTGCTTTGTATCATTGCCCAAGAGGAGACTTTATAAACTGCATTAGAAAATATTTTTGTTAAAAATTATTTCTGAAAAACTAATAAACAGAAGTATAATGATGAAAATTTTTATTCGTTATTTACATTCATGACAAAATGTTAGATATTTTTACAAATTATAACAACATAGAAATTATTTTTAGGATTAAGTTAAATCTTTATGTAAATAAATAAATGATGTTTATGTGTTAGGTGAGATCAATTAAAAGAGGTCCAGTACTTCATGGCAGAATTGAACATTTTTATCTATATGGAGATCATGATGGAGATGTCTATGCTACTGGTGGAGATGTTCAAATAGCTTTGGTAAGTAAATAGTTTCAATTTTTAAATTAATCCATTTATATGTTTGATTCAAGCCTGAATAGAAAAAAATGTAACATAAGAACTGTACTGAATCAGGTTATTTAATCCAACATTCTATTCCCATAGATTTCCACTTATCCACTTCCAAGCAACTGTATTAAGAAATAAATGTCTCTGTTATGAAGACTTAGCCACCATGAATCAATAGCCTTATTCACCAAACATTTAGCTACTCTAATTCTAAAATGCCACAACTTTTCGTAGTGAATTACACTAGAATCAAAATGGAGTTACATGGTGCAAGTATTGAATAAGTCAAAATTACAGATAGTCTTTGCTTACCGACTGCCTTATTTAATAATCGCTTAGATTAGGACAACACTAAAAAAATACCTTTACAACTGTCTACATACTTACAATGGTGGCAGCATCTCTGTGCTCCTGTGATTAAAATTCACGGGCACTTGGCATCCAGCTAGTGTATTACAACCATAGCAGCATCTCATAGTCATGTGAGTACTGCAATGAAAAGACTAGAAAATTACTTCTGGTCATGTAGAGGCCTTGACTTATGATGTCAACAACTTATGACTCTAATTCTGGGCTCAATTACGATCAAAGTTGAGAACTATCTACAGAAGAAAATGCAGGTGGAAGAAATGGTAAACAAGGAAAGATTTATTTCAGTAGTATTATCTAATAATGAATTAGTTACAATAAGATTGGTGCCAGGTCTTGATCCAAAGTCTTTCCAGAAAACAATACTTATGAAAAGAAACTTGAAAAAATATAAGGAAGAGGAGGAGGGTTTGTAGTTTAAATGTTCACAAAATAAAATAACTCTCAAAAATATCTGATCTTTAAGTAATATATACCTATGGTAGCAAACAGCTTTTTAAAAACTGATTAATTTTTGTGTGAGAGAAAAATGTTACTTAAGAGCAAAATGGTGCTTGGTCATCACCATCAGAAATATTTTTCTTTTTAATTGCTTATTATTTTAGTCAATTCTTAAAGAGACAATATAAAAATAGTAATAATAAACAAGTTGTAAGTGACAAAATTAGTACTTTAAAATGTCTCCCCAGTTAATACACAGTTTTGTAATCTGTAAATATTTATTAGAAAATACATTAATAAATTGACTTAGAATATAATTTTTACTACAAATAGTTAAAAACCAGAATTTTAAAAATTAAACCATCTTTGATATTGTATTTTTAATTACAAGGGAATATACTGTATATAACTTTATTTTAAATATATTCAAATTTCAAAGATTTCATAAGAAGAGATATGCATAAATATATGTAGATATAGATAATTTTCAACTTCCGTATAAATATATTAATTTTCAGGAGCCTCAAGCATTATACAATGAAATAAAGATCATTCCAATAGGCAAACTTGATTGTTCGGTGTCTGAAGCAGTAGTGGAAAAATACATTGAAGAGGAAATGGCTCAGTAAGTTTGTATAGCTAATAAATTATTTTATCAATTTAGAAATAAAAAGTAAACACAAATAAAAATATTAGCCTGTCCCCCAATTAAATATTATGTTAAAAATTGATTCATTAAAAATTGACTTAAGCTTCATAGTTTGATTATATCTGAAATAATACATTTGAGGGGAGAACATCTTTTCTCCCATGAAGTGCACTTTTTATTTCTTGAAGCAAGCACCATTTTACATGACATTTTCTTGAATTTTGGTAAATAATTCTTGCTAAGATTACGTAATTTGTACAATTGGTAATAGGTTAATAATAATTAATATGCTCAATTCCTTATGACTATACAAAGATGTCTATTAGCATTATTTGATAATAAAACGTAAGTAGCTTACCATTACCTCTTAACAGATTTTTTTTTCAACTACCTCTAACCCTGAGATTTTCCTGGGGCCTTCTCATCCAATCATTAACTCACTTTAGTCTATTTGAGTTAAACTGGAGGTGACACATTGTTATATCCTGCAGTGGCTAAATAAATTACTATATTGTTTATAATTTTTTAAAAAACAAAATTGCCTAAGTAATTAGGTGCATTTTTTATTGTCTTGATAATTTAATTCATCAGTGTTTTATTTGATTTGTTTGTTTATATATGCAATTTATATAGACTACTATTTCACCAAAGTGACTCAATACTTCTTTTCTTACTAGATTTCCTGATAGTCTGTCAGTAACATGGCCTAATGGAGATGAATTATTATCAGATGACATTAAGTGCGCAGGATTTACATTAGGTTAGTATTAATTTCAGAGATAGTTTATTTCAATTTATTTTTCATAAATATGTGGATTGATTATTATTTCAGATAGTAATTTAAAATCTGATTCAATTTATTTGTTTTTCATGTTTGTTGGTTGCTCTGTTTTTTCCCCTTAGGAGATTTACAAGTTGAAATACTGAATAAAAAAGGCGAGCCTATTCAAAAACTTCCAGGACCAAGTCGTGGAGGATCAAAGATCAAAGGATCAAAGTTACTTGTGCAATTTAAGATTGTTTTGCATTGTAAGCATGCAAGTTGTATTTTTCCTACATTATTTTAATGTATTAATATATATTAAAATAAGATACTCAAATTGTAGCCACTCTTTCTTCTACGACAGTAAACCTCATGGGCAGAAGATTTTGAATTTGATTATTTATTTAAATAGACATGTATGTGGCAGCCCAACTCTGGGTTGTGGGTGGCCATATAAATGGAATAAATAAATAAATGGAATAAAGAAGGAGGAGGAAAGCCATGACCAACCAATACAGGAAAATATGTTTTAGAATTTTAATATAATGAACAACATGCAGATATAATATACAAATACAGGTAGTCCTTAACTTAAACCACAATTGAGCCCAAAATTTCTATTGCTTGGTGAGACAGTTGTTAAGTGAGTTTTATCAAATTTTATGTCCTTTCTTGCCAAAGTTGTTCAATGAACCACTGCAGCTGTTAAGTTAGTAACATGATTGTATAGTGAATTTAGATTCCCCATTGACTTTGCTTGTCAGAAGGTCACAAAAGGTGATTACATGACCCAGGAAACAACTGTTATAAATATGAGCCAATTGCCAAGCGTCCAAATTTTGATCATGTAACCATGGGGTTGCTGCAACAGTTGTAAGTGTGAAAAACGGTCATACATTTTTCAATGCCATTGTAACTTCAGACAGTCATTAAATGAATAGTTGTCAGTCTAGGACTACCTGTATTCATTTTCATTTCCATTTTTTTGAGGGAAAAATTGCAATAAGTGTTGTATGGCATTACAATTTTGCCTTTGAAAAGGGGGAGGGACAGAATTAAGCAATACTTTATGTTTAACTATAAATACATTAATAGAATAAATATACCTCTGTTAGTCATCAAACAGATTTAAATAGTATCTACCAGATGTTAAGGCTTAAAAAAGAATATAGGTATACATATTAACTTAAGTAACATTTTGTAGCTTGCATGGTATTTTTCGTAACAGTCATTTGTGTATACTATACTATAAATGAATATACTAAATCAGTATATTCTTTGGTAAGTTTTTACAATTTTCTTATCTTCAGCCATGTATAATATATATCGCTTCGAGAAATTTAGCCCACAACCACACAAGGATCAATGTTATCACAATCCCTCAATAAGTGGATTTTTTGTCATTATAACTTACTAATATTTTATGAAACCAAAAGTTCTAACTATATGCATAAACATGTTTTGCAAGTTATTGTTGTAACTGCTTTGCTTATGCATAGCAACTCAGTGTAATTTTTATGACATTTTGGCTAATAAATATGTGGATGATGTTACTGTGTTTTATCTTACATTCTTGACACCATGAATATGCATTAGTTTAGAATTGGTGGTTAAGGCACCAGGCTAGAAACCAGAAACTAAATTCTAATCCCACTTTAGACATGAAAGCTAGCTAAGTGACTTTGGATTAGTCCCTCACTCACAGGGTTATTATTGTGGAGAAAATAAGAGGAGGAAAGAGTTTAGATGTGTTTGCTGCCTTGAGTTATTTATAAAAGTAATAAAGGCAGAATAAAAAAAGTAAAAAAACTCTCTTGAATGTTTTTATGATGTCATATAATATTGCGTTGTCAAAGTAATTGTAATTAAAGAATGAGTGTTAGCATTTGCCTTTTATATTTACCTTCATGTATCATGCCAAACCAGATTGTTTCTTCATTGATATTTGCATACAATTTCCTCTGGTTTTGCACTTTGGTTTTTACTTCCTTCACTTCCTTATTTGCAAGTCAAAGCTTACCCAAGAAAAATATATTAAATTAAAAAAATGACTGAAAATTTAAAAAATGAAACTGAAAGTTTATCCTTGTATGAACAAGAAATATCAAGCTCTGTTTACTATCCTGCTACTAAGAATAGTAAAAACTGACAAATGCTACAGAAAAGGCTTTCACAGTTATGTTACTTATTCAGTGAAGTTCTCCCCCTAGGATAATATCAATATATGGCTGCTTTTCAATGCACTTTAAGAACAAATTTGTTATTTTAGTTCTTAAATTAAAATAGATTATATTTTCCATTGTTAAATGTTTGAATTTTTTTTTTTTTATTTCAGCTAGCTTATAGATAGTCTTGCTTAACAACCCAAATCTGTCTACATATATACATACATACCGTATTTCCCCCAAAATAAGACCTACGCTTGCCGCCTCGTGTGTGTGTGTCGGAGTATGGGGCGCCCAGCTGGACTGATCACCCTGAAATTGTGTTTCCCCAAAAATAAGCCCTAGTGCTTAATTTGGAGGCCAAAAAAATATAAGACCAGGTCTTATTTTCAGGAAAACACAGTACATACCGTACATATACATACACATATACTCTCTCTGTGTGTGTGTCTACAGCTATCTACTTATCTATCTACAAATTTTTTCCAAATTCATTAGAATTAATAACAGATTGATTTATAGTATAATAATGTCTCTGTTTTTCTGTAAGGTTCTGGTAAAAATAAGGAACTCGTTTCTCTTATCAGTCAACATGGAGGGAACTGGCCTTACTGGTTCAAAAAAATGGGTAAGTGGTGTTTTGGGGGGGAGTTTTTTTGACTATATCCTACAGTTGAATAATATTTGATATCTTAAATTTAACATGTATGATTATACACAGAAAATATTTTTGACCTTGGAACCTACACACTAAAACTGCAAGTGTTGAATGAAAGTAATGAAGATACTTATGCAGGAATCCGTCTTCCATCCAAAACATTTAAATTTCATGTAAAAGGTAAGTTTTTACCAATAAAGGCAAATATTTGTAGCTCAGGCAGGAATGAGGGGTCCTTGGTGCTCTCTTTTCTTGCAGACGTTTCATTACCCAAACTAGATAATATCATCAGTGCTAGAAAAGAGTGCAGTTTGCTGCCAGTTTATATTCTAGAGCATTTTATGAATTATATTCTAGAATAAACTGACAGAAAATTGCACTCCTTACTATCACTGATGATGTTACCTAATTTGGGTAATGAAAGGTCTGCAAGAAAACAAGCAAGCTCAGAGAGCACCAAGGACCCCTGATAGGTAAGTTTAATTGATGTACTCTGTTTTCATATGTACTGTTTACATGTAACAGATTTCATATTTTTATGCAATGAGATGTACAGTAGGTAATCCTCAACTTCCAACCATAATTGAGTCTGCTGTAACTTCAGTCGCTAAGCAAGGACTACTTGTAATATATTGAAAACATTTTTGAAAACATTACTAAAATATAAATGAGCTAAGTATTTAGGCAGTTCTCCAAATAATAATTCTTTCAGTCAGTGGAGAAAATTTTTTTTAGCTTTCATTATAAGTATCTAAGAAGAGTGGCTTTCCAAAGGAAAAGCAACATAGAAATATTAGGAATGTATATTAAAAGTATGATTAATACTTGAAAAACTGACCAACTGAATGTTTTTAGCATTGATCTGTTCTTTTTGGGAATATACATAATTATGTAAATAGTATTGTCCTTCATTTGAACTATTAATTCTAAAAGTTAAACACAATTTCCCTACAATAAATATATAGTAGTATCAGATTTTTATTTGTTCATCCCAGGGAGAAAAAAACTTCAATTTAAAGATGTTGAATTGTGAAAGCAACTCTATGTTTTACTCTGACAGCCTGTGTCTGTTCTGTAAAACAAAGAAAAAAATAAAATGGTGCTAAATATTCTATCAGTATATAATGTAGAATTTGTCCTTACATATCACTTGCATTAAACAACTTTTATAATTTTGCATTTCATATACCTTGTGTTATTGCAGTTTTTTAAATACCATAGGCTATTTAATTTGAGTAAATTTTATTTAACAAAAGCATGATATTTTGTGAACCAAAATCACAAACATCATCAAAGTGGAAGGTGACTTTTGAGCCTCTCTATTATATTATTTAGAGAATTATCTTAATGCAGCCCCAGAAAACTGAGCAGTATCAGAATTATAAATAATTAATTCCATTATATTATTTGTGTTTTTCTTAATAAATATATTGTTAACATTTTGGCAATTAAGTTGACACTGAAATACAATAAATCCATAACACTATGCCTACATATACATAGATATAGATATAGATATAGATATAGATATACACATACACATACATATACACACACACACACACCAACACACACAACACACACATAACACATATATATTATATATATATATATATATATATATATATATATATGTCTTTGGTTATTCGGGTTTTCTCCTGCGTGAAATTGGAAGTGTCTTGGCGACGTTTCGACGAAGTCTCATTCGTCATCTTCAGGCTGGTGTTTTCGGCTGGTGTCTTGGCAACGTTTCGAAGAAGTCTCATTCGTCATCTTGAGGCTGGTGTTTTGCTCCTAGAAGCACGAAGCCGAAAACACCAGCCTGAAGATGACGAATGAGACTTCGTTGAAACGTCGCCAAGACACTTCCAATTTCACACGGGAGAAAACCCGAATAACCAAAAACCTACATACAAACACCCGCAGAAAACAACTCTTGGGTACAATTTTGTTCATCACAATTCATCTTTACACTTATCCCAGTATTAACATTAACCCCGGATAAGAATACTGGATTATTTTCTTTCTTTTTTTCTTTTCTTTCTTTCTTTCTTTATTTTGTCAAGCATGTATTAGATAACAGATATAAGTATAGACATAATTATGAATACATGAGATGGATACAAATAAAAGGGAACATTAGGACAGGGACGGTAGGCACGCTGGTGCGCTTATGCATGCCCCTTAAAGACCTCTTAGGAATGGGGTGAGGTCAGCAGTAGACAGTCTAAGGGTAAAGTTTTGGGGGTTTGGGGAAGAAACCACAGAGTCAGGTAGTACATTCTAGGTATTGACCACTTTGTTGCTGAAGTCATATTTTCTACAATCGAGTTTGGAGTGGTTTACCTTAAGTTTCTATCTATTGTTTGCTCATATATTGTTGTGGTTGAAACTGAAGTAGTCATTGACAGGTAGGACATTGTAGCAGATAATTTTATGTACTATGCTTAGGTCAGACCGAAGGCGGCGTAGTTCTAAATTGTCTAAGCCCAAAATTGCAAGTCTGGTGGCATAAGGTATTCTACAGTATTGTGGGTAGAGGAATGGAGGACTCTTCTCTTGAAATATCTCTGGACTCTCTCAATTGTATTAATGTCTGATATGCAGTGCGGGTTCCAGACAGGTGAGCTATATTCGAGAATTGGTCTAGCAAATGTTTTGTATGCTCTAGTTAGTAGTACAATATTACCAGAGAAGAAGCTACGCGAGATTAGGTTAACAACTTTTAATGCCTTTTCGGCAATGCTATTACAGTGAGCTCTGGCACTTAGATCGTTTGAGATGAGTACTCCAAGGTCCTTGACAGAGTAAGGGTCATCTACAAGGTTGTATCCGTCCAGCTTGTATTTTGTGTTTTGATTTTTTTGCCAATGTGCAAGACAGAGCATTTGTTGGTTGAGATTTAGAGTTGCCAATTGTTTGACCATTCTGACAGATAGTCAAGGGCTTTTTGTAGGGTAGCAGTATTGTTGATGGTGTTGAATAGTTTTACATTATCAGCAAAGAGAACGCTGTTGCTTATAATATGATCGCAAATGTCATTTATGTAAAGTATAAAGAGTGTGGGTCCTAAAATGCTTCCTTGGGGGACACCGCTGTTAACAGGGTTTGATAGGGCGTTCCCTATTTTGACTACTTGTTGCCTGTTTGATAGGAACGCAGCTATCCACTTATGCAGGGATCCGGAAATGCCGTAAGATTTTAGTTTTAGAAATAGTTTGTCGTGTACTACTGAATCAAAGGCTTTACAGAAGTCTATAAATTGTGTCTATTGCTTTAGCCTGGTCGAGTTGTGAAGTCCATATGTTTTTACAGTGTAAGAGTTGCAGATTGCAAGGCAATTTTTTTTTGAAACCAAACTGCTTGTTAGATAGTAGGTTGTTTGTCTCTAAGTAGAGGGTAATGGATTGGTTTATGATTGATTCCATGACACAACATAATGAGATTGATCTGTAATCTTCAACTAGGCTGGGGTCACCCTTTTTGAAGATAGGGATGACCTTGGTTAGTGATCATAAGTTAGGCAAGGAGCTGGTTCTGAAAGATATTTCATATATTATGCTAAGAGGTTCTGCTATGGTGGTTGAGAGCTTTTTAAAGAAGTAGGCACCATAATCCATCAGGGCCAATAGATAGAGATGGTTTTAGGTTGTGTAAAGCCCCATGGTGACTCACAGTGACTTTTTTGAGGTAGGGGTGCGGTGGGTGAACTTTTTTCAGTTATTTGGCAATTTTCTCGAGGTAAGGATGTGGTGGGCGCTTCAGAGCGAGAGTCTTACCTTCCTACCTGGATGCCGCCATCTTGAAAATTAGTGAGATATCATTGTAAGTAAGATATCCCCAAATCATTAAAGAACTATCATAACTTGCTGACCCATGTGAAATAATTTAAATGTGATTAATAACTGGATATCATTAAATTGTATGTTAATATAATGAATGAAAGATTTGACTTTGTTGATAGCAGAAAAGTGCTACAAATTCTACTCTAATTTTCATTTTACTGAACATGTCATATTTCAAAATATTTTTTTATTTTTAAAATCACTGTACAGATCAATGTTTTGTCCTCATTTGAAACCTTATATATAAAAGAAACAAAGTGTTTCTACAGATATGCATCAAGAATTGTACCTAATGAAATAAAAATAGCCTTCAATTCAGATAACAGGGAAATTCTCCTTAATTTTATATATGAGAAAATTAATAACTGAAAGCTGATGAAGATAGCAAAAAGTGAGTAGAGCCATCAACGTGTGATTAAAAAAATTCCAGTCCCCACCAAGATGTTGACTTTTTCTTTTCTTTTCCTCAGAAGGCGCACCTCAGAAGTTTACAATAGGAATTTTGGATCCTCCATTTCGGATAGGACATCCATTCAGTATTCCTCTAAATGTCCAGGATGAATTTGGACATACCACTCAACTGACGGAAAATATTACACCAAAACTTGAAGCAAGGTAATAGTTATTATTTTATTTTTATAACATAGAGAAAAAATTATTGTATGATCCTAATTTGATGTGAATGCTGGGCATTCTGTATTTCATAACTATTTATTTCCTATGTGTTGTCATAAAATTAGAACATTTTCCTTTAAAATCCCTTATATTTCAGCTAATTACTGGGAAACTGGAATGGAATGGAGTGGAATGGAATGGAAATGTTTCTTTTATCATAATTAATTTTTTTCTGCTCTCTTAATAAAGTGAGAATATATAAAATGATGGATGTGACAACAGGTTTTTTTAGGCGTGAATAGATGATCTGTGTAACTGTTATGTAGAGCAAACAGTTATCTGAGGATTCTTTTATCTTTTTTTCTTCAAGCAAATGCAGCTCCCTCTTCTTTTTCTCCTACATTCTTGTCTCCCTTTTAAAAAAAAACCTGAATCAATTACAAATAAATAGCTAGATCTGGAGGTATTTTACTCTTGTGTGTATGTAAAATAGTTTGCACATTCTGTTAAGTCTCTTTATGAACATTGTTTAAATACTGCTTCTTGTTTCTTCTAATAGCTGTCTAACAATCAGATTCAGGATTTTTTTTCTTTAGAATGGTAGGAATAAATTTAAGATCATATTATGGAACCTAAATGGCTTTCTTCTTCTTTAACTTTACTTGGAGCTTGCACATGAGCAGTTCCACAGTCAGTACCCATCCATGTCTTTGGTGCTATAATTGAACTCCTTCACCTCCTTTCAACAATAACATAGAATTAGAATTAGAATTTTTTATTGGCCAAGTGTGATTGGACACACAAGGAATTTGTCTTGATGCATATGCTCTCAGTGTACATAAAAGAAAAGATACGATCATCAAGAATCATAAGGTACAACACTTAATGATAGCCATAGGCATAGCCATAAGCAATCCGGAAACAATATCAATATAAATCGTAAGGATACAAGCAACAAAATCGTAAGGATGCAAGCAACAAAATTACAGTCATACAGTCATAAGTGGAAGGAGATGGGTGGTGGGAACGATGAAAAGATTAATAGTAGTGCAGACTTAGTAAATAGTTTGACAGTATTGAGGGAACTATTTGTTTAGCAGAGTGATGGCATTCAGCCCTCTTTTTGACTCATGCAGTATACAGGTCCTCAATGGAAGGCAGGTTGGTAGCAATTGTTTTTTTTCTGCAGTTCTAATTATCCTCTGAAGTCTGTGTCGGTCTTGTTGGGTTGCAGAGCCAAACCAGACAGTTATAGAAGTGCAGATTACAGACTCAATAATTCCTCTGTAGAACTGTATCAGCAGCTCCTTGGGCAGTTTGAGCTTTCTGAGTTGGCACAGAAAGAACATTCTTTTTTGTGCTTTTTTGATGACGTTTTTGATGTTAGCTGTCTATTTTAGATCTTGCAATATGATAGAACCTAGAAATTTGAAGGTCTCTACTGTTGATACCGTGCTGTCTAGTATTGTGAGAGGTGGAAGTATGGAAGAGTTTCTCCTAAAGTCTACCACCATTTCTACGGTTTTGAGTGTGTTCAGTTCCAGATTGTTCCGGTCACACCACGAGGCTAGTTGTTCAACCTCCTATCTTTATGCAGATTCATCATTGTCTTGATTGAGACCGATCACTGTTGTGTCATCTGCGAACTTCAGTAGTTTAACAGATGGATCATTAGAGATGCAGTCATTAGTATACAAAGAGAAAAGAAGTGGGGAGAGCACACAGCCTTGGGGGGCTCCTGTGCTAATTGTACAGGTATCTGATGCGATTCTGCTTAGCTTCACCTGCCTCTTTCTGTTTCTTAAGAAACTTATGATCCACTTACAAGTGTGTTCAGGTACCTGTAGCTGGTTAAGCTTAGTTAGAAGTGTGTCCGGAATGATGGTATTGAATACTGAACTAAAGTCTACAAAGAGGACTCTTGCGTAGGTCTTTGGAGATTCAAGATGTTGTAGGATGTAGTGCAGAGCCATATTAACAGCATCATCTGTCGATCTATTTGCTTGGTATGCAAATTGCCAGGGATTTAACAGCGGATCCGTGATGGTTTTCAAGTAAGACAGCACTAGCCTTTCAAAGGTTTTCATAATTACAGATGTTAGAGCAACTGGTCTGTAGTCGTTCAGTTCCTTGATGTTGGGCTTCTTCAGCACTGGGATGATAGTAGAGTGAAGCAAGAAGGAACATAGCACATCTCTAGTGATTTATTGAAGATACGGGGGAAAATGGGGGCCAATTGGTCAGCACAGACTTTTAAGCAAGAAGGAGTGTCTGGGCCTGGCGCTTTTCCTGGCTTTTGTCTGTGAAATAGATCTTGCACTAGTCAGTTTTATTTCTATGTACTCCACCTGGGGATGTCCATATACAACCTGGGCATTTTGGTTGTTTGACAATAATGTTATTGTGATAAAATAATTGGAGTCCATGATGGCAAACCAATGGCACGTGTGCCAGAGGTGGCACGCAAAGCCCTCTCTGGGCATACGCACCAGCCAGCTGCTCTCTTCCGGGTTCCGGCACGCATGAACTCCATTTTCAGCACTTGGTGCCAAAAAAGTTAGCTGTCACTGATTGGAGTGCAGAAATCGAAAAGATGGTCTCCTGCTCCATTTTGGTTTCCTAAGACATACAGTCTAACTACATTTTCCTCTTTTATGTTTCCAACTAGTCACCAATCACAGGACATCTTACTTACATGTTCCATTGATTTCAAACTGAATTTGATCACAGAAATCACCAACCCCCTCTTCTGCATCAGTGGTTGGAAGATAAACTTGATAATCATATTAAGGAACCTTGGTGGCACAGTGGTTAGAATGCAGTACTGCAGGCTGACTCTGCCCACTGCCAGGGGTTTGATTCTGACTGGCTCAAGGTTGACTCAACCTTCCATCCTTCCGACGTTGGTAAAATGAGGACCCAGATTGTTAGGAGCAATATGCAAGGACTGTAAACTGCTTACAGAAGGCTGTAAAGCATTGTGGAGCTCTATTTAAGTCTAAGTGCTATTGCTATATTATTGCTATATTAAAAGGTTGCCCTCAAGTCTAACTAATATTATTCAGTCATTGATTGTACTGTAACTTAGTACTATTTTTGCTATGTACCATTCGTCACTATAAAAGCAACACTATTTCCTCTTTGTTTTTCATTTCCTGATTAAAATACAGTGTGCTCTTCTTTCACTGTGTTGAGCTTTTGTGTGTTCATGCTTTTCAAATTATATATTCCTATTGCAATTCTATCTCGGTAGCTTCAGATTCTCTTTTCTTGTATGGAACTAAACGTCCAAAGTCTTTAATTTAGACACATCATAAACACCATAAGTATTCTCAGCTCTTCCTCAGTAGGCTGTTGAGTGCCATCCGATCTGAGGGACTTATCATACACCACTAAATTGTCCATCATTTTGTATTTTCTATCCATGTAGTTTTCTTGCTAAAAATACAGGAGTGGTTTATCATTGTTTTCTTCTTTATGAAATGATGCCTTAGGAGGGGAAAAACAGGTCCAAAATCTTTCCCACTTTTACATGATATGAATATTTCTCTAGTACCATAAGAATTCTTTCCCAACATTCATCGCTTGTACGGAGTAAATCAGTCTGAACAGATGCATCTCTAGATAGCAATACCCTATGCATATTTAGTTGGCAGCCATTGCATTTGTTGCCAGAGAAACAATAAACCAGAAGGGATCAGGAGTAATAAGCTCAGTAACATTATAAGAGGTACAGTACACCTTCCCACCTACATTTTAGACATGTTGCCATGCCATACTAGCAGTAGTGATTCTCCCAGAACCATCTAGAACTAAATGGCTGAGAAAAGTTGTGTGGTACCACCTCAGGTACATCAGATCTCTCTTTGTATCATCAGCAGAAGGCAGTGGAGATCAAAAGTTCATGAATATATATTAAGGATATGTGAGCTCCAACAAAACACGGGAGTCATGGAATTACAATAGAATGGTGAAGCCCAAGGAAAAAATGTAAAGAACTATGCTTCAGAGGCAGGCTGTCTCTACAACATAGATAAACATGTTATGTATAAGCTTTATTATAGCTTAATATATTTTGAGGTATGCTTAAATCCAGTGTTCCATGCACCTTAGTACAAGCTCAGTAATCATGTTTTTCAACAGTGTTGAATCATGCATCAGTCATGTTTTAAAAGATTTAATATTTTTATCTACAAAATATTCTTGTTCTAATAAGAATAAGCCATACAGAATCACATTTACAAGTTCAGTGTCCTAATAAATCAAATAAATAAAGTGAAATCCCATTTGCAATGTATCATTGCCATCTTGTGGTCTATTCAGATATTACATTGTCATATGAGATCCCCCCCCCCACTTTTATCAAGTTGCAGCTCAATAATTCAACGCTGAATGTTTACATTTTGATTGTTTAAAATTTAATATGTTTATATAGTATCGTCTTTTAAAATAAAGCTTTGATTTGTTTATTTCTTGTGGTATTGGTCTGTTTCTCCAAAGAATGGATGGGTTAAAACTTTCAGCTACTATAAGGCCAGGAGACTTCTTACTCATTTTCACCTTCCATTGCTTATAAGATAATGCAAATTGTGAGAACTTATCTCTCACACATGCTATCTGGTAGAGTATGATTGGTCTCTAAGAGGAATTAGAAAGGAAAAAATCCTTACTAAAACATTACCATTTATCTCGATAACTAAAATTATTCTCTTCCATTGATTCTACGTTTTATTTTCTAGTGGTCTACGATTACAGTATGAAGAAATAAAAAGAAGGCCAAATTGTGTAATTTCAGGCATAATTGCTAAAGGCCTTGTAAATAATTACCAAGGCAAGGTAAGCTAATCTTTTTCAATACAAAATGAATTTTTAAATTATCTAATTAATGGATAGTTTTAAAATAGAATTTTCAGCTATCACAACAAACCTGTTATTTAAAACATTTAAAGCTGTTAGTTCAGTTAAACTGATTTTGATAGGTTATGAATCTGAAGTAGCGGTGTGCCTTTCAAGTGATGGGATAATCTGAATATAATTTGAAGCAGAGTTTGGAAGGAGCTAAAAAAAAATCTCTATTCAATATTTGGTGGTATTCAGTAACATGCACTGCAAGTAAAGATACAAACATATACTTTGACAATTTTTTGTACTTTAACGTAATTGCTTTTTAAGGGTATTCACTATAAGTACTAAATAGTCAAACACAGTTGTACTATTACGGTTGGTTGCATAATCAGCTAAATATTTATACTGGATTTCATGTTTCCTGAGGACCTGAGATTCGCAAATGTTGTTTTATTACTATTATATCTTATTTCAACAGAACTTTAATCTAAAACTCACTCTTCCTGGCCTAATGGAAGAATCCCAAGTTTTGAAAATTAAACTTCTCCCAGGTAAGTAAAATATTTGAAATAATGAAAGCATATGTTGAAAATGGCAGTAATGTAATGATTCACAAAGAAATGTACATTTTGTAGATATATTAGAATCCAGTTTCGGCATAGATCAGATCAACTTTTGAGGTTTTGTTTTCCTGGCTGATTAATACGAATATAGTATAAAATGTTATACTGAATTTCAGGAGAATGAGATGAATATGAAAAATAAAGATTTCTGATTTGTCATATTTCAGGAAAAAAAAATAAGTGTAAGGGTTTTAGAGGAGAGCCAGTTTGGTGTGGTGCTTAAGGCATCAGGCAGAAACCGACAGACGAATTCTAATCCTGCCATAGGCACAAAGCCAATTTAGTGGTTTTTGGACCATCACTCTTTTTCAACTCAAGGAAGCAGATAAAAAAAATTAATCCCTAAATTTTGTCAAGTAAACCTCAGGGATTTCTCCAGGCAGCAGCTAGGAGTCAACATTTATTAGCACGCACACACACACGCGCGCACACACACACACGACTTAGTCCTTCAAATTCTTTATTACTTTTTGAAAAAAATGTCTTTGATAATGAGCATTTGGGCAATGAGAAGCCTTATCTTTGTTCAGGATTACTGTGAGAGAAGATGACTAGAAAATGTGAACCATATAGAACTTTGAAATGCTTAAACACCATATAAGCATTTTTTAAAAAAAAAAACAGGCAACATTCACTAAAAGGGAAGCTTTTTTATTTTCAAATAGTCCCTAAAATTTTCCAGTTACTTTGACAATTTGAAATGAACCAATACATGATAATGAACATTCAGCAGTCTACTTCACTATTGAATGTAAGGATTTCTTTTTTTTAAAAAAAATGTACCTTCAGTGAATCTCCCAGAAGACTCATGGTTTTTGTAGACCCTGGATTCATCTTCCTGCTTTGGAATAGCTACTTTGTAATTAAATAAACCTTAAATCTTGTTGCCACAAGCTAACTGCTTAGAAGATGTGTTTACCTAGTGTTAGATAAAATAAACACATAGCCTATAGCCGTGATGGCAAACCTATAGCACGCATGCCATAGGTGGCACGCGCAGCCATATCTGTGGGCACGCGAGCATTGCCCTAGCTCAGCTTCAGCATGCATGCGCGTGCCAGCCAACTGATTTTTGGGACTTCCGGGCCCACCAGAACTTGGGAACCGGGCTGTTTCCGGCCTCCAGAGGGCCTCCGGGAGGGGAGGCCGTTTTCATCCTCCCCAGGCTCCTAGAAAGTCTCTGGAGCCTGGGGAGGGCGAGAAACAGGCCTACCAAGCTCACTGTGCCATCGTGTGCCAAAAGCGGGGGAGAGTGCGGAGGGTTGCGCATGCATGTGCGGGGGGGAGGGGCGGAGCGCATTGAATTATGGATGTGGGCATGCGCACACGCAACTCCTCGCACTCCCCCCGCTTTTGGCACACAATGGCAAAAAGGTTAGTAATCACTGGCCTATAGTCTTACTTGTCAGTATGAAAGAAAAAAGGTTTCTCATGGCTTTTTTTTTTTTTTTTAATTTGATTTATATGCCGCCCTTCTCCGGAGACTCAGGGTGGCTTACAATGTGTTAAGCAATAGCCTTCATACTTTTGTATATTTATACAAAGTCAGCTTATTGCCCCCACAACTGGGTCCTCAATTTACCTACCTTAGAAAGGATGGAAGGCTGAGTCAACCTTGAGCCTGGTGAGATTCGAACTTACAGTAATTGCAGACAGCTGGTGTTAAAATCACAATGCTATCAGTCTGCTGAGCCACCAGGCTTTGAAGTATGTGGCAAGGGTAAACAATAATTTCCCCAATCTGCTTTGGCAAAATATAGTAACACAAAATATAATTTAAACATTAACTTTACTAAAATATATAAAAATGTAAAATGTCTTTTTAACTTTAGGTTATCATATATCAAAAATCATTAATGGAGAAATAAAAATAGAGGATTGGCTGCATTGGCTTACATATCCATAGCTTGCAGGTTGTATTATATTGTTTATGGCATGGATGTAATTTAAAATATTGATATTATCAAACTTGTTACTTTGTTTTTGGACATTTTATTTTTTATTTATACAATTGATTGGCTGCCCATCTTACTTCAAGGTAATTCTTTTAATGCTTGTAGCAATATATTATATGTCAGTTTCTGACCTCCAACAGGCCTTCCTCGGCAACTAAGTGTGAAACCAGATGAGGATATCTTAACAGTTGAGAATGGAACAGCTTTCTCTTTTCATGTTGAGGTATTGGATGAAGAAGGCAACAGAACACCTCAACCAAAACTACTTGTTCAGTGCAAGGTAGGCAGCTCTCAAATATACAGTAATTGCTTATACTGCTGAAAATAACATTATGGAAATATTCTGTTATTTCAACTCTAGAACTTAGATGTTGACATTTTGGCTAGAGTTTTGTGTTAAGAACACATAGCATATGCATTTACTGGGAATGTCATCATTTTGTAGTCTATCTTAAAATTTAGTTCTAAGACATTTATGCCATATTATGACTTGAATGGGCCATAACCTTAATCGAAATTATTCTTGATTATATTAGTTTTTAGAAGTTCCAGGCCTTCCTGTATATGTTGTAGATTACAGCAGTCCTGACAAAAATATATTAACTGGACCAGTTCTGCACATTCAAAATGTAAAGGAAGTTCAAAGACTTGAAGCAAGAATTGAAATACCAGTAAGTTAAAGATATTCGCTCTCTTCCCTCCAGAATGCTATCACCCTTGCATATACTTTTCTCTGTCTACTATCAATGCTTTTGGCCTAATTGGGGTGTTTTTTTAAAAGCTGACAAAGCATAAAATAGTCTTTGGTGTTGATATAATTTTTAATTTCTTTTAATAGGTGAGTTTCAGACATGAAAATCATGGGGAACAAATATATGTAATTTCTTAGACTACTCCCTAGCCTATTAAAAGACAAATTGTGTTAACATCTGCAGCAATTGAAAGAAAAATTCTTGAATCTTAAACTTGGTTAATTTTGTACAAGCATATCTCTACAAGTTTCATATCAGTCATGGCTTTTACAAATAGGGAGTAATAGCATTTTATAAGAATGTTGTGTTTGTTCACCATTCCTCTAAATCACTTTTATTGGAATGGCTTATAAATTACTTTTTGGACACCTCCAGAAGTATAAGTTTTATTATACTAGATGATCTTCCTCCAACCTGCAGTGAATGATTTATATAAATTTAAAACTTCAAAGAATTTTTTTTTTTTAATTTAGAATTAAGCAACTAAAGGGAAATTATTAGACTGTTGCTTTTGGAAGGAAATTAACTGGATCAAGATTGAATGGAAATACTATAACACTTCGGAAAAGTTAGAATATTGCTTGTTGTTTATGTAAAATCCTATTAAACTATATGAGGATCTGAGTTTTAGTGTAAGAAATCCTTTCCTGGGAAATGTTCTGGTGAGAGAAAAACATAAGAAAAGAACTTAAAGACTGGTTAAGGAAGCAATCGGAAATAAATAATTAAAGGAGAATTCCCACTAATATCATGGAGAAAAATATTTTTACCCTGGAAAAATTTAAGAATACTTGGCAACAATGTATCTAAAACATACTCTTTAGACCATGGGTGTCAAACTCACCGCGTCATTTTGTCATCACGTGATGTTTCGTGAGATTTTTCCCATTCACAGAACGGGTGGGTGTGGCCTGTGCATGATACATCCGGCCCGCCAGTTTGACACCCCTGCTTTAGATTATCTGAATCAATAAAAATGGTCTTAAAAGAAGACATAGGATATAATCGAAAATCAGACTGTTTTGGATGTGAATTTAAAATGAATGGATGTAGGAATGTTTTATAAGATGTTATATAAGACCAACAAATGAAACTGGCTGAGGTTTCAATAATTAAAAGACATACACAAATAGTAAAGCAGAAGAACAACTTGGATAGACATATTTTAACTCAAAAAATTGACTTGGACAATTTTCTTACTTTTGATTTACAAAAAAGAGGTGTTATATCATGAAGAAATTCCTGAGAAAAGCAAAAGAGAGAAGAAACAATTTGGACATTACCTAAAAGGAATCCAGATCTTTAAAACTAAAACTAAGATGTACAAAGTGGGCCTATTTGATCAAGGTTAAGATACAGTATATGATTCCCCTCTTTTCTAACAGCTTTTAAATGTTTTTTCCTAACTAGGACTTAATGTTGAGGCATTAAAATTGTTTTTATGGATAAGATATAGGGAGAAGGTTTTCTTGTGTTTTTAGAGGAAATAATAAGCTATGATATGATAATTGAGTAGAGATAAAAAGAGATGAAAAGAAATTAATTTGTGGAACATCAATTGAAGGGATTAAATATTAATATTTTCAATTTGTTTCTAGTACTGTAATTAATGGATTTTTCTTGATTATGTTTGAATGATGAGGTTTTAAAGATTTGTTTTTACATATTAGACATAGACTTTTGGTGATTAGGACTGAAAGATTTTTATTATTTGCCAATAGATAAAAGATAATTTATGGAATGAAGAGAGTTTTGGTTGAAATATTAAGGTATTAAGTATTAAGATGGTGTTAAACTATTAAAAATGTTTATACTTGTTTGGATAAAAGAGGAAGATAATTTTTTAATATGTGTGTGGGTATGTGCTTTTGTACTTTCTATATTTTTTTATTTATATTTTCCTTAGTTTGTATTAGTTTTTATCTTTGTAATTTTAAATTTCAATTAAAAATATTATATAAAAACAATCTTTTTTTAAAAATAAAATTTATTATTTCTTCTTTTGAAAGAAAAGTATATAACCATCACAATTGTAACTGACACCAGAACTATTACGGTAGGAATAGCATATTTAAAAAAACAAATGTAGTGTTTCTTAGTTGTATTTTGATATATTATATAGATATTATATTTTATGTTAAGAAATACATTGCAAATATTCATAGTGTAATAACTATTAATTAGGTTTGATTCGGTAAAATATTGTTGTACAGCTTTGAACATTCAAGTTTCTTTTCCTTGTGGTATTTCTTTTTGTTTTTATTGCTAGAGTTGTAAAAATGTGCCACCGGTTAACAAGATTATTCAACTGCTTCCTAGTACGCGTGTTGCAAGACTGCAGATTAATTTCACTGAAGGAGAAAAAGTTATTCAGATTAAAGATGAGGATGTAATTAACCATGTTGCAGGTGATGTGCTAAAAAATCTTACTCTCCAAATTTATGACGAGGGAGACAGAAAAATCAAAATAACTCCAGCTCTAGCTCAAAAAGTTAAAGTAAGTATAGGACATCTTGTGAACGTAATAATTTTAAGCAAAACTCTTTGCTTTGACTGTTACTTAGGCTGCCCATATCTTTTATAATGAATTGATATTTGTAAAACTTCAAGGAAAGGAAAAAAAATAGCAGTTCAGCTTGTTCTCTTTTTTGTCACACATATAGAACTTAGAAAACTGCCTACTTTTGTTCACATTTTTTAAATGCTCATTCTTAAATGTTACTGTGGAATGAAACCTAGTCCTTGCAGAATATTGAATGCTGACTATTAAGATATGCTTAAAAGGATAATTGTGTTTGAAGCCCAAAAAGAAACTATACTTTTTCAGAAGTTAACGCCAAACCTTTTTTCAATTTACTGTAGTTCGGCAGAAACACAAACTTAGCAGGAGTTCAATGTTACTTTATGGAACAATGAGGGAAAAACTGATGCCTGTTCCCCGCCCCCCACCCCCATCTCCTTATATGGCTGCATTTTTTTCTCTCCACCTTTTGACCTTAGATGCATATTTCTATGACTCTCTGTGGTATCTGTGTAAGCCTCCAAAAGCTTCAGCAGCTTTAAGGCACAGTCAGCAGGTACCAAGAGGATATCAACTCCAGATTTGAAGCATTTTTGCCTTTCTGATCTGGATACCATCCACTAGCTTTTAACTGGGAGAAGCAATGCATCACAGGTCAACATCCTTTTGAATTAAGGTTTTTCAGATGGGGTAATTTACAGAATGTGTTCAAAATCCAGGATCCATGACTCCTGTGGGATTGAAATTTAGCAATATTTTTTCTTCAGTACTGCCATGTTGCTTCATCACTACCCAGATATTTGGTAGACCAGTCCTCCCTAGCCTCCTGAGGTTAGGTAGACTGGCTCTTCTATTGGCCACTGGAGATCAGGTAGACCAGTTCCACTCTAGCCCACACACATCCCTACACACCTTCCCTTGTCCTCGCTGTGCCTCCCTTCAGCCCTCATGTACCTGCTCACATCCTTACCACACCTTACTTATGCAGCCCAACAACTTGGAGATTTCCTGAACTCTCAGCTCCTACTTGAAGAATGTGTGGTAGCCATTCACAGTCATTCATGCTTTTTGTCATCTTTCTCTTGGATTACTGCAATACATTATATTTGGGGTTATGTTTTGTATACATTTTTTTTTTGCATACTCTGAGCAGACGACTTTATAAAGGGTGTTTAAAGAAATACATGGACTATGAAGTATTCACCTTTCTTGAAAAAAAATTGTTAATTATTTCAAACAGTTATCATGGTCTACCATGACAGCATTAGACTGAGAACATTACACTTTTATTTAGATTTGAATGTACATAATTTTGGATATTAAGAAATAGCCCCAATAAAATAGATGTGCTTATATTAAATTGAAGCACTTTCAGTTCAATTCATTAACAGTATTTCCATTTAGGACATTCCAGTGTTCATGAATTTCCAGGAAAAAAAAATGGAATGGAATGGAATGGAATGGAATGGAATGGAATGGAATGGAATTGAATTGAATTGAATTGAATTGAATTGAATTCTTTATTGGCCAAGTGTGATTGGACACACAAGGAATTTGTCTTGGTGCATACGCTCTTGGTGTACATAAAAGAAAAGATACATTCGTCAAGAATCATAAGGTACAACACTTAATGATAGTCATAGGGAAACAGTCAATATAAATCTTAAGGATACCAGGAACAAGGCAACAGTCATACAGTCATAAATGGGAGGAGATGAGTGATAGGAACAATGAGAAGATTAATAGTAATGCAAATTTAGTTTGACAGTGTTGAGGGAATTATTTGTTTAGCAGAGTGATGGCGTTCGGGGAAAAAACTGTTCTTGTGTCTAGTTGTTCTGGTGTGCAGTGCTCTATTGCGTTGGTTTTTTTAAAATCAAGTTTTATTGATTTTTTTCTTTCACACACATACACACACACACATTTTATGAGCAGAGTATTGACCATATCATATCTTATACAATTTATCATATCCAATTTCATTTTACATAGTTACCATTTTTGCCAAAATATTCTTTTTCCATACTTTTTTATTTTATCTTAATACTTCTATACTTATTATATAAACAACATCACCATCCACCCTCAAATCCTAGTTTCTTAACATTATTTCAGTTAGTTTTCTTATCCATTGTTAATCATATATATTCCCTTTTAAGTTTCATATTAATTCGTTCTTCATCCTAATAAATTTGCACATTCTCGGGGTTGCCTTTCTACCATCATCTCCCTTGTTTTACAACAATTCTCCTCTCCTCTCCTCTCTCTTCTTTCCTTCCCTTCTTCTATCCTTTTCTACTTTCCTCTTTCCTCCTCTCCTACTCCTTCTCTACTTCCCCTTCCTTCCCCCTCCTCTATTCCTTCCTCCCTTTCTAACCTTCTCTCCTACTCTTATTTCCCCTCCTTTTCTTCCTCTCCTTTTCCCTTTCTTCTATTCCTCTCTCTCCTTCCTCTCTTCTTCTTCCCTCTCTCCTCCTTCCATTCTCTTTCCATTGTTGTATTCATTTTCAATTCAATATTTTCCACAATGGTATCTGGGCAACCCCGATTTCTCCCCCCCCCCATTTATTAACTATATTTTTCAAAGTCCCCATCACATTTTTTAATTATTAACAATGTATTTCAACTCATTCCATTTTTACATTGAAACCTTTTAACTTAATTAACCTTCCACCTCTTATTTTCCTTAGTTCCTAATTTCTTATTCCAACATCCATTAGTTATTTTCTCATTTACTAGCCTTTCAATTTTATATTTTAATTTCAGTTATTTTCACATTTAAACCAATCTTCATTTCATATTGCATCTGCTAATCCATTTTACAATAAATAATATACTTCTTCTTGTTTACTTCTTACATACAATTTCTATTATTAATACCTTTCACTTAAATCAACTAATAAATGCTTTTTTCCCCTTCCTTCTCTCCATTATTCTTCCCCTTTTACCCATTTTCTTTTGGTCTCTCCAAAATTCCACTTCTTAATATTTTTCTCCCATTCTCTTATTTTCTTCTTTTTCTTTTTCTTTTTATATTTATTGTATCTTTTCTCCTGAATCCTTTCTCTCATTTTTAAAATTGTTACCCTTTTAATTCCCCCCCTCAGTCTTTTCCCATTTCCTTCTTTTCCTTTCTTTTTTGGGTGATATTCCCCCCATCCACATTTTGTTTTTCACTGTCAATCCCAGTTTATCTTCAATTATTTTCCTTTCAACATTATGTTCTTGCTTCACATTTACCGTATTTTTCGGAGTATAACGCGCACCTTTTTACCCCCCAAAAGGGGGTGAAAATTTAGGTGCATCTTATACACCGAATGTAGCCCTGCCCACCCACTGGCCCCCACCCTTTGGCCTGTGCCTCGCAGCAGTTACCTTCTTGCAAGCAAACAGCAAGAAAAAACAGCCCCTTTCAGCTTCAGCATAGGTTAATTAGCACAAGTTGATTAGATCGGCCTTCCAACTCTCAGCTGATTTGTCTCAGCTGTTTTGCGCAGGGCTCTCCAGCTTGCTGCAAAAAGTGCTGGAGCAGATTTTTTTCCCCTAGCTATGCTGAAAAAATAAAACTGAAAGTAAAGCAGGTTCTTTGCTGCAACGTGACAAAATGAGGCAGAGAGAGATTTCTTTTTCTTTTTTCTCACCAAAAAGGTAGGTGCAAACAATGGGAAATTTAGGGCAAAAGAGGAGAGTTCAAGATTTTAAAACACAAAAGAAAAAAAGCTCTATTTAACTAGGCAATTGTAATAATTGAGATACTATTAATTGTATATTGTGTTGAAAGCAGAAATGGTTAAGTTGTGGTTTGGAGGAATATATGGGGAAAATTATTTGGTTTATTATTATTGGTAAATATAATTAATTGATTTGTAAGAAATTGGATTGCATGGAAATAATTGGAATATTCATGTTCATATTGATTAATATACAAAAAACATAGTTATAACTAATTGATTTATATAAAAATGTTGAATTTGTATTAAACAATTGTAATATTAAATAATTAACCAATGTGAGGATGGATATAAAAATAGATGACAATGGGAAGGGGTATAATATAGAATAGAAGGGAAAAATTGAATTTGATTAAGATTAGAGATGAGAATGAAGGGTAATATTGTGGTTTTTTTTTTTTAAAAAATAGATGAGGAATAAATATGGCAAAAAAGGAAATATAGAAATTGTAAATTTAATTGAAATGACTAAACACTGTTTAAATTTGTGAACCAGCCAAACACTCTGTTCAAAGAAAATACATTGTATGTTTGTATGTGTGTTTGTCTAAAAATTTTTAAAAAACCTTTAAAAAAAAAACAATCAAAACAGGTAGGTGCGTCTTATACTCTGGTGCGTCTTATACTCCGAAAAATACAGTATATTCTCTTTTTCCTTTTTTTTTTATTCTAACCAGATTTCCGCTTCTTTATCACCCTTAAATGCTTCACGCACCTTCTTAAACATTTCCATTAATTCCTCATATTCCCAATGTTCCATCTTGTCAATTCAATTTTTTTTTACTTTTAATTTATATGTAGTTAAAATTCAAGTCCATCTCTCTCTCTTTTTTTTATTTCCAAATAGTATCCAATTCAAATATTTAACTAAACCATTCCAGTTTAAGGCTTTGTTCTTTTTCTCTTTCAAGGTTGGGATCCAGCAGTTTAAACAAGTACTCCTTCAATGTTTAAAGCATTTGTTTATTGTAGTGCTTTCTTCTCTCTCCAGTTCACAAATCCCCAGGCAACACAATATCACTTTTAAATCCACATCGAAAATACTTTCTCTTCAATTTGTTTTCCTTTTATTGTTAAAAAATGCTTTCTCTCAGTTTTCTTTTTCTTGTTTTATTTCTAATTTCTCCAAATTCAATTTTAAGTCCAGGTAGAAAGTTTTCTTTTTTGGGTTTTAGTCTTTTAACTTCCTCCTTATTCTTTTCCCTCCAATTAACATTCCAAAGTGTCAATTAGCCGCTCATTTCACACTGGGACCTCTTTCAAGCTTTTTCCAAAGAATTTCTTTTTACCTTTAAATTGGCCAAATCACTCCTCCAGTAACAATATTCCATTCAAACATCAGTCCTGCACAAATCTTAGTCCGGTTGCCCCAATTTAGAGCGGTTATTTTAATGGCCGCCACCCCCCACCCCAGCCCCACCGGATCAAAGAGCTGCCTCTGACCCTTCGAGGAACTTGCCTTTCCTCTTGGTCTTCCGAGGTGCCTCTCTTTCTTCACCGTCCCTCCAAGACAGTTCCAGTCCAAAGACCCCCCCACCAGCGGTTTGTCTGGCTGGATTTTCGCAAAGCTCATCAGAGCTTCGCTATTGTCCAGCCAGTCTCGCTGCGCTGGTCCGGTTATCTCTCTATAGCGCCATTTTGAGGGTAGGAGTTGAAACAGTTTATGTCCAGGAAGCGAGGGGTCTGTAAATATTTTCACAGCCCTCTTTTTGACTTTTGCAGTATACAGGCCCTCAATGGAAGGCAGGTTGGTAGTAATTGTTTTTTCTGCAGTTCTAATTATCCTCTGAAGTCTGTGTCTGTCTTGTTGGATTGCAGAACCAAACCAGACAGTTATAGAGATGCAGATGACAGAATCAATAATTCCTCTGTAGAACTGTATCAGAAGCTCCTTGGGCAGTTTGAGCTTTCTGAATTGGCACAGAAAGAGCATTCTTTGTTGTGCTTTTTTGATGTTGTTTTTGATATTGGGTGTCCATTTTAGGTCATGAGATATGGTAGAACCTAGAAATTTGAAGGTCTTTATTGTTGATACTGTATTGTCTAGTATTGTAAGAGGTGGTAGTATGGGAGGGTTTCTCCTAAAGTTCACCACTATTTCTACAGTTTTGAGCGTGTTCAGTTCCAGATTGTTCTGGTCACACCACGAGGTTAGTTGTTCAATCTCCTGTCTGTATGCAGATTCATCATTGTATCGAATGAGACCGATCACTGTTGTGTTATCTGCGAACTTCAGTAGTTTAACAGATGGTTCATTTGAGATGCAGTCTGGAATTTGCATGCTGTTGTCATCAATATCATCATGTAACCAGGTTTCAATAAAGCATAGGGCAGCTGCGCTGTGAAAATCAGAGTTGCATCTGTTTAAAAGGAGTATTTCATCCATCTTGTTAGCAAGTGAGAGTATATTTGTCAGGAAGATCGAAGGCAGAGCAGTTCTATTTCCTCTATTTCTTAGCTTGTTTAAAATTCCCGCCCTTTTACTTCGTCTCTGTTTCCTCCGTTACGTTTTCTTGGTATAATCCATAGCTCTGGGGAAATTGCTTCTTCCTGTGTTAAAATCTCCTCCGCATTTGTAAAGACGGTGTGTGTGTGTGTGTGTGTGTGTGTGTGTGTGTGTGTGTGTGAGAGAGAGAGAGAGAGAGAGAGAGAGAGAGAGATCACAGAAAGTTGCTCCTTAAAGAAACGTTGCTTAATTCTTAGCAGATGGTCTCATGAGTAAGAAACCATTAGAGAGCATTTCACTGAGGCAGCCTTTGGCGGCGCCATCTTTAAATAAAATTTAAAAAAAACATAAGAACAGGAAAAATGTTACTTTTCTAATATTCAAAGTATTTTTTTTTATCTTAGGTAAGCTGGACTCCAAAGCTTAATAGCAAACAACTGATCAAAGGATTGTTACCTAATGTGAAAGTTCCAACATCTGTAAAAGATGAATGCTGTTGTCTGCTTACGTTTAGTGATGAACACGTGTCTTTGGCAAGTTCATTTGTGGTCAGGTTTGTACTTTTTCTTCAATCATGTTTCAGTAATGAAGCTTATACTGTAGCTTTTCCTGCTGGGCAAATACTGTTATTGCCACTTTTTGTTTATACAGACATACAGTATGAATGTTAAGAAGACATGCTGTATATTAACATATATAAATGTCACATGTGCCTAACTATGATCACATCACCACATTTGGGGTGGTTGGCAGCCTGCTCACATTGACAACCGGTTGCCAACTGCCTCTACAATTGTGTGATTGCCCTTTTGCAGTCTTCCAGGGGAAAGATCAGTGTTCAGGGGAACACTCAGTGTAGCCTAGAAGATTGGGTCTGATAAGTAAGAGTGTGTTCTACTTTTGAAGCACAGACTCTTTTTGAGCCACAAGATCACTTCAGGAGGAGGAAAAGCAGTACTTTGACAGAAATAAACAGGATTATGGATTGGCCCTGTTATTTGTATGTAATTTACTCCACTGTAGTGTTTGTAGTTATTTGGGATGAAGAAGATCAAAACCTGCATGTTGTCATAGTGATGCCAAAATAACAACACATGCATCATAACAGAATGCACGATCTGCCCTTTTGTATTTGTAGCAGAGTGTCATATGCAACGTATACAAGGGATGGAGTTTGCATTACAATATCACATGTTCTGTCATTCCCCCCCCCCCCCTGCACTCCATTTCTGCAGATGTCCCTGCCTGAATCTCAGTAAAGATTAACTATACAAAGTATGAACAATATGAAATTTACCACTATTTCCTTAAAATAAGTATATTAACCTCTCACTGTGTATTTCACTAGACCGGTTGCTGATGAGCCAAAACATATCAAAAGTGAAATTAAAGGATCAAATATAATAAAAATGGGTGAAAAGCTGCAAGGTGAAATGGGTATGTATGTGTAACATTTTTATATCTTAACATTTTTAACTGACACCTTGATAGTACCATGGCAGTCCTTAGCAGCTTGATATATTCACCAGCTGCAGTCGTGTGGCTTTTATTTATTCATTCAGCTCTCAAAAGGGAGTTGAGTTCCAATCTGTCCATATTATGCAAAGTAAATCTATATTTACATTTGGCCCCACATTCTGATTTGATTTAGTGCTGTTAGGTTTGCATTAATGGTACGTTGACTAAGATTCTAGACTTCTATTACATTTAGGCTATGTGATAGAATATTCTGCTTGCATAGTTCAAAGCATGAAGCCCATTTCAGATCTTGAATAAGCATGAAATCGAACTACTATGGTATTTAACATCGAGGAGGGCTTTAAGCTTTATGTAGAATGTAGTTTATAACATATTATAAATATGGTAATATTTTAATCTGTTTTGTAACTCTAATATGTTATACAGTATTTCTATAACTTGTACTTTTTATATATATAAAAGAGATAATGATTACCGATCAGCATGGAAATCGGATTCAGTCCCTGACATCATCTTGTATGACTGCCTTGAAGATTTCTGGGAATGGGCTGGATAAATCAGATTTGAAAACTATTTGGCAGGTATTTTTTTTAATATCCCACATTATATCCATTTAAATATTTTTTTTTCTTTAAAGAAGCAGGGAGAGGAGTTTATACCTCTATCGCTAAAGCAGCTTACAAGAAGTTCTTGAGCTCCAGTCATTCATTTAGAAGCCATTCTAAGATATGACAGTACTGAAAAAAAGTATCTTGCAGCTGCTCCTTAAACTCAGAGCTTCCCTGCAGTCATGTATGTGATCATTATGCAGGCAATTGACAGTCAGTGTGCATTTATGACAGTTACAGTATCTGAGGAACATGTGGTCATCATTTGTAACTTTCCCATCCAGCTTCCAACAAGCAAAGTCAATGGGTGGAAAACCGGATTCACATAACAACTATGATTCACTTAAAGACAATAGCTATAAAGGTCATAAAATTGGTGTGACAACTCAGTTAATCATGTGATGACTCACTTAATGACCACATCTCTAAATGACAGAGGTTTTAATCCTATTTGTGGTCGTAAATCCGTTACAGTTACATGAATATTAAGAGATGGCTAGAATGCCTTTTCAGTCCTAGGAAAACTATTTTATTATTCATAAACAAATGTGTTAATTGGGTTCTCTTTACCTACTTTTAGGACTTTGTGGAAAACCAGTCAGGTTTTAGGTCATATTTCTGTAGAAATACTTAATATTTAAAAGGGTTCCCAAACTCCTAAACATCACTGTACATAAAATGATATATTTGTCACTGGAGTTTGATCCAAATTTCTGTGAAACAGATTATAATTTTTGTCAACACACATAAATTCCTGGGCCAAATTTAGCATTTGATTTCAGTCACTTTGCATCAAATATGCAGTATGAATATTCTTGTTATGCTTTTACAATCAACTAATTTTCCCCTGTAAAATCCTAACAAGTTTTCTTTATCTCTTATTACATATTTTTATAGCAAAGTACACAAACTATTTCTATCAAAGGAATTAAGTTTGAACCAGGCCCACCAGAAGTTAAAGAACTGCACGTTGCTTGGCATGATTTGTCCCATTACCGGAAGTTAAGTTTGATTGCTGGCCCTCCTGCTCAATTGGGTCTTCTGGATTGGATAGAACCAGAGAAGGTAAGCCAATGCCATATGATATAATACTAACCAAATGATGCTATGCTAACAATTGGTTTTGTGAATCTGTACAATTTTAAGAGTTGAGGAGTTTATTAATTATGCTTGAAAGTTTGACATATTTATTATGTGGTATAAAACAAAACTGAAACAAAAAATGTAATTTGAATTTATATTAACAAATAATTAATGAAATAGTATATGCATGCTATATATTCTACATAATTCCAAATAATAATCTTTTTTTTTAGGCTATATCTGTAATTAATGGCAAACAATTACCAAAGGCTCTTACAATCCAGCTCTGTGATCAGTGGAATAATCCATCTGCTGAACCTAATGTCAAAATCACACTTTTAAAACATAATAATATACAGGTAAGTAAAACTTGGTCTTCCCGTTACAAATTCCTTATACCATAGAGATTGATTGTCCATATATTGTCCTAAAGCTTATTTCCCATGACATCTTGTTTTTTTCTGTGGAATTATTTGACTGGATAGATAGATAAAACTTCAGTCAATTAAGCATATCAAATATATAAAACCGATACAAAAATACAACTAGAGGAAAAAAACAATAGAACATGTTCATAATAAATCATCTCCACAATATTGCATTTTACTGGGAAGCCAAGAATATATATGAAAAAATGTTATTTAGTAAGCTTTATCAGTATTTTGTCATAAGAAGAAATATTTTTTTCCAGATTTTTCCTTCAAATATGCTGTATAAAACAGATGAAACTGGTAGAGCAAGCGTTGGAGTTCTTACTATTCATGCTCCTAAGTAAGTGATTAAAATTCTTCCTATTATTCAGAATATGCTTAAAATATATATTTAAAGTCCTGCTATGAAGGCATAGGAATTTATGTATTTACTTTAAAAATTATTATCCTTAATTGTGCATGTGCTATAAATGGGAAATAAAGATAAGCAGGAGCAATACCAACAATGAAACACACAAGAAAAACAAAATTCAAAGAAATAAAATCAGATGACTGCAAACATTACAAATTTTGTTTAAAAAGCAAATGTTGCAAAATGTCAGATGTGAAGCCCAGATAAACAGGTTGAATTTGTTGGTCATTTGAAAACCATAAAGGTGGATTTTGTATATTTTAAAATTTGTGTCATGTTAATTTAATGTATCAACATCATATCCTATAATAATTAAAAATTTGGAATATTAATTAAATGGTATGATATATGGTGTGTGTGTATACATATATAGGAATGATATGATACAGCTCATAATATTTACATCAATAGCAAGAACAATAAAAATAGATAATCATACTAAAATCACTATTACAAATTCAATTCAGTACAAAAATCAGTAGTTAAATATCAATATATCCAATTTAGTATAACTATTAAAGAGGCTCACCACTACCACCAGACTCTCAGACATGGTAGCACAGCCATATCTTTAGGGCTTTCAAAAAGGCCAATAGAGTAGAGGGGCAACCTAAATTCTGGGGAATGACATTTCAAAGGGTGGATATCAAGATAGAAAATGCTCTCTTCCTGTCAGATGAAAGTAGACAGGACCTGTAACATGCCTCTTCTCCAGATCCAATGGGACAAGTAGATATAACTGGAGGTGCAATTCCTCAGATACCCTGGTCCCTTGCCATATAGGTCTTTATAAGTCATCAGCACCTTGAATTGCACCTGGAAGCACACTTTAAAGGCAACCTTATGTAGAGCACGTGACAGTAATATTTGGGAGGTAATCAGTGAATGAGTGACTGAGAGCAATGCGTCATGATCCAAGAAATGGTTACAAATGGCACCCAACACAAAATTGCATAAAGTCCCTCTTTGAACAGGAGTCTGGAATTCAGGAGGATGTCCAAAATGCACACAATGTCTGTTTGGGGCAGTGTCACCTCATTAAGAACAAGACATGATAAATCCCTAGAACCAGAAGTCCCCAAAACCCAAAGCCACTCAGTCTTGCTAAGAGTTAAGCTGAAAGCTGTTGTTCCCAGCTTCCAGTCACCAAGTGACAACATCAACAACTTATTTTAGTTTATTATGGACAGAGATGTTAAGCTGAATATCATCAGTGTAATGAAGACACTTACCCCATAGTGATGAATGATCTCACCCATCAGCTTTATGTAGATGTTAAATGGGAGAGAGGAAAGTACCAAACCTCATGGAATCCCACAAAGCAAGGACCATGAGTTTCAGACACTGACTGAAACCATCCAGGGAAAAAGGAGGAGAATCAGCACAATATACTGCCAGCGTCAAAACGCTGACAGCCACCTATCCCTAGTGCCTGAATCCAGCCCAGAATGATACCATGGACTTTCGGCTGATGTTATGCAATGCCAGATCCGTAGTAAATAAAGCCCCCCCCCCATTTGTGATCGTGTTCAGGAGGGGGAAGCGGATCTGGCAGGAATTACGGAGACCTAGTTGGGCCAAGAGGGGGGAGTCCCCCTCGTTGAAATGTGCCCTCCTGGTTTCCACGCATTTCATCAACCGAGGTCACAGGGTAGGGGCGGGAGGGTGGCGGTTGTTATAAAAGAAGGTCTCGGTCTGAGGGAGGCCACTGTTCCTTAGATTGCCGGATGTGTGTCCCTCCTGGTGAAGTGGGGTCATGGGGTACAGGTGGGCTTGCTGATCACGTACCTGGCTCCCTGCCACGTGGCAGCGGCCTGGGGGATTTTAACCTGCCATCCATCGGTGAAGCGTCTGAGGCAGCGCGGGAGTTCATGGCTTCCATGACGGCTATGGACCTGACCCAGTTAGTGCATGGCCCTACTCACATGGGGGGAAACACTCTGGACTTGGTTTTTGTCTCTGGTCAGTGGCTGAATGATCTCGATATTGGGGATATAGTGACTGAACCCTTGTCATGGTCAGATCATTCTCTCCTTCGCTTTGACCTTTGAACCGCTACACCCCGCCGCAGGGAGGCAGAACCGATGAGGTGCCCCAGGCACCTGATGGACCCGGATCGGTTCCAGACGGAGCTTGGGCTGTTTCCTGAGGCTCTGGCTCATGGCTCGACCGAAGACCTGGTGGCCGCCTGGGACAGGGCGGCCGCTGGAGCTTTGGATCGGGTCGTGCCTTTGCGGCCTCTGACTCGGCGCTGATCTCTCTTGGTTCCTTGGTTTACCAAGGAGCTGAGGGAGATAAAGCGCCGGAAAAGACACCTGGAGAGTGGTTGGAGGGCCAGCCGGTCTGAATCTGACCAAACACTGGTAAGGTCTCATATTAAGACTTACCTAGTGGCGATAAAAGCGGCAAAATGTAACTATTTTTCTGCTCTTATTGCGTCATCAGATAATCGCCCGGCCGCCCTGTTTAGGGTGACCCGCTCCCTGCTCCTTCAGGAAGCGCGGGAGGACCCCTTGGAGGGTAGAGCCGAGGATTTTGTACAGTATCTGTATCGCTCAGATTCGGGAACAACTGGACTCTGATGGGGTAGATTCAGGGGGGAGGATGGAGGCAGGTCTTGAGAATATTATCTGGGAAGAGTTTGACTCTGTGACTCCTGAAGACGTGGACAGGATACTGAGTAGACTGAATGCTGCCACATGTTTATTGGACCCGTGTCCCTCCTGGTTGGTGCTGGTCTCTCGGGAGGTTACACAAGGCTGGCTCCAGGGGATAATAAATGCTTCTTTGAGTGAGGGTGTCTTTCCCGCCGCCTTGAAAGAGGCGGTGGTGAGACTTCTCCTCAGGAAGCCTTCCCTGGACCCGGCAGTGTTGGCTAATTACCGTCCAGTCTCCAACCTTCGCTTTGTTGCAAAGGTTGTTGAGAGTGTGGTAGCATGACAGCTCCCTCAGTACCTGGATGAATCGGCTTATCTGGATCCATTCCAGTCGGGCTTCAGGCCTGGGTACAGCACGGAAACGGCATTGGTCGCATTGGTTGATGATCTCTGGAGGGCTCGGGACAGGGGTTGCTCCTCTGTCCTGGTCCTATTAGACTTCTCAGCGGCTTTTGATACCATCGAACATGGTATCATGCTGCACCGGCTGGAAGAGATAGGGGTGGGGGGAACCGTCCTGCGGTGGTTCTCCTCCTTCCTCTCTGACCGGTCACAGTCAGTGTTGGCAGGGGGACAGAGGTCGACCCCGAGGCCCCTTGTATGTGGGGTGCCCCAGGGGTCGGTCCTCTCGCCCCTTCTGTTCAACATTTATGTGAAGCCGCTGGGTGAGATCATCCGTGGTTTCGGGGTGAAGTACTACCAGTACGCTGATGACACTCAGCTGTACATCTCCACCCCAGACCACCCCAATGATGCCCTTGAAGTGATGTCCCGGTGCCTGGAGGCTGTACGGATCTGGATGGGGAGAAACAGACTAAGGCTCAACCCATCCAAGACCGAGTGGCTGTGGTTTCCGACATCCTGATATAGTCAGTTGTGCCATCACTGACTATTGGGGGCGAGTCATTGGCCCCCACGGAGAGGGCTCGCAACTTGGGTGCCCTCCTGGACTCACAGCTGTCTTTAGAAGAGCACTTGACGGCTGTGGCCGGGAGGGCATTTTATCAGGTTCGTCTGATTCGCCAGTTGCGTCCCTTTCTGGATCGGGACTCATTAAATACGGTCACTCATGCCCTCGTCACTTCCCGCCTGGACTACTGCAATGCTCTCTACATGAGGCTCCCCTTGAGGAGCACCCAGAGGCTCCAGCTGGTCCAGAATGCGGCCGCGCAGGTGGTTATGGGACCGACGTGGCGCTCCCATGTAACCCCCCTCTGCGCAAGCTGCACTGGCTCCCGGTGGGTGCGCTTCAAGGTTTTGGTTACCACCTTTAGAGTGCTCCACGGCTTAGGACCGGCGTATCTACGAGACCGCCTTCTGCCACCAGTAGCCTCTCACCAACCAGTACGCTCCCATAGACAGGGGCTTCTTAGGATGCTGTCGGTCAAACAGTGTCGACTGGCGGCCCCCAGGGGGAGAGCCTTCTCTGTGGGGGCACCCGCCATCTGGAACGAGCTCCCCCCGGCGATACAGAGGATCCCGGATCTGCACGCTTTCCGCCATGCCCTCAAAACATTTCTATTCCAGCAGGCTGGCCTGGCCTAACCTCTCTTTTAAACTGTTTTTAAATTTTTTAAATTTTAAATTTGTCTTGTAAATGTGGGGTGTTTTAAATTTTGTTCTCTGGGCCAATTTATACAAATTCAATTAATAATAATAATAATAATAATAATAATAATAATAATAATAATAGTACCAAAGGCTGCCAAGATGCCAAGAAAAGAGGTCATTTGGATGCCGTTTACCATTGTAAATATATGCCAGCTGCCAAATGTCAAAATTTTGATCACATGACCATGGGGATACTGTGGCAGTTGTAAAAAAATGGTTGTATAAGTGAAAGACTATTATATATTGGAACTCCTATATTTCTATTTAAAATGTTGGAGCCTTCAGTAGAACTATATTGATGTTTAATTATTATTGTATTTCAGAGGAGAGTACACCTTGCAGTTCAAGACCTTGTATATCAGGAATGTACTAACCAGTCCAGAGATCAAGATAAATGTTTTGCCTGACCCAGAGAAACCTGTATGTTTAAATATTATATATGATGAGAATGCTATCTTCACTGCTGGAAACACTTTTCCTGGTGAGTGCTTTAACATTTTTTTTATTTTCTAATGATAACCATTAGAAAGTTGGAATGTTTTTTCTTGTCTTTTATTTCTTATTTTTCAACAGAATATTTTTGGCTATCTTTTAAAAGATAGTTTGCCCTATCAATGTCATTTTTAGGTTATAAATGGCTGTTTCTCTACAGTTTAATATAGCAATCTGCTGATATTTTGGTGCGAAATGCCTTTACATTGAAGTGTCATATGAATAGATCTAATTTAGGCTGCTTAAAACCTTTTTTCTGCTCCACAGGACAAAGTATATTGAGTATGATTGAAAGATTAGGGGTAAGCCCATGGAAAGAAGTGATAGTTTTCAAAACCTAAATTGAAGTAGAGCTAAGAACAGTTTATAATCTGATACCAAATCTATGACTCCAAACTCTGAAAAGCAGTTATCTATAGGAATTAGGAATATTGTTTTTCAATTGATAAACTGCATTAGTGGACTGGCAGAATACAAATTATTCTCACATTATACTCCCATTGGGAATATACCTTCATATTCCATTAATGTAATCCTACCAAAATTGAGATTATTCTCGCCTTTTTTATAATGAAGATAATTAGTACTTTTTGGAAGTAACTTATTACTCTTTTCAGTTTTAGTCTCAGAATATTTTAATATTCTGAGACAGTTGCTCAGCAATTCAATTTGCTTCTGTAGATACTCCTCAATGTTCTTAATCTCCAAACCAAAAGAATTTACTCATTTATTTATTTTATTACATTTATTTATTTTATTTATTATATTATTTCAGAATTTATTTATTTTATTACTGTAGCCTATATCAATAAAATATACTTCCAGTCAAAATGGATAGTCATCTTCATGGTTTGGCTTTGGTCAAAGTGCTGACATAAGTCTTGAAACCTTATTGCGTTTTCCTTCCTCTTCGCTATAAAAAGTATCTGTTCTATCATACTGGTCCATGGCATTGGAATCACTGGATGCTTTGGTACCATTGACTTTGTAAACCACTTAGAGAGGGCTGTAAAGCACTGTGAAGTGGTATATAAATCTAAGTGCTACTGCTATTCTGGGTTATGGCACTGGAGGCTTTGGCTATGATGTGATGTCATTAAATGTCTGGGAATATAGTGATGCATTTTTATGGAATATACATCATTATAGTACCATTATAAGTTTCCTACATTCTTTGACATGTATTTGTGACTAGAATATTTTACTTCAGAGTTTTAATCTGGAAGTTAAGTTTAGCAACATGTGTGAAAATGTATTTTCCTTCCTCATGCAGATTTCACGGTTAGTGTTATTTCTGAAGATGGCAACAATATTAAAAATATAAATCCAGGAAGGATTTCTATGAAAATCAAGGAAATAGGCAATGATGAAAATGTAAGTAACAGGAAACAATGTGTGCAACAGATAAACAGATAGACACTATACATATGTGTGCAAATTGAGTTCCGGTTAAACCTATCCATCAATTTATGTATAACTATGTTATTTTTTCCATCATACCAGATGTTTCACAGTAATGCCTTGTTCGGTAGTAGATCAGGTTCCATAAAGGACATTTCAGTGTCGGAATGAATATCTTTTTTATTATTATTATTTTATTGTACTTTATTGAAAAGATGGTGCCATGTCAGGATAACAATGCAAATAAAGCAAAACCAGAGAGAGAGCAATGATAAATCTTAACATATATGCTAATAACTGTAACTATACTATGTTAACAGTAATTGCAACAATACAAACAAACAAAAACAAAAACAAAGACAAAAGGAAACAAAAGAAAACTTCAATTAAGTTTCTACTTACATTAGTTTATTTACAAATTTTTCCATATTATATCCATAGTTTTATACATCTTTGTTGTACTGACATTCATAAACTTCCCTCTCATTTCTATCTCTTGTCTATATCCATTCCTAAAATTTATTTGATGTCCTGTAATATTTCAAGTCTTCTTTATCTTTAATCTGTCCATTTCTGCACAATCCCAAATTTTCCTAATTATGTCATCATCCGTTGGGGTGTTCACATTTTTCCAATATTTAGCATATGTAATTCTAGCTGCAGTCAATATATGTAACACTAAGTAGATGGTTGCTTTGTCATAACTTTCCGACAATATACCTAAGAGGCATGTTTCTGGTTTGAACTCAATATGTTGCTCAGTTATCATTTCTAGCCATTTATGAATTTTCTCCCAGTAACTCCTTGCTTTCTTACATGTCCACCACATGTGGTAGTATGATCCTGAAGTCTGGTTGCATTTCCAACAATTGGCGGAGTTGTTCTTATACATTTTGGCCAATCTTGCTGGAGACAAATGCCACCTGTAAAACATTTTGTAAAGGTTTTCTTTATATGCGTGGCCATCGTGAGTTTGTAGTTTCTCTCCCAAATTTTTAGCCGTTTTTCTAATTCTATATTGTATCCAAAATTCCTTGCCCAGGCAATTGTTGTTTCTTTAACTATCTCTTCCTCCATTTTATAGTTCAGTAAATAAATTATATATATATATATATATATGCATATTCTTTCTAGCCAGGTTTTACCTCCGTAAACTTAGTTGTTCTACAGCCCTAGGTTCTGTGAAATCTCATTCACAAGTTTCTGGACCTTTTTTTCTGCTGACAAACTGCAACTCTGTGTTGCTCTCTGGGAGACTCAGATAGCTATTTCTGCCTCTTAAGGCGTCTTCAGTGAGCCACACCCACTTCTCAGATATCCTTCCTGTAAAGGTACAATGTATCTTTTTTCCTTTTTCGTAGGCTTTTATGTGCATATTCTTTCTAGCCAGGTTTTACCTACGTAAACTTAGTTGTTCTACAGCCCTAGGTTCTGTAACTCATTCACAGGAAATCTCACAGGAAATCTCATTCACAAGTTTCTGGGCCTTTTTTTCTGCTGACGAACTGCAACTCTGTGTTGCTCTCTGGGAGACTCAATGTATATAATCAATTTTTCATCTGTCCCCATTAAATTTTTTTCCAATGCTGTTTGTTCTTTGTTTACATCCTATAATTTAACATCTTTTTCGTGCCTTGCTTGGATCTGCAAATATGGCCACCAAGAGAAGTCCAACCCCTGCTTCTGCAATTGTTGTCTGGATCTAAGATCACCCCTTTCATCTAAAATGTCCTTGTAACATACAATTTTTGCCCAGTTTATAAGATTTGGATATATTATTGCCTCCATTGGAGAGAGCCAGGCTGGTACTTCCCTATAGTGTTGTAGTTTAATTTTTTCCCAAATGTTAAGTAATGCGTTCCTGACATAATGCCTCTGGAAATATTTGTGCGCCATATTTCTTCCATACCAGAGAAAGGCATGCCAGCCTAATTGTAAGTCGTGCCCTTCGAGTAATAATAGTCTTCTGTTATACAAGTTTACCCAATCTTTTAGCCAGGTGAGAGCTGCAGCCTGGTAATATAATTCCCAGTCTGGGAGCCCAAAACCACCATTATTCCTAGAATCCTGTAATACTTTCAATTTTATTCTTGATTTTTTTCGTTGCCAAGTATTTTGCAGAGTCATTTTATTTAGTTCATCAAAAAAAATCTTTTCTAATTTTACTGGTATGGCTTGAAATAAAAAGAGTAGTTTTGGTAGTATGTTCATTTTCACCACTGCAATTCTCCCTATCAATAACTGTACATTCTTCCACCTTTCCAAATCTATTTTAATTTGTTGTATCAGCTTTGTATAATTGTCCTCTGATTGTCCCACACCTAGCTGTTAAGAGAATAGCAAAATATTTAACCTTTTTTTCTATCTGTAGGTTAATTTTCTGTCAATTCCTTTTTCTGTTTGTTGGTGAGATTTTTAACTAGTAACTGGAATGAATATCTTGACAAGTGTTTTTCATTCTAAAGGAAATCACACTCTCCTAAAGATATTTCATTTTTATATTAGTATAAATTGCTTCAGTGGTTTAGAGAACAATTGCTCATCTTAAACTCATGCAATAATCTGTAATTTTATTTAGACAAAGATAGCTTTGCTCTGACAATATATTCATTTATATTAAAGCAGTGTATTTATTACTATTATTATTAAATTTAAACCTTTAAAATGATCTGGGAACTTCTGTTGATTGAAAGTAGACAGGAATGATCATTGGTTTTGGTATCCTTAAAGTCCAGAGAGGTTAGAGATGAGATTACATGAAGAATCACATCATTATTATTTACTTGGATCATGAGATAATTTTACAAACGCTTTTGAGTTTAAAAGATAATACTTTCCAGTAGGGGAGTCCAATTATTGAATGTATTCAACAGAGAAGTTTGTCTAGCATCTATGGTTTACTATTGCTATATCCTATTGCTATATCCCCATTAATTTTAATGGTTGTATGAATTTGTTCTCTTTGTATTTTACTTTACATTTTGTTTAACCTAAATATCAACATAATTAACATTGAATTTTGGTCTTTTAAAATAATCTATTGATTTGATTTTTGACTAAAAACTAAAAAAACGAGCTTCATTTATACTATATACTTTTTTAGGTTCTTAGTTAATATAATGTCTATCATTTTATTTATTTAGATTCTCAAGGATTCAAAGTAACTGAATTTAATAAAATTACTTTTTAAATGCTTACATATATAATGTGGCTTTCTTTCACTATCTTTTTTCTTTTTCTTTTTTAGATTGCAACATTTGAGTGTTCCGAAGGGAACATAGATGAGGACTTTTTTTGCTTCAGGTTAACAAATAATGTTGTTTTATAGTAGTTCTAATATAATGATGCTTACAAAAAAACTAACTGGCAAAATAATCCTATTTGTTTTTAAATATAGTTTGGTTTGATAGCAATAATTTGTTTTTATTAAGACTGAAATTCATATTTCAGGTATGATTTTTTTCAACCTAGGTATTGATATGTTAAATACCTGTGTCTAGAATAGTGCTTCAAAATTGAGAATATATATGGAAAAGTATAATTTTATTTGAGATTAATTAGGTTAATTAAAGCATATGAGTGTCATGAATGACATAATAGAAAGTTTAAGGACTGAGAACTGAGAATTTCAGGAATGTGGTATAGTTTAAGAACTGAGAACTGAGAATTTCAGGAATGTGGTATAGCAAGTATTGCAGACATTAAATATGAAAAATCTGTTTCTTTCTTTGTAATCAGTCTGAGTATTTCTTACTTTCAGACTGAATGAAATATATAATAAAACAAGTTAATTTTAAAAAACTGATTTTGGTTCATTTGTTTCAAAGAGCAACATAAAATGTTAATAGGGAAAAATATTGAGAATTTAAGTATTGTAAATTTTAAAGAAATACTAACAGTGTTTATAATTTAGGAATAAAACGGTTCCAGAAAAAGCAAGCAAATACAGCATCCAATTTATGTTTACAATTGACAGAATAAGTGTTCTTAACAGTAGAGAGGTAAGCTTTTGAAATAATGTATAAAAATGTGTTTTACATTTTTAAAATTGTATTTTATTATTTTTCTGGTAAAATTTTGCCCAGCTATGAATTGTATTGATTTTTTTTAGCATGCATAAGCAAATCTTATCATCATTAGATTCAGAAATAAAAAAAATATACGAGAAGGGTCATCTAATCAATTGATACCTTTGTTGGATTTAAATTTCTTGGTCCAGGACAGGGCTTAAAAAAAAAACACACCCAACTTTACAGTTATTAAAGTTTTAAATCAAGGCTGCTTGATTTAAAATTGGCTCCAGTGGTATCACCTGATTCAAATTTTTATGAAAAACTAATGAAGCCATACAGAACTGTTGATTGCCCTCTATCAGTGACAGTTATGTCTTATACCCATATCAATTTAAACCTATTGCCCCCTCCCTTCCTATCAGCATTGCTTGATATTAAAACTGAGAGGTTGTAGGTTGTTGTCATAACTGACATCTTTGCCCCGCAAGAAATACTGGCTCTTGGCTTTAAATAATTGAAGTTACTCATGCACTGTCCAGTTGGACCTTTCCTAGACCTGTAGATGTACCAGAAGCTGTTGAAAACAAATTGATGGAATATAAAAATGGATGAAGACTTTTCTTGTGCGGATGCCTTTAGCAATTATTTGTTCCCCATCGGGACCCACCTCTGCTGCTTAATTAATTTTAAATTTTTATAATGCCTAAATTATAAAAAAAAAAGTTACTTTTCCCATATCTTTTCTTATTTCATCTTCATCCATTTTCTCAATGCCCCTATCTCTTCCTTCATTTCCTATCTTTTGTTTCATTTGTTGCTGTTCCTGCTGGAAAGAAATAATGGAATTTGTACATTTGTAACTATGTGCTTCATTGTGTAGAGAATATTTGCTACATGCAAATAGGGTATCTGTTAATTTTGTAAATAAAGCCTTTTGTTTTATAGAGGATTGATTTTAATTAGTAATTATTAATTCAGCTATCCCCCTCCCTGGCCCGGCCCTTTATTGGAACATTTTTGATCTCTAGCATATATATGTTACATGCATTCTGGGTCAAAGGATCAGAACTTGTTTCAATTGGATTTGAAGAATTAAGGCTGGCAAGGTGAAGAAGCTGGGATTTTCATTCATTCTTCTGTGGCTTTCTAGCATTGTCAGTTGACATTATCAGAGGGTAAGACTGTGTAAGTGAATAGGGAAAATAGAAATCTCTGTAAGATTCCTTACATAAATTTAGTGTCTATGTTTGTCTATTTGTTGATACAAGTAGTCCTCAACTTACAACTGCAATTTAGCCCAGAGTTACAGTATAAACCATGCCGGTTTTTAAAAGATCATCTTGTGACCAACCCAGTTTTATGATATGGTTTGCAGCATTCATTAAACAGAATGGTTATTAAGCAAATCCGTAGTTTGCTGACTGCTGGCTGCCAGCAGTTCGACAGTTTGATCTTCACCAGCTCAAGGTTGACTCAGCCTTCCATCCTTTCGAGGATTGTTGAGGGCAATATGCTGACTCTGTAAGCCATTTAGAGAGGCCTGTAAAGCACTGTGAAACAGTATATACGTCTAAGTGCTATTGCTATTGCTATTGTTAAGCAAACATTATGGTCATTAAGGGAACCCATTTTCTGCAATAGGCGTTTTTGCAGAACCTGAGCAAACACCAGTTTCTGGGGGAGGGGAGAAATGTTATAAATCAGTCACATAAATGTGGGCCAGTTGCCACACACCCAAAATGCAATCATGTGACCGGAGGGGGGGCAGCTGTCAGAATTTGAATCTGGGTCCTAAGTAATTTTTTGCGAAATGTGTTTTGTGATTTTAAAAAAGCTGCAAAGAATAAAAAAATAAATTCAAACAAAATTCCTTAAGCATTTTGAACCAATTATTTTAAAATAGTTTACAGTGTATTTTAAGCAAACCAACAAGCACCACAATTTCAATAGTGATACTGGAGGAATAATATATTGCCAATTGATTCATAGGCCCAGGCTAGAAAGGAGTGAAATATCACAAGAATATGCATGGATACTTCTGCAATTAGGACTAATGTTGTTGATAAATTTCTATATTGTACATTAAGTTTCTATATGTTGTTTTTTTCCCCTCAAGTTTATAATTGATGTGGTGCCAAACAAACCAGCATTGTTGAAGCCAAAAACTTTGCCAGATACCACTGCTGTTTCTAATGTTCAGGAGGTTGACAGACGGACCCTTGTCAAGAACTTGACTCTCATTGTAACGGTGATTAATTGAATTTGGTTTAAAATGGTTATATGCATGCATACAAACATACATTCATATATATATAATATATACACATATACATACAAACAGGCGAGATCTGTATCAGATTCAGAAAAATCCAAAGTCAAATCAGGGCAGTTTGTTAAGGTTTACTTTTTAAGTCTTTTTGAACCAACTGAAATTTCCCAAATCTTCATGATGACTGTGACATTTTAAGGAGCTTTTATAGATACTTTACATGTCTATAAAAAGATTGCTATGTTGCTTTGCAGTCCATACAGAGATGATACCAAGATAGAGAGAAAGAAGAAAAACCATTTTTGTTAGCCCACATCATTTAAGCAAAACATTATTTAAAGGGGTTTGTTAAAGTTTTGAAGGATTTGCTGAGAGGATACAAAGAGAAGATGAAAAGTAATCAAGTTCAGGGGTATTATTTGAAGGGATTAAAAACCATTATTGTTAAAAGTATAGGAAAGGATATAGAGATGGTTTATTTAATCAAGGTTAAAATAAATATGCAGTTATTTCTGCAGCCCTAAATGGACTTTTGCTGACTAGGAATAAATAATAAAGCTTTTTTACATAATATAAGAGATGAGTTATGGAATGTAGACAATATTTGTTGTATTTTAAGACATGATACATTACCAAAATTGTTTGTACAGTTGCAAGAAAAAGTATGTGAACCCCTTGGGATTATGTGGAGTTTTGCATGAATTGGTCATAAAATGTGCTCTGAACTTCATCTAAGTCACAACAATAGAAAAACACAGTCTGCTTAAAATAATACTACACAAACATTAGATGTTGCCATGGTTTAATGGAACATAACATGTAAACATTCACAGTGCAGGGAGGAAAAAGTATGTGAACCTTTGGACTTAATAACTGGTTGACCTCCTTTGGCAGCAATAACCTCAACCAAACGTTTCCTATAGTTGCAGATCAGACCTGCACAACGATCTGGAGTAATTTTGGACCACTCCTCTTTACAAAACTGTTTCAGTGTAGCAATATTCTTGGGATGTCTGGTGTGAATCGCTCTCTTAAGGTCATGCCACAGCATTTCAATTGGGTTGAGGTCAGGACTCTGACTGGGCCACTCCAGAAGGCGTATTCTGTGCTGTTGAAGCCATTTTTTTGTTGAATTACTTTTATGCTTTGGGTCATTGTCCTGTTGCATCACCCATCCTCTGTGGAGCTTCAGTTGGTGGACAGATGGTCGTACGTTTTCTTGCAAAATGTCTTGATAAACTCTGGAATTCATTTTCCCATCAATGACAACAATCTGTCCAGGCCCTGAGGCAGCAAAGCAGCCCCAATGATGCTCCCTCCGCCATGTTTTATAGTGGGGATGAGGTTTTGATGTTGGTGTGCTGTGCCTTTTTTTCTCCACACATAGTGTTATATGTTCTTCCCAAACAACTCAATTTTGGTTTCATATGTCCACAGTATATTTTGCCAGTAGTGCTGTGGAACATCCAGGTGCTCTTTTGCAAACTTCAATCGTGCTGCAATATTTTTTTTGGACAGCAATGGCTTCCTCCGTGGTGTCCTCCCATGTACTCCATTCTTGTTTAATGTTTTCCTTATTGTAGATGTGTCAACAAAAATGTTAGCATGTGCCAGAGATTTCTGTAGGTCTTTAGCTGACACTCTAGGATTTTTCTTTACCTCATGAAGCATTCTGCGCTGTGCTCTTGCAGTCATTTTTACAGGATGACCACGCCTAGGGAGAGTAGCAACAGTGCTAAACTTTCTCCATTTGTAGACAGTCTGTCTTACCGTGGACACATGAACATCAAGGCTTTTGGAGATACTTTTGTAACCCTTTCCAGCTTCATGCAAGTCAACAATTCTTGATCATAGGTCTTCTGAGAGCTCTTTTCTGCGAGGCATGGTTCACATCAGACAGTGCTTCTTGAAACCAGTAAACCCAAAACAGGTGTGTGTTTTTAAAGGGCAGGACAGCTGTCAGCAACACATCCAATATCATCACACTGATTGGAGTCAAGGTTGGCTCACTCCTGGCTCCAATTAGCTCTTGGAGAAGTCATTAGGCTAGGGGCTCACATACTTTTTCCTCCCTGCACTGTGAATGTTTACATGTTATGTTCCATTAAACCATGGCAACATCTAATGTTTGTGTAGTATTATTTTAAGCAGATTGTGTTTTTCTATTGTTGTGACTTAGATGAAGTTCAGAGCACATTTTATGACCAATTCATGCAAAACTCCACGTAATCCCAAGGGGTTCACATACTTTTTCTTGCAACTGTATATTTCATGATTAAGAGGAAAGTTACTTATGCACTTTTTTCAATTTTTATATTTTGTTTCAATTTTTATTTTTTTCTAAGTGTAATCTTTAATAAAATGGTTTTTAAAAAGAATTTATAATTTTTATGTTAAACTCAGGACTTTGCAGTCTGTGGATGGTGTTCTATAAAATTAAAAAAATAGTACCATAAGCAAATTGAATACAAACCCCAAATATAGGTACATTTTGTATAAGCATTAAGAGCAGCTTCAAGCCATAATAGACATGGTTAATGAGGAATGAGCCGGGCTAGTCACATGATCATGGGCAAAACAAATGAATTTGGTCAATATATGAAATGTGCCTGTGAGGCAGAGGAGCAGTGGTGTGTGGGAAGGGACCAGATAGAATGTGCTAAAGCAATATCTGATAGCTCAGCGTCTTTCCCTGGGGATAGCCCAAGTGGCGCATGATAGGGGAGGAAGCAACAGGAGCTAAGCCTCCATCGATTAACAAGTCTGAAGTAAAAACAACAGAGCTAATTATAAGTGGGTGAATGGGTGAATGGGCTATCCTGTGCGCAATTGCCAAATTGATCTATGATGTATAAAAGCTCTATGATGTATAAATTGACCTATGATGTATAAAAACTCTTCAATGATAGCTTTTACACTCTGACGATGTTAGCAGAGGCTAACGAAAGCTAAGCGGATAATATATTTTAAGTTCCGGAGATCCAATGTCTGTCTCTTCTTTTATAGCTACACCTGGAACTCGTATTTTTAGGATAGTTCACTTTAAGATATGTATTGAACATATTTAAAAATTTCAATTCTAATTTAAGTGCCTTCTTAATTTAAGGATGAATACAAAAACTGTACAGGAAGTGATTTAGATGGGAAAATTGTAGCAAAAATCGAAAGTTCAACTGAGGAAGACATTGATATTCCCCTGTTTCAGGGTAATAAAAATACAGTTGAATTTCCTTTTCACAAAGGAATTGCTGAAATTGAGGTGAGTCTCCTTAAATAATCTTGAAATAAATAATTCAGGAATGGAAGTCAGCAGTCTACTATGTTCACATCCATATCATCATCTGAATATTTATCTTTCTTTGCCTAGTTTTCCCTATAATTTAGAAAATGTTGTAAATGGACATGATTCTATCGCTTAACCACCATTCAGTTACAGCTGCCTCAGTAAGGGTGCTTTATGACCTGCAAAGCACTTTGGGCTATCATAAAATATCATGCTGTATATATACCCTTGTAGTCACATGACCATATTTTGGGTACATAGCAACTGGGTTGCATTTATGATTGTTTGTAATATCCTGAAGTCACAATTTGCAATGTTACCTTTTGGAAGAATGGATTTGCTTACTGACTGTATGAATTGCTTAATGACTGTCACTGAAAAAGCTTGTAAAAAAAGAGGCTGGTCATAGGATGATTTGCTTTACAATCATAATGATTTAGGATTGGAATTCCGGTCCCCATCTGTCAAGGATTATCTGTAACAATATTTGGGGTTGCTAGTTTTGTTCTTGTACATAATATATATCTGATTCTGAGGACATTTTGTTTGGGTTATTTTTAAATTGAGAGAAATAATAAATGTAAGCTTCTTATTGCTAAAAATGTGCTATTAATAACAGGTGCCACTTATTTTGGAAAAATATTTTGAAGTTGTTAGTATTGAACAAAGGTTAGGGCTTTATATACTAATTAAATGTATATTCACATTAGGTAAATAATTCTTAAATATTTAATGCAAATCACACTATTTTTTTTTTCAGGATCTTGTGCTAGCAGAAAATAGTCCAGGAAGAAATAAAACTCAGTATACTCTTGTATTTGAGCCAATCATACCTTTGAAACATTATTTGCAACCTTATTATTTATCCTTCATGTTTTGTAATGGTGAGTTTCAATGATTCCAACTTTTTATTTTCTAAGGTTTTATCTTTTCTTCTGTAATATTTGAGAAGCTATTTCTAAACCAAATGTACAGGTACGGAATAGATGGAACTTGGCTCAATACCAGTAACTATGAGAGGGATCTTGGAGTCCTAGAGGACAATCACTTCAATGTGAACCAGCAGTCTGCTGCAGCCACCAAAAAACCCAATGCAGTCCTAGGCTGCATTAACAGAAAATTAGAATCAAGATCACATGAACCATTAGTATCATTTTACAATGCCTTGGTAAGACCACACTTGGAATATTGCATCCAGTTTTGGTCACCGCAGTATAAAAAGGGTGTTGAGACTCTGGAAAAAGTGCAGAGAAGAGCAACAAAGATATCAGGGGGCTGGAGACTAAAACATACAAAGAACTGTTGCAGGAATTAGGTATGTCTAGTCTAGTGAAAAGAAGGATCAAGGGTGACATGATACCAGTGTTCTAATATTTGAGGGGCTGCCACAAAGGAGACAGGGTCAACCTATTTTCCAAAGCATCAGAAGGCAGGATGGATGGAAACTAATCAAGGAGAGAAACAATCTAGAACTAAGAAAAAAATTCCTGACAGTGAGAACAATTAACCAGTGGAACAGATTGCCCTCAGATATTGTGGGTATTCCATCACTGGGGGCTTTCAAGAAGAGATTAGACAGCGATTTGGCCAGAATGGTAGGGTCTCCAGCTTGAGCTAGACTAGAAGACCTTCATGATCCCTTCCAACTCTGTTATTTTGTTATTGTATCTTTAATTAATTCATTGTATGTGTGTCTGTTATTGAAGGGAAAAATGAATTATTTTTTCTATCTTTAGATTATGAGATTCAAAAGGAGATGGCAGATTTTATGAAACAGAGAGACTCCTTTTCACAGTCAATAAAGACATATAGAGATTGGTTTGATGCTAAGGATCAGCTTATTGCTGAAATAAAAGGTAAGTACTGTAAGGATATTCTTATTCATATAGGCATAATTTTGCAAGTCAAATAAGCCACGTTGTTCTCAGGTAACTGATTTTGATGTTTCATCAATGAACATTTTTTATGTGCAGGTTTTTCATATGTTTTTAGTAAGAGGGGGAAGATATAAAGTTGATTGCAGCCTTGAGGCATGCCCCAACACATGCAGTATTTTTGCTACTTGCAAAGATGATGCCATCAGTTTTTGGGTCATAGTACCTTATCTAAAGAGCCCAGCTTTACCCGAAGGATACGGGAAGCTATGGAACTTATATGGAAGCTAAGATCACCTATCAAGTCAAAATATTGTTGCCCATATGCCATCAACTAAGAAATATATGCAATGCATTGACACATTTTTAAAGGCCAGGATTTTTAAAGACCAAAAACAATGTATGAAGCAATATATGGGTGTGGTGGAAGTAAGGAAAGAAAGAAATGGATTGCTATACTGAATAGTATTTCTATAAATTACTTGTATTGCTGTACGTTTTGTTTGATTTATATTAGTGCATGTCTGTAATTGCTTTGGCTTTTTTTTTTCTTTGCATAAAATTGCTTACTCTGAAAGAAATTAGTGTGATGCCTATGCATAGTTCTTTTTAATAATGCTTATGGAAGTTTTTCAAAAACAGATATCAGTTCTGTATCGGTTATTTCTTCTGGGTGGTCTTCACAAACTGTCCCATTATAGAGTGTATTGCAGTAGTGCAAGCTGTGAGGGGACTAGGTCATGAGAGCCCCCTGATCTAGGAAATGGCACAACTGGTACACCAGTTGGAGTTGGACAAAGGTCTTCCTGGCCACAGCTGACACCTGCTCTTCAAGCAGGAGCTGTGAATCCAGGAAAACCTTCAGATTGCATGCCAGCCTGGAAAGGGAAAATGCTATCCCATCCAAGGTTAAAGATGGAATCTCCCCAGATCTCTGTGACTCAAACATCCAAAGCCACTCAGTCTTGGTAGAACTAAATCTGAGTTGGTTTCTGCCTATCAAACCTGCACAGCTTCTAGGTACTGGGACATAATTTCTTGTCAAAAGACAAATGTGCTTTTTCCATGCCAAATCAGAATTTTTCTTTTTTGATGAAATTATGGCAATAGTGAATCCACAAATATTTCAATATTGAATTATTGAATAATATTCAATATTAAATAATTCCTTTCTTTTTTTCATCCTTCTTAATATACTTCACAAAAGTAAGATTTGTTATGAAGTAATACCATTAAGATTATCTAACTCAGATACCATCTAAAATTAGCTAATTTATTGTTTTAAAATTTCAAAATGATAATTACTTGAGTATGGTGAAATTGGAGTTGGATCAACTGAGGAACCACAGCTTGATCCACCAAACCAGGAAAAAGAATTATCAATTAATGGTTTGTAAAATATAGTGTTGAAAAAACACCTATGGAATATTTCAGAAATGTTCTTAGTGGAGGCATGCAAATTAATCAAAACAATAGAGACACTGACTAACTTCACATTCAACAAAATAAAGTATCCTTCACTGCCACAGTACTAATATTCCATGTAAATTTTAGAACTGCTATTAAACACAGTAGCTGCCCTGTGTAATTTATTTGAGTATCCACTAATATAGATATGGCCAGTTTATTTCATAAGCACATCCAAAAACAGCTTTTGGGACAGGGGGAGTAGAAGATTTGCTTTTCACAATATATCTGGTTGTTATTGTGCTGCTTCTTAACCAAAGTCTGTATACATTACAGTGATTACTTTAAATGCCATGCCTTCATGATGTGCAAAATGTTTCTCAGGATCAATTTCCGAACAACATAGACATCTCAACTGCAGCATATATTAAAGTAGCAAATAAAGAGAAAAATATTTAAATGATGAATTTAGATCTAAATTAAAAAGTAATATAAAAATATGATTAAAATGTTCCTGCATTAATGTTGAAAAAAGCAATAAAAATTCATTTTAAATCTCTGGCTTGAATATATGATTTTAGTTTTTATCTGATGTTGCTTTCACTAAGCAATGAAGTCAACTTTTAGTCCAACTTGTTATGCTGATTTATTTTCCAGGCCAAGTAGAGGAAGCTAAAAAAAAGGAGTTACAGCTCAAGAATGAACTGAAAAAACATCAGATTGACATACCTCAGGCCAATGGGGTAATTTAATTTTCTTAATTTTTATTCCTTTTTAGCCATCAGAATTTTCATGTAGGATAATTGTATCCAAAGAGATATAATAGACTTCTTGATCTTGTACACATACAGATGTGCTGACAAAGTGGCCTGACTTTAATACAGGTAGTCCTTGACTGCCCATCACAGTTGTAAATTGTGATAGTTGTAAGATAGATCATCCACACAGCCGACCCCATTTTATGACCTTTTTTGCAGCAGTCATTAGCGTGAATGCCACAATCATAAACTGGTCACCACAGTCATTAAGCATGCCATGGTCATAAAGCAAATCAATGGTTTGAAATGGGCTGGGTTTGCCAAAAATCAGAAGTAAATGCCATTCAAGATCACATTATAAATGTAATGTGATCAGGGGAGATTGCAAAGGCCATAATTTTTTTTTTTTTTAATTTGATTTATATGCCGCCCTTCTCCGAAGACTCAGGGCGGCTTACAATGTGCTCAGCAATAGCCTTCATCCTTTTGTATATTTATACAAAGTCAGCTTATTGCCCCCACAAACTGGGTCCTCATTTCACCTACCTTAGAAAGGATGGAAGGCTGAGTCAACCTTGAGCCTTGGCGAGATTCGAACCCTGCAGTAATTGCAGGCAGCTGGTCTTAATAACCAGCTTAATAACAGGGTGCCTTAAACCCCTGTACTACCAAGGCTGTAATTGCAAGACAGTTGCCAAGCTCCTGAAGTGCAAGCATAGAACTGCGGGGATGGCCCAGTCATTGGAACTTCAGAACAGGGCCATAACTACTCTCAGGGAGGTCCATGATAACTTTGAATTATCCAACTAAGAACCAACTAAGTTAAGGCCTACCTATACCATATTTAACATGAAAGAACAGTGTTTAACCTGAACAAGTTAACCTGAATATGGAAAGAACATACATACCTTTCTCTGTTAGGTTGCATGTTTCTTGGCCCTTGATACAGTATCTTTAAAACCAGACTGCTCATCCAAGAGAGTCAGTTTGGTGAGAGATTAAAGTATTAGGCTAGAACCTTGGATACTTAGTTCTAGTCCCATCATATGCACAAAGTCAGCTGGGTGAGCTCGAGCCAATCACTCTCTCTCAGTCCTAGGAAACAAACAGTGACAAACTTGCTAAGAAAACTACAGGGGCTTGTTCAAGCAGTTAGCAGAAGTGACCACTGAGCTAAATGCAGCCCCCCCCCCCCATCAAAATAGATATACTATGTAAATCAATTTAAAAATAATTGTCAAAGATAATGTGGGATTTAGTTTTAGGTAAGCTTACATAAGATTGCAACTTTCATATTTTAGTCCTAATACTGTGATTTGATAATGAATAAAAGAGTAGGAAAACCAATACTGGGATACAATCCCCAAAATGATAGAATGATCTCAGTTCAAATCCAAGGCAAACCATTCAATATCACAGTAGTCCAAGTTTATGCCCCAACCACTGGTGCACCTTATAGAAATAACACCAAAAAATAATGTCCTTATCATCATGTGGTGTTGGAATGCTAAAGTAGGAAGCCAAAAGATAACTGGAATAACAGGCAAGTTTGGCCTTGGAGTACAAAATGAAGGAGGGCACAGGCTGATAGAATTTTGTCACGAGAATACGATGGTCATAGCAAACACTCTCTTTCAACAACCCAAGAGATGACTACACATGGACATCACCAGACGGTCAACACAGAAATCAGATTGACTGTGTTCTGCAGCCAAAGATGGAGAAGCTCTATACAGTCAGTAAAAACAAGACCAGGAGCTGACTGTAGTTCAGATCATGAGCTTCTCGTTGCAAAATTTAGGCTTAAATTGAAAAAAGTAGGGAAAAGCACTAGGCCACTCAGGTATGAACTAAATCATATCCCTGATGAATATACAGTAGAGGTAACAAATAGTTTTAATGAATTAGATATGATAGACAGAGTGCCTGAAGAACTATGGCTAGAGGTTTACAACATTGTACAAGAGGTAGCAACTAAAATCATCCCAAAGGAAAAAAAATGCAAGAAAGCAAAATGGCTGTCTGAGGAAGCTTTGCAAATAGCTGAGGAAAGAAGGGAAGCGAAAGGCAAGGAAGAAAGAGAAAGATACACCCAGTTGAATGCAGAATTCCAGAGAATAGCTAGAAGAGAGAAGAATGCCTTCTTAAATGAACAGTGTAAAGAAATAAAAGAAAACAATAGAATAGGGAGGACCAGAGATCTCTTCCAGAAAATTGGAGATATGAAGCGAACGTTTCATGTAAAGATGGGCATGATAAAGGACCAAAATGGCAGGGACCTAACAGACGCAGAAGAGGTGGCAAAATTACATAGAAGAACTATACAATAACGAACTTAACGTCCCTGATAACCAAGATGGGATGGTCACTGACCTCAAGCCAGACATCCTAGAACCATGATGGCGAACCTATGGAACACGTGCCATAGGTGGCATGTAGAGCCCTCTCTCTTGGCATGCGCATCGACTCCCCCAGCCCAGCTCCATCTCATTTCTCGCCGTCATTTGTGGGACTAAAAAAGCCTTCCCCGCGATACATTTGCTGTTGCTGCCTTGCGCAGCAGCACAGTGAAATTTAGCCCGCTTCCCAATGGGGGAAATGGGGTCCCCTCCTCCTCCTGGAGGCCATGGTGAAGGAGAAGTCCTGGCAGCCATGCCAGGCAAGGAGGGGTGTGTTCCGCCTCTTCTTTGTCACTTCCCTCCCCCACCCCGGCTCGCCTGTCTCTTTAAATCACCACGCGTGCTCTCCACCCCTGTGCCACCCCCCCCATCCTTTCCCAATTGGTTTGCCCAGTTCAGGACCTTGAGAGGAGTCTGCCACGCATGCTTTCTACCAAGGACGGCCTCATTTTAGGGCGGTGCAGGCGGGGGAAGCACACATGGCGACAAAGAGGCACAATTTAAAGAGACAGGCAAGCTGAGGTGGGGGAGGGAAGCGGCAAAGAACAGGCAGCAGCAGCAGCCCTGGCACACATACCTCCTCACCCAGTGTGGCCGCCAGGGCTTCTCCTTCATCATGGGCTCCAGGAGGAGGAGCTTACATCTCCCCCATTGGGAAGCGGACTAAATTTCAATGTGCTGCTGCACAAGGCAGCAACAGCAAATGTACTATGAAGGTGGAAGGCTGTTTCACACAGTGTTTGTAGTCCCACAAATGACAGCAAGAAACGTGATGGAGCTGGGCTTGTGACCCCCACAGGAGAGAAGGAGAGGGTGGGAGGCAAAGAGAGAGAGAAACAGAGAAAGCGAGTGAGAGAGAGAGAGAAAGAGAAGGAAGGAGGGAAAGAGAGAGGAGGGGAAAGAGAGAGAAAGGGTGGAAGAGAAAGAGAGGGGAGGGAGGGAAAGAGAGGGAGGGGTGGGGTAAAGAGAAAGGGGGAAGAGAGAAAGAGGAGGCAGAGAGGGAAAGGGGGAAAGAGAGAGAAAGAGGGGGAAGGGGGAGAAAGGGTGGGAGGGTGGGAAAGAGGGGGAGAGAAAGAAAGAGAGGGAGGGAAAGAGAAATGATATTACAAAAGTTTACTTTTGTATTGTTGCTAAACGTAATATTTCAAAAGCAGAAAAAAAGGGGGGCATAAAAGTGCATTTATCATATTTTTCTTAGAACTATTAGCTGAACTCTGCCTTATTTACCATTATTTTAGGTAGTAAAACTTCATTATTCAGTTTAAGTTGATGTGTTGGCACTTTGCGATAAATAAGTGGGTTTTGGATTGTAGTTTGGGCACTGAGTGCCGAAAAGGTTCTCCACCACTGTCCTAGAATGTGAAGTCAAATGGGCCTTAGGAAATGTGAGCAAAAACAAAACTAGTGGAGGTGACAGTATTCCAGCTGAGCTATTCAAAATCTTAAAAGGTGATGCAGTAAAAGTGCTACCCTCAATTTGCCAGTAAATTTGGAAAACAGGATTGGAAAAGGTCAGTTTACATCCAATTCCAAAGAAAGGCAATGCCAAAGAATGTTCAAACTATCGCACCATTGCACTCATTTCACATGCTAGTAAAGTTATGCTCAAAATCCTACAAGCTAGGCTCCAGCAGTATGTGGATCAAGAACTACCAGAAGTACAAGGAGGATTTCAAAGAGGCAGAGGAACTAGAGATCAAATTGCCAACATATGCTGGATCATGGAGAAAGCCAGGGGGTTCCAGATAAACATCTACTTTTGTTTCATTGACTATGCTAAAGCCTTTGATTGTGTGGATCACAACAAATTGTGGCAAGTTCTTAAAGAGATGGGAGTACCAGACCCATCTCTTGAGAAACCTATATGCGGGTCAAAAAGCAACAGTGAGAACTGGACATGGAACCACTGATTGGTTCAAAATTGGGAAAGGAGTCCAGCAAGGCTGTATACTGTCTCCCTGCCTATTTAACTTACATGCAGAGCACATCATGAGAAAGGCGGGGCTAGATGAATCAAAAGTTGGAATCAAGATTGCTGGGAGAAATATCAACAGTCTCAGATATGCAGATGATACCACTCTAATGGCAGAAAGTGAAGAGGAACTAAAGAGCCTCTTGATGTGGGTGAAGAAGGAGAGTGCAAATTTGGCTTGAAACTCAACATTAAGAAAACTAAGATCATGGCATCCAGTTCTCTCAATTCCTGGCAAATAGATGGGGAAGAAATGGAGGTAATGACAGATTTTATTTTCCTGGGCTCCAAGATCACTGCAGATGGGGATTGCAGCCAAGAAATTAAAAGACGCTTGCTCCTGGGGAGGAAAGCTATGGCAAATCTAGACAGCATACTAAAAAGCAGAGACATCACCCTGCCAACAAAAGTGCATATAGTCAAGGCTATGGTTTTCCCAGTGGCAATGTATGGCTGTGAAAGTTGGACCATAAGAAAGGCTGAGCGCCAAAGAATTGAGGCCTTTGAACTATGGTGCTGGAGAAGACTCCTGCAAGTCCCTTGGACTGCAAGGCGATCAAACCGGCCAGTCAAGGGGTGGGTTCTAAAATTTTTTACTACCGGTTCTGTGGGCGTGGTTTATTTTGTGGGCGTGGCTTAATGATCATGTGACAATTCTTTAGGATTTAGCAGAGGTACTGGTCTACCAGGCTTTTAACTGCTTGCAGAGCTGTACCGGTCTACTCATTTGTTTTTGGAGGCACTGGTCTACCCATTTATTTTTCCAGGCACTGGTCTACCTATTTGTTTTTTCAGGCACCGGTCTACTCATTTGTTTTCTTTTAACACTGATCATCTGTAGGGTGGCCCTTTGAAGCCCTGCGGCAAGAGTTTAAACAGTTTTTTTCCCTCTAGCCGATAGCTGGGACTCAGGCTGCAGCAATAGATTGGGGGTGGGGCCAAATAAAACATAAGAATAATGCAGGGGGAGTTATGGGGGTGGCGGGGCAGAACCGGTTCGGTGACATCATATCGTCACCGCTACCAGCTCAGCAGAACCGGGCCGAACCGGGAGGAACCCACCACTGGGCCTGTCCTAGAGGAGATTAACCCTGACTGCCCTTTAGAAGGCCAGATCCTGAAGATGAAATATTTTGGCCACCTAATGAGAAGGAAGGACTCACTGGAGAAGAGCCTAATGCTCGGAAAGATTGAGGGCAAAAGAAGAAAGGTACAACAGAGAACGAGGTGACTGGATGGAGTCGCTGAAGCAGTTGGCGTGAGCTTAAATGGACTCCAGAGGATGATAGAGGACAGGAAGGCTTGGAGGAACATTGTCCATGGGGTTACGATGGGTTGGACACGACTTTGCAACTAACAACAACTGTGATTTGCTTATATTCCAGGATGGAAGAATTCTTAGTTTCATTTAGGGGTCATAAATAATACCTCATGTAATTTGTTTTCATTTTGGTCTATTTACGCCCCTTACACATTTTGATTTGCCTCCTGGTTTTTACTCTTTTTTATTGTAATTTTTTCATCTAATTGAATTAACACGTCTTTATTACATTTTAAGATAGTAGTTTCTAACAATAGTTCAAAAAGTAAAAGGGAAGTACAGTCCCAATCCCATGGCTTCCAGTTAATTGATAAAATAGTACAATATGAACTATATTTCCAGGCTATTTTTAGAAACAGCAATGAACTTTACTACTGTCCAGTGGAAGCTTGCTTAAGTAAGATAAAAAGTCATAAGAGCTTTAAATTAATTGTATGCTTGTAAGTGGTTTATATGTGTTGGAAAGTACATTTCTATAATAACACATAGTGCTATTCTTCTGTCTTAATTTTTAGCTGCAGCATATTGATTCCTTAATAAAAGTTAAGCAGACAGAGCAAGAAAATATATTGAAACAACCTAGAAGAATATGCACACTTGCCAATTATCCCAAAAGTAACCAGGATATTTTGGGCAAGGTAAGTTTGTTCCCAATTTTCTTTTTTAAAAAAATCTAATATTTTTGTTATTTTATTTTTCTCTCCTTTCTATACAGTGTATGTCTTTCTTACCTATTTTATCATATACCCACTTATTGTATATCTCCAGGCTTTATTATCATTAATAGTAGTAGTGGTGATGGTGGTAGCAGTAGTAGTAGTAGTAATAATAATAATATTTTCCCCAATATGATTAATTGTCAATGCCTGTCAATTCTAACTGAAAAAGAGCAGAAAAGGGGCATTTTTATCTATATTTTAATTAAGTTTGTTATTTAATATGTACTAATACCATCATAGGAGCCAGTTTGGTGGACGCATCAAGGTAGAAACCAGGAGATTAATCCTACATTTGTACAAAAGTACAAAGCCAGCTGGATGACTTTAGGCCATCATTCTCTCTTAGCCCTAGCAAGCAGGCAATGACAAAATCTTGCTGAGAAAACTTAATTTAAAATTAATTTCAACCATAATAACACAAGGGCTATCAATAGATTTAAAGTCTATGTAATTCGCTCTAATCTTAATTGTAGGAAATATGACTTCTGCAATAGAGTAGTAAATGTCTGGAACACTCTACCTGATCCTGTTGTTAGTCTCTCTAATTCCCATACCTTTCAGCGTAAACTGTCTACCGTGGACCTTTCATGTTTCTTAAGAGGTCCCTAAGGGGGCGTGCATAAGTGCACCAGCGTGCCTACCGTCCCTGCCCTACTGTTCCCAATTATATGTAATCATTGTATGTGTTTATGGTTATGTTTTGCCAATTTATATCATTTTTGGTGCCAATTTTTTTCATGTGTCCATGTCTATGTCTATTCTGTTACTTGTTTTCTTGTACTTGTTGACAAATTAAATAAACAAACAAACAAACAAACTGTACGGACTTTTCCTGGCAGCTGCCAGGAGTCCATATTGATTTGATATTGTGTGTGTGCGGGTATGAAGAAGCGGTAAGTAAAGCTATCACTTTTCTTTCATAGTACTTGAGTAAAAACTGCATAATTATAAACATGTGCATGACCAATTCTTTACACCTTATTAGACACAACTTTATTTATGTCAGAATTTTCTTGAGGAAAGGCTTCTGAGTTTGTTTCTCTTTTTTGGGGGGTGGATTTTGGAGACCTGGCATATAAAATTTAGCCTCAAAACTGAATAGTGTAATAGATCTTTCTTTTACACATACAAAATAACCCTTAATTCTTAATTCATTGCTTAATTTTTGTGCAAGATTTCACACTTAGCACAAGTTGAAGACGATAAAGTAGCAAAGGTCATTTCCTGGCATTTGGGAGGTGATATGGATTGCATACTCACTTTGACAACAGCTGCTGCACGTCGTATCTTTCATGAGACTGAAGGAACACAACAAGTGTGGCCTCTTGATTCTATTTATAAAAAGAATCTTCCAGATTGGAACAGGTAAAGTTTTGGTTTCTTTTCCAAATTTAATTAATATTTCATTGACAAATGTAATAATTCTAACTTTTAGGATTTTTTTAATTTAGTTTTTTTCCCCCGTTACTGAGAAGTGACATACCAATGTTGGACATCATTTAATTTGTGTCCCTGCAGTGAGAATGAGATTGGCTTAAATGGTCCCTTCTAATTCTAAAATTCTATCAACTCTAAAGTTTATTTCCTTGCTTAAAACTAGAGCTGAGTCAGGGTGCTAGTTCATAAATTTATTTCCACGTTTCAGTCTGTTTGAGAGTAACTGGCTTTCATGCCTAAGAAGGACTAGAATTCATAGTCTCAAGTTTAGCTCAGGATCTTAGCCACTACAACTGTATTGTTAAATAATAGCTGCTGATTTTTTTTCCTGAGTTCCTAGTGGTGATTTACTTCTGAAAGAATGAATTTGTCTTATATTCTGTTTCAAATCCTGTGTCAGCTTTGGAAGCCATATATATATATATTTTAATTTGATTTATATGCCGCCCTTCTCCGGAGACTCAGGGCGGCTTACAATGTGCTCAGCAATATTAGGCCGGAAGCTCCAATACTGCCACTTTCTCATGTGTGGGAAAGTAGGAGGGGGGATTAAGGAGAGGGGTTGTTAGTAGACATAATAGCATTCTTCCTGTCGGTCAAGGTCAGAGCGATCCAGCATCTGGAGAAGGAGTGGTCAGGGGGCTGGATCGAGATAGAGCGGACGTTGATTGGCACATGTGACCGACTGAGGGGGAAAGGGGATGGTTTTGGGAGCTTTGACTTACTGAAGGAAAACCCGGGCTTTTCAGATTCGGATTTTCCCAGATGTGCCAGTTTGCCTATTCTAGTAAAGAGAACTTTGGAAAATGCTTGCTTCCGCATCTTTACTTGGAGTTGGGGTTTTTCTGGAACGCTAACATCCTGTACATTGTAAATTATATTGTAATATATTTAAAATGCAAATTTTCCCTTTAAAATGTTAGTAGTCAACACTAATATCTAAATGGTTGCCAAATGTTTTGTATTTGTCTGACTAAGTCAACAATGAAAGAATACCTCTTTGTTTTAAGCAGATCTTTACCTCATTTGCAAAATGAAAGAAACTATTTCAATCCTATTGGAAATCCTGTATTTGCTAGGAACTTGCTAATATTTCCAGAGCACAAGGAGAATTGCCAAATAGGTAAATATCATAGAAAGAATGTTTTTTAGGTTTTTATTCCCACAAACAAGTCTGTGAGAGAGGTTGGGCTGAGACTGAATAACTGAGAGTTTCCATGGTTGAATATAGACTTTAACTTGGGTCTCTGTAGTCAAAACACCTGAACATCATCCCAGGCTGGTAATTGAAAGAGCTTGAAGAAACTATATCTTTGGAAAGTCTTAATTTAATTAATTCAATTTATATGCCGCCCCTCTCCGAAGACTCAGAGAGGCTCACAATACATTTTAAAAAATCATTATAAAAAACATTTAAAAATTAAAAACATTAAAAACTCATTCACGCCATTCATGGCTGGATCTCGCCAGATCACAAGAGCAAGATCAACGGCCCCAGATCTTCACCGCTTTTCGGAAGGCCAATAGGGTGGGGATGGTCCGGACCTCAGGAAGTAACTGGTTCGAAAGACCTGGGGTTGCCACAGAGAAGGCCCTCCCCTGCGGGCCCGCCAGCTGGCATTGTTTAGCTGACAGGACCCGGAGGAGACCAACTCTGGGATCTTACTGGTTGCTGGGAGCTATGCGGCAGAAAGCGGTCTCTCATTTTCAAATATTTTGTCAAAAATACATATTTCAAACCTCTTAATAATTTCTACTAAAATAATAAACCAAAAACATTTTATACCATACATTTTCTTAAATCTTATTCCAAATAATACACTCCAACATCTTAATAAAAATCAATTACTTATATAACAGTTTTTTCCCTTTTTTATATAATAATAAAAAACCAAATTGCTTTCTTAAATTTTATCTCTCATTTCATTTCTCTCAATTCTTTGTCAAAATATGTATTTCAATCCACACCTTAATCATTCCTACTTTTACCACAATCTAATTAATTCATAATACAATATCATTTCCCCTTATTTTCTTTTTTAATTAATAATTAAAAATATTCCAATTATTGTAATTTCCCTAATTGATCTTATTTATATTTTTTTAGAACTTATCCTTTTATAAACTCCAACCATGCAATTAAAAGTATTTTCAATTGTTACAATTTTAGGTAAAACATATTTCTAAAACTTATTTCATTTCATTCATAGATCCATTATTTTTCCATTATTTTAAAACTATTTAAAGTATCATAATTACATGTTATCTCTAATATTCCTTTCATCATATCCCTCTTTCTTCTTTCTCCCTTTCTCCCTTTCTAATTTTTTTCTCTTTCCCCTTCTTTTTCCCATTTCCCATTATTTCCCATCTCTTTTCTCTTTTTTTCATCTTACCATTGTTAAACCCAATGTAATCATTTTTTATTTTAAAGACATAAACTCTTCTATTTTGCCTTACATTTCCCATTCTTTTCCATCCCTTTTCCCTCTTTCTTGTATTTTCACTGTTAATCCCAGTGGAATCATTTAAATTTTTTAAATTCTTTCCGTTCCAACCTCTTTTCTTTCTTTGTCTCTTTCCCTTTTTTCTCTTTTTTCCATTGTTATTCCCAATGTAATCTTTAAACTTCTCCTTTTTATTATTGCTACCCACATAATCATTTAATTTTTCATAATCTTTTTCTTCGTCTTTGTCTTCTTCGCTAGCAATCTCTTTTTCTTGCTTTCCATTTGTAGTTTCCTTGTCAATTTGGATGTACTCTAACTCAGTTTTTGAGTCATCAGATTTCAATTTTCCCCGCAGTATTATAGTCATTTCCCTTATGTCCATTTTCAGTGAAAGGTACATCATTTTCATCATTTCCTTAAGTTCCTGCATCTTTTATTCTTTCTAAATTAGTATTTATTCCAATTTAAAATTACGTTATAATCCTCCTTTTTTAATCATCAAAGTCAAATTGCTTACAAACAGGCAAGTCTTCCTTAATCCTCACAGCTGTTATTCCTTTCAAAGTTCAAGGTTTTTTCTCACTGTTACTATCTCTTGCAACAAAAACAAAAATTCAGTGTTGTAGTGATCTTTTTTCTCTTGAAGATGTCTCTCTACAATCCACAATTTCAATCAGCAGCTAGAAAGAGTATCCATTTTGTTTGGAATCCTCTTTCACAGACTTTACTAATCTCAATTCTTTTTCCCTTTTCCTCCTCCTCCTCCTCCTCCTCCTCCTCCTCCTCCTCCTCCTCCTCTTCTTCTTCTTCTTCTTCTTCTTCTTCTTCTTCTTCTTCTTCTTTTTTATGTACACCAAATCAGTTTTTAGTCCAGTCCAAATCAAAGTCCAAATTCCACTTCTATTCAATTCAATTTTAAATCTTTAGCCAGATTTTTCTGTTATGGGCTTTTCTTCCTCCTTTAATCTTCTTTTAAAATTCAAGAATTTCTAAACCGATTATATCCAATTCTGTTCCAAAAAAATTTTTTGGGGAGGGGAGGTTCTTTTTCTTGTAATCAAATTAGTCTCTCCAAATTCAATATCCTCAAATAAAATTTGAATATAAGTTTCCTTTTTGGGCTTTAATGTTTCCACTTTCTCTCTTCTCCATCAATTATGTCCCCTCGATGCTATTTAGCCACTTTTTCCACGCCGGGGTAATTTTAAAACTTCCAATTTTTTCCTTTTATACCTGTGAGTTAGCCAATCACTCACCTGGTACCAGTACTCCATCCAAATCTTCACTCCTGCACGATTCTTAGGATGCCGGATGCCCCAGCTTCATGGCGATTCGCAATGACCGCCGCACCCTGCCATCAAATCAAAGAGTTTTCTCTGGCTTTCTGAGGAACTTGCCTGTTCCTCTTTAGCCTGTGAGATGCCTCTTCTTTTTCACTGTCCCTACAGGACAGTTCTGGTCCGAAGACTCCCCGACAGCGGTTCGTCTGGCTGGGTTTTCGCCAGGCTTGTTAGAGGCGGGTATTTTCCCAACCAGTCTCGCCGTGACACTTCCGGGTTCTCCCCAGAGCACAACCCTCCTGTACCACCTTCAGATTATGTTGTTCTGGGCAATTGTCAATTTCTATAAATTTTCCAATATGGAAGTGATTCAAGGTGTTTCAGACCAAATAGATTTCAAACACCTCAAATTCCTTCCAGTTCAGAGGATTTACTTCCTAAAACCACTGAACTTCTGCTGAAACAGCATTGTTTGTTGAAACATTCCTCATACAGTGAGGCTTAGATATCTCTAATGGCTACTAGCACTACTTTTCACAATTTTATTGCGGGGTCACTAAGCAATATAAACCTCCATTTCTGTCCTTTTACATGCGTTTTTCCCTGAAATTTTGTATGGCAGACATCTTGGAACGTAGCAACTAGAGAACAAGACATAAATACAAACGCCTGTATGCCTTGAATTTACATACAAATTTGCAGTTTAAACTACAAACTTGTAGTTTATCAAAGGGGCATCTATCAAATCCAGTACTTATTAGAACAATATAGTTGTTCTTACCTGGGTTATCATGACAAATTTTCTTTCTAATTTAGAGTAATTCTGTTATCTATATCATGATGCTAACATCATATTCACTATTGATGCTTCATAACAAGTAGGTGTTAATAGAAATGTTAATTTGTGTATTGGTTTGTATTCTAAACATTATTTCATATATCTTTACAGTATTTGAGACACTCTTGGGCAATACAATTATTATTGACAATTTGGAAGCTGCCAATCATTACAGAAAAGAGGTATGTACAATTGTAAGGTATTTTGTTCATTGCTTATATACATATGAGTGTCTGAAAAAGAAATGGGGTTAGTCTAACTCCATTTATATTTTATTCACAAACTTAAAAAGACCCTCTTTCCTAAAGGGTTTGCTTGGTTCTGTGATGTCCATTTTCTATTAGATAATAAATCTTCCTATGATGTACAATTCCCTGTTAAGGTTAAGCCTGTTCTGTCCAGGCCATTTGGGGGTGGGGGGTAGAGGGGCGATGGCTCAGTGGTTAAAGACATTGAGCTTCTCACCTGGAAGTTTGAGACCTAAACATTGCATGATGGGGTGAGCTCCAGATACTTGGCCCAGCTCCTGTTCACCTAGCAGTTGCAAAGCATGCAAATGCAAGTATATAAATAGGTACCAGTTCAGTGGGAAGGTAACAGTGTTCTGTGCACCTCAGCGTATAGTCATGCTGGCCACATGATCACATAGATGTCTTTGGACAAAGCTGTCTCTCTCAGCTAAGGAACAGAGATGAGCACCCCTAGAATTGGACACTACTGGATAGAGAAAACTTTTACCTTTTATCCAGACAATCATAGCCATCAAATACTGAGATAAGATTTCACATCTCCAGAATTACAGTGTACATTTGGGCGTCATCAACAAGTGTTGTCCTCACTGCATGACCACAGTGGTGCTGAACCTGGTAGACTTATGATGGATCCTTGTAGTTGCAGTTTTCACAGCGTCCCTGCAATCACATGATCACCATTTGTGATCTTCACTGCCAGCTTCCAAAAAGCAAAATCTGTGGGGAAGCCAGCAGATCACAAATGGTGATAGACCATATGACCATAGAATGTTATGACTAAGCAGGTTTTGCTTAATGAAACAGCAACTGAGATTGAAAATTGACAGTCATGTGACATTACATTTTACAATCACATTGCTTAGCAACAGAGTTGCTGGTCTGAATTGCTATTGTTAAGCAAGGATTACTGAGATATTAAAGGGGAGACCACTCTGACTTTCAGAAAGTTCCCATCAAAATTAAGTTTAGACAGAAAAACATTCATCCGATTCTTAACTAATTTGAAACAAGCCTAATTTAAAGATAAATTATTGCAGTAAAATGTGTTCTTTTCAGCACATTTTTTTCATCCAAGTGTTTTCCCCAAATGCAGGGTCTGCTTTTTTTAGATCAACCCATCTAGGCTTCAAATCTAGGCTTCACTTCCTCAGAAATTTTGAAGGGAAACCTTTATTGGCTTAAGGGGAGAAGCAAATTCAAGAATAAAAATATGTTGAAAAGAACCTAGGATTCATGTTAAAATTCAGATTCTTTGTATTCTGTCAACTGTAAGTGCCTTGGCTTAAGAAACAGACTGGCTGCAATATGCTATGGGAAAAGGGCCAAGCTTAGAACTGAAGGAATATCTTTGCCTCTTAGTTATCTGGAATGAGATTTCCATATCATATGTAACAAAAATGTTAGTGTACAAAAAGGAGAATGAAAAAAGAACACTAACCTGCTTCCAATCCGACTCCTCAGAAACTGAGATGGGAAGGGAAGCAGCTGACCAGTAGGTGCCTGCACTGTGGAAGTGGGAGAGGAGGAAGGCAGTTTTCTCTTCCCCAAATACCAAAAGTGGTAGAAGGCATTCAGGTTATTTGCTGTCTTAAAATATTATTCTAGGTGAGGGTGGGAGGACATGCTCACTCTGAAGGTTGCAGAATAGGCAGATGCAGATGCTGGTGGTGATATAATGGGGCATGCTTTTGAATCTTTCTTTTAAATCAAACAGGGTTTGTATAAAATATATAATAGAGAAAGAGTTCATACAGGGCCCACTGAGTTCATACATGGACCCCCGTTTCATCCTATATCATTTACGGAGCAATTAAGTTGTTTTCTCTTTTTTTTTTAAAGCACTTACATTTGTTCTAAAATAGGATCACAGAAAAAGCTTGCTTAGTGACATAGAACGGGGGGTGGGGGGGCTGTAAAACATGATTTCTTCATGGGCCAGATCAGCGTTGTAGTTTTCTTCCATGGGCTGATGGCGAGGGAAAGAGTCAGTGGGTGCAGGAGTCAGCAGGCAAATGCACATGCAGGAGGTGTACGCAGGAGTTGGCGGGCACATGTGTGCGCAGGCCCCACCATCGCGACCACCTCCTGTGTGCACGCACACCAATCCAGGATGGCATGAGCCGGGCCTGTGCACACATGTGGCCACCAACTCTTGCACGCACACATGCCTGCCTTGATAAAATAGGCCAAGCCAAAGCTTCCTGAAGGAGCAGCTGCGGAGCCCTTGCTGCTGAACATCTCCCCCCGTGCACACACACATGAAAGGCCAGTAAGTGCTGTAGTCCTGGAAATGGTAAGGGATTGGCCTGCGTCGCTTCAGCCCAGCACATCCATCCCAGCATGTATGCAGGCCTGGCCCATGCCATCCCAGCAGGCGTGCAGGCACACAGGAGATGGCATATGCACATGCCCAGCCCACCCCATCCCGGTGTAAGCATGTGCGCCAGTGGTGAAATGTAAAATTTGTTGCTACTGGTTCTGTGGGCGTGGCTTGGTGGGCATGGCTTAGGGGGAGGGTCATGTGACTGGGTAGGTGTGGCCAACTTTTTTTTTAACTCTTTTAAAGCATTTTTTACTACCGGTTCCGGGGAAAGGTGGTAAAAAAATGCTTTAAAAAAGTTTTAAAAAAGGTTCCGACCATCTCACCTGTGCCGCGCGATTGTCGGAACCTTTTTTAAAGCATTTTTTTACTACTGGTTTGCTTGAACCAGTAGTTTTTATCACATGTGCCTGCCGGGATGGGGTGGGCCTGGCCTGTGCACGCGTGCGCCTGCTGCCTCCTGTGCACATGCACACATGCCGGGATTGAATGGGTCTCACCTGTGCATGTCTGCACCCAACATCTCTGTGCACACGCGCACATCGAGATTGGGTGGGTCTGGCCGGCCCTCCCGCCCACAGACCTTGAGTTTGACACCCCTGGCATGGAATTACTTTTCAACAAAAAAGTACTGAATTTTGATATTAATTTTTTTCTTTATATATATATATATATATAGGTTGTGAAAACGACATATTGTCCAACTATATTAACAAGACAGGGGGACAGAATTCGCAATAATGGAAAGTTTGGAGGCCGTCAGAATAAAGCTCCTCCTATAGAGAACCTTCGGGGGATGGTTTTTGGAGCACCTCTGCCACCGGATTACAATATTATCTCCGTACAGATAGGTGCATTCACAGTTTAATAAATGAAATCAACTATTACACAATGTTTTGTTAAGTGTTTCCATTAAGAATTCAATTAAAATTACTCCTAGATTTTAATTAAATTGATTACCAAATTGCTGCTATTATTGTATATTAAACTAACGAAATAGAAGTTTTAACTGGTTTCCAATATGTTGTACATTGCAGCCATTAAAAAACCATTATAGAGTAATGTACATTTTATTGTATCTTCAATGTATAAAATTATTTTGATTTTTGCTATGCAATGATGTAGAATAAGAAGTCCACTGCTCTTAATTTAGCACATTTTTTTTTCTACATTTAGAAAAGCATTTTAGGAAAGGAACAAGGATTATATACAAATACTGTATTTTCCGGTGTATAAGACAACTGGGCTTATAAAACGACCCCCGACTTTTCCTGTTAAAATATAGGATTTGGGCTATACTCGCCATATAAGACTACCCCTCTTCCAACGCACACCAAATAAAAATTAAAAAACATCAACTGGCTCACCACAATGTAAAAGCAGCTGTGCTAGACCCAAAATGGCCCCTGCAACAAGCAGGAACTTCACACAGCCACAAAAAGCCCAAAAAAAACCTTTCGCACTTTACACACACAAAATTCCACATACAGCTTTGTGAAATTTTGTGTGTTTGTGTAGTTAGAGTGAAACACTACAGAAACACACTAAATCTCAGAAAACTGCACAAATATTATTTTATTTTATTTTATTTTTATTTTTATATGAAAGCTAAATTTAAAACTTCCTAAACTTTAAATGGCTAGGTCTAAAAAAGAACAACTAAAAAAAACCCCAATTAACTATTTTTTTAAAAGCTCCCAAAGGGGAAAAAAACTTACCCAATAGAACAGGGGTCTCCAACCTTGGCAACTTTAAGACTTGTAGACTTCAACTCCCAGAATTCCTCAGCCAGCTTTGCTTTGCTGGCTGAGGAATTCTGGGAGTTGAAGTCCACAACTCCCTGCCTGCTTGATTGCAGGCAGGGAGTTGCTTGCTGATGGAATGGATTCAGGCAAGCGAAGCAAGGCAAGCGTTGCGAATAGCAGCTAAGGTAAGCAAGCTGGAGGGGAAAACTTTTTTCCTTTTACATGGCTCTGGCGATCCAAGCTGAGTTGCCTGATTAGCAGGCAACTCAGCTGGGATCGTCAGAGCTTGGATCGCCAGAGCTATGTAAAAAGAAAAAACTTTTTTCCGTTTACATGGCTCTGGTGATCCAAGCTGAGTTGCAGGCAAGTCAGCTGGGATCGTCAGAGCTGGGATTGTCAGAGCTGGGATCGCCAGAGCCATGTAAAAGGAAAAAAACTTTTTTCCTTTTACATGGCTCTGGCAATCCCAGCTGAGTTGCCTGATTAGCAGGCAACTCAGCTGGGATCTCATAGCTTGGATTGCCAGAGCCATTTAAGGCCCGTCAGAGCCTTTCGGGCTGGTCTCCCTGGTTACAGGAGAACGACACCCGGCGTATAAGACGACCCCCGACTTTTGAGATTTTCATGTGTTAAAAAGTCGTCTTATACGCCGGAAAATACAGTATTATCTAAAGTTGAAAGATTTGTCAGGTGCCAGATGTTGAAAAGTATGTTTTTAAGATTGTTACTTCTCCCTCTCCCCAACCCATTCCCTTTCACACATACTCTAGGAAAAATAAGACACAGGGTGCCTTCAAGCAGGAATTTCTAGTTTAATTATATTTAAAGGAGGAAGGGGGAGAATGAATCCCAAACATCACATGATAGCTCACTAGTAAATAAAGCATTTTCTTATACTGACTGCTGGCAATGTGGCAGTTCGAATCTCACCAGGTTCAAGGTTGACTCAGCCTTCTATCCTTCCAAGGTCAGTAAAATAATGACCCAGATTGTTGGGGGCAATATGCTGACTCTGTAACTACTTAGAGAGGGCTGCGAAGCGGTATATAAGTCTAAATGGTGTATATATATATATATATATATATATATATATATGGTGTATGTATGTATAGAGAGTATATATAAGAGTATGTTCCTCTTGGCTTCTAGGTGCTCATTAAGAAAGGATTTTTCAAAATGACCATCAGAGCATTAGTATTTCCTATATTATTATTATAACACGCTGTGATGCTAATTAGTTAGATGTTCTAGTCCCCCCCCCCAACTTGAAAATAACTCTGGAGAGAACGGGATAGCATAGGACAGGCCTCCGTGGAGCAAGCCTGACGGAGAGAAGGGGATAGTATAGGGGAAGCTTCTGTGGAGCAAGGCTGAGGGAGAGAAGGGGAGAGGAGAGGCCGATTGTAACTACTCATTAAGTAATTGTAAGTGTCGAAATATCAAGCCCGATCATAGTTTCGTAGCGAAGCATGGGTATCCAGCGTGTGTGTGTGTGTGTGTGTGTGTGTGTGTGTGTGTGTGTGTGTAGAGAGAGAGAGAGAGAGACACAGAGAGAACAAAATTATTCATCAAGCATTCTTCAATACTTTTATTTAATGACAATAGTGACTTCATTGTTTCTGCTAATTACTATTACAGATTATAGTGTTGTATTTTATTAATACATAAATCTTTTTTCTTTATATATTAGATTGCCTTCAGCGCTACCGTGCAGCATTTCTCCAAGTTAATAAAGTAGACACTGACCTTAACGAAGAACTACAATCCTTTGATAGTTCAGAAATGCAAAATAAGAAAGAAGAGCTTGCTGAACTGGAACAACAACTTGAATTAGTAAACCTGAAATTAGGTATGGATGTATTGACACTCGTATATATATTACTAAAAGGCATTTTGGCACACCAATATAATGAAATATAAATGTATAAACATAAATAAAGAAGTCATGTATAATTAGGCCCCAAGTTTTAATGAATCAAACAAGACCTTCTATACAAGTACCCCTCAAACCATTTGTTTGGTGACCATTCAAAATTACAACAGCACTAAAAAAAAGTGATTTATGATTGTTTTTCATACAACCATTGCAGCATTCCCCATGGTCATATGATCAGAATTCGGGTGCTTGGCAATTGGCATGTATTTATGACAGATGTAGTGTCCCAAGGTCACATGATCATCTTTTGCGACCTTCTGACAAGCAAAGTCAATGGGAAAGCCAGATTCAATAAAAAATTGTGTTATTAATTTAACAACTGCAGTGGTTCACTTAACTGTAGCAAGTGTCATAAAATGGAGCGAAACTCACTTAATAACTGTTTTGTTTAGCAATGGAAATTTTGGGCTCAATTGTGGTTGTAAGTTGAGGACTACGTGTCCTTTTAGAAAGAGAGCATTACAGGTAATTCTCAACCTACAACCAATTCATTCAACAATTATTCAAAGTTACAATGGTGTTGAACAACTGATCCTTTTGAGTTCTGGCTGTCCGTGGTCACATGATTATGTTTTGGGTTCTTGGCAACCAGTTTGCACTTGTGACTAATTGTAGCATTCCACAATCATTTGCAACCTTTTCTGCTGCCTTTCCCAGAAAGTTGGGAAGCTGACATGGAAATTTGTAAGCTGCTGGGCTAAGTTAAGCCTTCCCAACTCATGCATCCTTCCCAGCCCCTCTGTCCTTGTGCCAAACAGGCCACTCACATGCCATCCCCATCCTGCATCACACTTCTTGCACACTCTCTCACCCCTTCCCCGAGTCACTCCTCTTACACACTCCCTCGCAGTCTCTTGAACCTGCGCTGCACTTCTTGCACATCCACTTGCATTCTTCGGAGTCTTTCCTCACACTGTTGTAAACCCTCTCCAATCCTCCCCTCCATCCCTGTGCACCCCTGATAGAACCCGGCCACCAGCTTGGGATTTATAACTGCCTGCCAGCTTTCCATTAACTTTGGTTATGGGAAACCAGCAGGAAGTTGTTCACCTAAAGGCCATGGAATTTGATTAACAATAATTGGGCCTGCAGAGATTGCAGTCACTAAGTAGTGCAGTCAACATTTTATGACTGCATGGCTTAGCAGTGGAAATTCCAGTTCCAATTTCTGTCATTGGACTACTCGGAGTTACTCTGGAGAAGAAAAGAACCAAAAAAACAATTTTGCCAGTTTATCATTCTACTTAACAGCCATCACTGTCATATTCTAACTTTTGCCAGATAGTTTCCCGAAGTGTGTGGAAGGGTTTTGAAATTGAGGGGAATAATGAGAAATATGCTTACTGGAACATCTAGTTTAATATTTTTGTTCCACAAAACTTTGAATCAAAGCCATAGTTCCTCCTTTTTGGCAGTATTAGGAAAAATGTTACTGGTGGGATTAGAAGATAATTATTTTACCATATAATCCATAAAATAGTTTTGTATTCAAAAAAATTGGGTTTTCAATGCAACAGATTTACTTTAAAATACATATTTGGATTTGGATGAAATCAAATATATTGAACTGTCATCGTCACAATTTTATAGTCATTTGTATATGTACAGTTAACCTGAAAACAAATGAAAAGCAGAAAAGGGTAATAGAAGATTTCTATTAAATTGTTATAAAGGAAAATGCAGTAACCCCCTCCCCCCCTTTTATCTCTGAAACTGGCAAGATCAAGGCTACTCATAAACATTAACAGAAACAGTACCAGAAAACTCTTACCAGGCAAGATAGGGAAGCATGGAATATGGGACTCGGGCCTACCGGAAATGGGAGTTCAGAAGGCAGATTGGAATTTAGAGAGCTAAATTCAGTTTTCTTCCTCATGCAGTCTGGAAGACAGTGCCCTGGACCTGGGCCTGAGCCTAAGCCTTGTCTCAATTTCTACAATTCAGAATGCTATTTATTCTCAGAGGGAACAGTTTGAAAACAGTTTTTAAGTGATTACATCCTGACAGTGTTATGTCTGTAGGTGATCTAGTGGAGTGCCCAATTCCCACCTTATATGTTTTCTTTATTGGAAAAAACCAAAGCAGAATGATTATTTCAATCAATACAAGAGATGGGAAGGGAGAAGGTTGAATGGGCCAGCTTGGGCACAGGAGTTAGAAATAATTGTAATAGATTGATTATAGGGACATGTGTTTTCCAAGCCAATTTCACATAAATATATACCCTCTTTTAGCATCAAGTGGAGTTGTAAATAATCAAGTTTTTTTGAAATACGCAGAACTTTATACACACTATTTATTTTATTAATTTTTCACATTTTTGAACCATCCACCTCCCTCGGATGCTTGCAGCTATCTGGTATCAGAAATTCTGAAATTAAAATTAAGATTTATTTATATAGGTATGACCTCATCAAGTCAATGCAACAAATTACCACCTCTTTCGGAAGTACTTGATTTGTCCGTGGCTCCAAGCGATTCCAAAATAGGAAGAGAACTAAAACGTCCACACAGGTTTGTCTATTAGGTCATGGGTAGGGGCTGGTGGGGTGGAAAACAGGCCCAGCGCCTGTGGGGATCCAGTGGGGGAGATGGGGGGAAGATAGGCAGGGGGAGCTGCACTGTCCCTGCAGTTGGCCATAAGGGCAAATGATTGAGGGGGGGCACTGCAGGGGCCAGAACCTTGGGAATGGGTCATAAGCAGCTTTTGAGGCGGGGGTCCACCATAACTTCAAAAGGCCACTGAGTAGCCATGTTAAAAATAATAACTTTATTATTTTTTCTTTATTTACAAAATACTTAGTTTGATCAGCATTATATGCATACTAAATCTGAAATATATTTGTTCATAATAGTTATTAGCATAAATGATATGCATTTGTGATTTACAAATTATATTCCTATTATAAAAATTAGTTATACACATAGTAAATTTAAATTATTAGTAATATTTAAATTAATTTATTCATATAATCATAGTTCAGAAGAATGGGATTCATCTTCTCCTATGAAGAAAAGAACAGGAAACGGCAACTATTTATTTCCAAAAAAAGAAGACATAAATTAATTATATTTGTTAAAATACAATTGTATATTGAAATGTGTATATTCTACAAAAATAATGTTACTTTCATTGATACTTTTATATTCATAAATGAATTGTTCTTATTAAGAGTTGACTTATTTTTTAATAGAACATCATATTTTTGTTTTGTATCAATTATTACATTTCAAGTTATGAAAATATAACAATGTTTTTTACATATGAACAATAAAAGTTTGGAATGACATTCCTTTTCCTAGTACATAAATGTGTAACAAATTATCATTTTTAATTGAAACATGCTCCATAAACATGAACGATATTTATTAACAGAAAAAACCTAATATTACTGAATATAATAATATTCTGCCGTGCAAAGCATCTAAATACTTTCCCTGTTTGTATAGTTGAAATAAGATTATGTGTGCTGTTAAGATTGAGTAGTTGATGTTACATCCTTACCAATTATTTAATACAATAGCAGTAAGAGACTCGTTAATGAATATTTCTAACTTAATGAAATAATTCTTGAAGCCTGTTCATCCTCATTTTCTCTAACATCAACCATTCAGTGTTATAACAAACAACTTTTTCGTATGTAATTAAAGCACTTCCAATGTTTTTAGGGTTACCGTACATCCTCATCAGTTATACTGACAAGAGAAAAGGCAAATATACAGAATGCATTAAATCTGGGGTTCCCAAACTGTTTCTTGGGGATCAGGAGCAACTCAGAGGTACAATTCAGCTTGCAGACAGTAAAGTTTGGAGTTAATTTTGCAAGGTATCTAATGCTATGGGTCTACTCTAGTCTTTCATCAAACCATTCACAAATTGTAGCATTTTCTTTACATTACCGTTTGATTTTATTTATTTCTGATTGTGGGTCTTATCAAGGGTAAACACAGGATTCAGAAGTTCCTTACTGGTCTGCTGAAGTTAGTGCAGTAAGAGCTGTCCTGTTTGTCGGGAGCCATTCAGAACCATACAGATTGGGGCAGCCTATATATATATATATATATTAGTTATCCACCTATTGAAGGCTTTGATCTGAGTCACGGGAAGAGCATCTTTTCCTATTTCCCTTTTTTTGAGGGTACTCTTCTGAAACTATGAACAGAAAAAGTGGGTTAAAAAATAAATTCTGTGAAAAGAGAACAAAAATCATAAAAAACTTCCACAGCTGCTTCTTACATGATCCCACAAGTGCTCTTCCAGTAGTTACCAAGTAACTTAATGAGTTGACAACGCTTCCTACAGACTCCCTGATAGTCTGCCAATTGGGAAGCCCATAAAGTGGCACTTCAGTCAGCACCTCATATTCACCCCCAACTTTCAGGTTCACTGTACAGGAAAATTCTGTCAGTGTTTCTGAGCTTTTACTGCTGAAAGATAATTTGTCGAACGTCTTACCTTGGAAAGGTCAAATTTAATAATATTTTTTAAAACCCTGATTTCTCTTGCATTGCAATTACATTATTATGAAAAAAATTACTGGTTTGACTTTTCAGGAGGTATAATTTTCAAATATTAACCTTATTACCCTAAGTTAAAGAACTTAATAGTGGGAAATTACAACTGTACTCAGTGATTCTGTGAAGTATGTTGATTTTCATGGTACAGTGGTGTACCACTGTAAAGTGGTACAGAATTGAGGTAAAATTACTGGATTCAGTGCTACATTGGGTCATACTATTAAGTGTTTGTTCGTATTGAATTAGGAAAAATGCATGAGCAATAGTCCTGGAAATCAGCAAAGGTATTCTACTCTAGATGTGCCTTTGTTACAGAAATCTAAATTCTCTTAGATCTTTCCAATTCATTTTGATCTAATGGGTTGATGAAAATAACTCGGAGACTGTCTACAAAAATTTACACCTATGAATCAGCACAGACTGGGCACTTTCCTTTAGAAGGAAGCCAACAGACTATATACGGGAGAAGACATAAAGGAGGTGACAATTGCCCTGCTTTGGCAAGGCAATTTGAGTGATTCTGCTTCAATGAAATAAAGTTACCTCCATGTTCTAAATTGCTCTATCAAACCAAATCTGTATTGCTTCTCACACACCTTTTAGAGTAGGGGTGTCAAACTCTATTTCATTGAGGGCCGTATTAGGGTTGTGTTTGACCTCAGGGTGGGCGTGGCCAGGGTAGGTGTGGCCAGTTTGATGTCACTCAGGGGCGCCTGTGGTGTCCTGAGCACTCTGCCAGCAAAAAAGGGCTCCTAAGCTCCATTTTCAGCTGCCACAGCCTCCTGCAACCCTGAAAGCGGAGTTCAGGAGCCCATTTTAGCGTGCAGAAGCACTGTGGACCAGTCCTTTGCTGTTTCTAGGGTGGCCCTGTGGGCCAGATCTAAGTATCTCGCGGGCTGGATCTGGCCCCTAGGCCTTGAGTTTGACACCCCTATACTAGAGACTAAAATTCCCTACTGGAAACTTAAATTTGCATTCCTACACTGAGCAGGAGGATGTCTAAATGATCCCTTCCAACTCTATGAATCTTTGAGTCCATAGATCCGTGATGGCGAACTTATGGCACATGTGCCAGAAGTGGCACGCAGAGCCCTCTGTGGGCACGTGCACCGTCGCCAGCTGTTCTTCTGGTTTCCGGAGCGCATATGCGCACTGGCCAGCTGATCTTCATGCATGCTGGAGCCCCAGAAACCCAAAGACCAGCTAGCCAGCTCACATGCGCCAGAAACCAGAAAACCAGGTGGCCGGCATGCACATGCACACCAGCCAGCTGGTCTTTGAGTTTCTGCGGCTCCGGCACACGTTCCAGTTTGGGCACTCGGTGCCGAAAAGGTTCACCATCACTGCCATAGGTAATTGAACTAAATGTTCATTTGTTCGTATATTGCTATTTTATATAATCAGAATGATTGTAATTGTAAATTAAAGAAACCTAAAGATACTAAAAAAGAGACACATAATATATATATATATATATACTAATCAATCATAAAACAGTTCACAAAATCTGGTTGTGAAACATTCACATCACAGAATCTTCTTATGTGAAGAAGTTCTCTTTTTACCATCTGTTATCAAAAAAGGACTCTTCTTACAAGTTGCAGCTCTTTTATTTAAAGACTGAAATTGCAGTATTAAACAAAAATCTCTTAATTACATACTTTTTGTTGTATGTTTGTTTACTCTATAAAGACTACCTTTGGACCATGCTTGTTATCTCTTACATGCCATCCCTCTCATTAAGGCAGCATCTTAAGATTGGTGCTTCCAGTAGATTTTTTTTTTTTTATACCAAGGAAGGATTCTGGTTTAATTTAAAGGAAGAATGAATTTATAACAGTCACCTATACTGGCTGCATTCTGCAATAAAATCTTTTATGGTTTTACTATAGTTTTACAGTTTTACAGATTGTGGCCTAGCATTATACACTTAAAATGGCAGAATATATGAGTGTGCATGCAGAAAGCATGGTATGAGTCTTGACTTTGAAATAATTTTTATACTACTAAGGCCATCTATCTGGAATTATGTGTCTGAATTCAAGGGAACTTTTTTTTTAGGCTTGTGAATCCATTAAGTATACTAGAATTAAGGAAAGATTATAGGTTAATCATTTTTACCAGCAGATCAGAGATTACAGGAAAGGACCAATTTTACTGGAAAACTCTTAAAGAGGGAGCTATTTATACATACTAGTTTTCTACCTATAGTATTGCATTGTAATTATTCCTCATTAAATGCATTTAATTTTTTTAGGCAGGCATGTTAAATGTGAATTTAGAGGGACATTTCTCAAAAGGAAAAACCTAAATAATTCTGAACAGTCATACATTTCAATGTGTTGAGTAATGAAGTCCATATGATTGTCTTCCAAAGATAGTTTGCCATTTAAGGCTGCAATCCACACTTCAGACTTCTACTCAACAAGACATAATTATTTTAGCCTTGCTACTGCCAATGGATGCATTTTCCTTTACAACGCAGTTAGAAATTTTACAGCTATGTAAATGTGTAAGGCTCAATATATATGAAATGGTTTCATCATTCATTGTACAGGTATCCCCACTTATGAAGTAATTGCATCTATAAAGGGGTTACTTGTGATAAACTGGAAACTTAGAATGGTTGGGTAAATACATCATATTAAGTCATAATGCTTAGCACATTGTGTGAATCCAATCATTCTGATTTGTAAGTAACAGGCAATGGCTTAAAAATTGTACAACCAAATAATAGGTTTATTTAATAAAAGTTTAAAACAATGTTTTAGCATGATGACAAAGTGGCAAGATGCAAAGGAACCATCCTATTTTTTAAATTATTTTATAGAAAATGGAGGCTGTTGCTAATATAAACAAAGAAGCAGTAGAACCATTTCCTGCACACCAGTCATTCTGCTGCAACTAGCTACATATTGGTTTGGTATTCTGGGAACTATACTTGTAATCTATTCTACAACTTAACAAGGTTATGAAGGGTGCTCTACTGAAGTACAGAATAACAAAGGAAGGGACCTAGGCAATCTTCTAGTCCAACTCCCTGCTTAAGCAGGAAACTATACCATTTCAAACAAATGGTTATCCAGTCTCTTCTTAAAAAGCTCCAGTGCTGGAGCTTCCACAACTTCTGTAGGCAAGTCATTCCACTGATTAATTGATCTAACTGCCAGGAAATTTTTCTTAGTTCTAGTTTCCATCCATTGATTCTTGTCCCGCCTTCAGCTGCATTGGGGAATAGGTTGACCCTCTCTTTTTAAACTTTTTTCTTTCAGAACCACTTCCCATTTTAAAAAATTATGAAAGACCCCTCCCCCACAAAGAGGTTATATTTATCAATATTTACCCTATTTAAAATTAAAATTCTGACATTTGCTGCTACTACTCTTTCTCACAGGATTGTTGTTGTGGGGAAAATAGGAGGAAGAAGTAGAATTATGCACATTCATGATGTTATTTATAAAAAAATAGGATAAAACAAAATTGTGATCATGTGATTGCAGGATGCTGCAATCATTGTAAGTGTGAGACAATTCCCAAGTGCTCAGATGGTGATCATGTAACTGCAAGGGAGTTGGTATGGCCAGATCTTGAGGACTGGTGGTAATCATAATTCCTTCAGCACCATTGTAACTTTGAACAATGGCTGAACAAATGGTGATTAACTGAGAACTACCTAAAGTTCAGCTTTCCTTTGCTTTACAGACCTGCAAAGCTCATAAAGTTTACTTTTTCATCACCATCATAATGGTCACTGTACAAGGCAGTTGCTAAA